AATATGTTTAAAATTTCACAATTAATGATTTCCCAAAACCAAGCAACAAATCACGTTCCTATAAAAGGTGGATCTATGTCTCCCATAAGTCTATGGGGAACCTGTGGCCCTTCAGAGACTTTAACTTCCATCAGTCCCAGCCAGCATGGTCTATAGTCAGGGATGATGGAATTTGTAATAATAATAATAATAATAATAATAATAATAATAATAATAATAAATTTTATTTATATCCCGCCCTCCCCAGCCGAAGCCGGGCTCAGGGCGGCTAACAACAATAAAACAGTACAAAAGTACAGCACAAACAACACTCTAAAATCATTCATTATAAAATTAATTAATTCAATTAGTACAGCAACATCTGGAGGACCACAGGCTCCTGCTTCCTGCCGTAGACCTACAACCCCTGCAGCTAACAGGACTAACACTCTGGAACATGTGGGATAACTGTGAGTGGCTTTCAAGAAATTTTCTTTAACATATACTGAGACTGTGTCCTAAACAATATTCCAGCTCTTAACCAACCGCTCTATCCTGATATCTGCCTCCCAGGCTATTTTAAGAGTAGGCGGGGGACATCTGGCAATGCTGCGTAAATTGTAGACACTAATCCCTTGGAGGAGACTCTTGAGAGTCCCATGGACTGCAAGAAGATCAAACCTCTCCATTTTTAAGGAAATCAGCCCTGAGTCCTCACTGGAAGGACAGATCCTGAAGCTGAGGCTCCAATACATTGGCCACCTCATGAGAAGAGAAGACTCCCTGGAAAAGACCCTGATGTTGGGAAAGATGGAGGGCACAAGGAGAAGGGAACGACAGAGGACGAGATGGTTGGACAGTGTTCTCGAAGCTACCAGCATGAGTTTGACCAAACTGCAGGAGGCAGTGGAAGACAGGAGTGCCTGGCGTGCTCTGGTCCACAGGGTCACGAAGAGTCGGACACGACTAAATGACTAAACAACAACAATCCCTTGGCACCTTTTCCTGCGTTGCAAACCAGGATTTCAAAATTGGTTATGGTATGAAGTACTTTCAACAAATTCCTGGTTTATTAAGTTAAACATCTGATTGTGCTGTAACCAATTTGTTCTAATTTCTGCTCAAGTTAGTTTAAGTTGGTCGTTAGTGACGGGTCTAGTTCCACGAAAGAAATTCAATATAGCATGATCTTCTTCCATGGCCTAAACTTTTCTTCTGTATCCCTATTGTAGATGGCAGGGTGATATACACTGGCAATCACTGGGGAGATACATAAATAGGGCTGATCTTTCCTGCCACCATTTCCAAATACAAAGTGTGCACTGTGAAAAAGGACGAGAGACTTGTTTAAGGGTACAGGGCTGTCCAAAAGGTAAGGCTGTCAGGGAACATATTGTACACGCCACCCCAATCTCTGAGTGGTGCGATATTCGAGGGGTTCCAGGTATGCTTAACCAGGAGATTGGGGTGTCTTCATGATATATGGTTTATTCATATATTTACCGAAGACTGGACCAAATTTCCTGAGTATTTGAAAAGTATTTGTGATGATCAGATTACGTTTGTAGGACTACAAGAAGTTCTGTGAGGAGTAACTTAAGAAATATTGTAAAAATGGAAAGGGAGAAACGATTTGTTAGAAAATGTAAAGGCAATATTAAGTTAAGAATTGCAGGAGAAAGAACCAAGACGGAAGACTATCAGAGATGCTGAAGGAAGTCCAATTAAGGATATATGTATAATAATTTGTGTGGTATGTTTTTAAAATTCTGTATGCTAAAAACTAATAAAAAATATTATAAAATAATAATAATAATAATAAAGATATATGGTTTATTCACACACATATACAACCTGAGCTTACAATGGAGAGGCTCACAGCATTAACACTCAAAGAGGGTCTTGCTTTTTCCCATAGAAGCAGCTCTGGATTTAAACAGAAATCAGCCACGACGCTCTCTTTAGTTTGCTGACTCTTTAGCCTGCCACTCAGCGCCCCCCACAGGTCACGTCAACAGGATATCAAAAGGGTAATATTGTCTGCTTCCCTCTAACAAACTGAAACCATCACAATGGTGGACAATGTCCCCAGATTTTAGCTTCTTACCATGTGGTTTTCTTACTGTAAACAAAATGTGTGGGAGGCAAAAATATCCCATAAATGATTATTATCCTCCTTCTTCTCCCACGAGTCATCTGGTTTTGCAAAAAAATAAATAAATATTAAATGCCCCAAGGAAGCAGAGAAGTGCCCATCTTTTGATACAACGCACATGGTTTTAGGACATTTTGTTATTCCAAGACATATTGGGATTTGGCTTGTGGTAGCAAAATGTCCCCCAAAACTGCCCATGTCAGTTTCTGAAATATTTGGTAGGGGAATAAATGTCCCATTAGGTTATTCAAGAAAAACGTGATGTAGGGAACTTGACAAAGGTATTTTTCCCTTCTTGCCTTAATACAATGAGCCGAACGTTGAAAGATTCAGGATGGGTGATAGCCACTAGCTTGGATGGCTTTAAAGAGGATTACAGTGGTGCCTCGCAAGACGAAAAGAATCCGTTCCGCGAGTCTCTTCGTCTTGCGGGTTTTTTCGTCTTGCGAAGCAAGCCCATTAGCGGTTTAGCGGATTAGCGCTACAGTATTAGCGGCTTAGCGGGCTTAGTGGATCAGCTGATAAGCGGCTTAGCGATCAGCTGTTAAGCGGCTTAACGATCAGCTGATAAGCGGCTTAACGATCAGCTGATAAGCGGCTTAGCGATCAGCTGTTAAGCGGCTTAACGATCAGCTGATAAGCGGTTTAGCGGCTTGGGAAAAAGGGGGGGGAGGAAAAAACCCCCGCAGGAACTCGCAAGACATTTTCGTCTTGCGAAGCAAGCACATAGGAAATTCGTTTTGCGAAGCACCTCCAAAACGGAAAACCCTTTCGTCTAGCGGGTTTTCCGTCTTGCGAGGCATTCGTCTTGTGGGGCACCACTGTAGACAAATTCATGAATGGGGTGATTGCTGTTCCGCCTGGCCTTTGGTGTGGACTCAGTCTGACCCTCAAGTTTCCCTCCCCTTATGGTCTTGATCTATCGGCTACTTTTAAAATGAGGCTGCATTTTAAATTGCATTTTAACCTGTATTTTAAATTGGTCCGTCCCCCCATTGTTTTTACTGTGATTTTATTGGTGTTAGCCACCCTGAGCCTGGCTCTGGCCGGGGAGGACAGGGCATAAATAAATTTTATTATTATTATTATTATGGCTACCAGCCACAATGGGTACATTCTACCTCAGGGCCGGCCCAATGCATTTGGGCACTTGAGGCGGACCCCAAAATGGCATCCCTCCCCCCGCCTGGGAAGAAGGGGTGAGGGAAGACCTACATCAGGAATGAGAGGGGAAGAAAGATTGACACGATGATCCGCTGTCCTGGTGATGCTGCCGCCTGAGGCAGTTGCCTCACTTCGCCTCATGGGTGGGCCGGCCCTGGTATTCCACCTGAACACCACTTGTGTGGAATAGTGCTGTGGGCTCTCACAGGCATCTGGTTGGCCACCGAGAGGACAGGATGGTGGCCTGATCCTGTAGCCAGGCTCCTCCGGTGCCTCTCAATAGGGCTTCTCTTCCAACACATCTTCGCTGGGAATAGGACCCGGCTCTGGCTGGCAACATGCACCCCTGAAACTCCTCACTGTTGTTGCGTCTTCACAATGCGCTGAATTTCCCAAGTGCTCAAAATGCTTTTTGTTACGGTAAAATCTGGGTGCGGGGTTACTCTGCCACCCAGCTCGTCGGACTAAGTCCGCGGGTCCCTGCGGAAGAAAATGAGCTCAGCCGGAGACAGGAGCAAGCTGTAGAAGATCCGAGTTTATTGCGCAACAGGTTCAAGGCGAGATTGAACAGCGAGAAAGGGGTGACATGAACTTTTGAAATTTCCCTCCATGTCCCAGAATACAGTGCAAAATACATCCCAGTTACATCATGAATACATTAAGAAGAGGTTGGGTTACACCGGATTAACATATGGAGAAGGGAGGGGGGAATATGCAGAGCTGGAGATATGCGCAGATAAGCACATCCTGAGAAGACAATGGTCCATGTATGCATAGTCTGTCACCTGGCATCGCCCGGAGGAAGGGCTTGGCAGAGCGATTTGACAGGATTAGGGTCTTGACACCTTGCTTGAGGGATTATGGAGGGCACGGGAGGTGTCATGGAGTCCTAGAGAAATTGAGCAAATCGGCACGTTGATTTTCTATGAATTTTATAGATTTTAGTCCCTTTTGACATTGACAATTGGAAATAAATGGATATATTGTAGCGAAGAAGAAGGCGAAGAAGAAGACATGCCCCCCCCTTCCGTATCACTTTTCATCAAGGTTTCCTGGATCAGGCCACACAGCAAGGCCTATTCATGTTCCCCCCATAACTGGCTTACCTGAGAATAGAGGATTTATGCCTTCTTGCCTTACTGCCGATTTTAATTTTCTGAATGTCTTAATGGGTTTTTACTAATCATTTTATTTTATGACAATATACAAGCGGCATCTACATTTTACCAAGCGAAATAAAAAAACCCGTCAGGTTGAGCAGCCCTCGACCACCTTTTCCTGAGCGCTATTCTTTTATATCCGTGCTTTTCTTTCATGCCTTTTCGTGTTTTCTTTTGTGGGCTGAGTTTCACGTTTTTCTCTCCTCACGGACGCTTCGTTCTCATACCCCTCCCCCCCCGTGCTTCTTCTTTCCCCCTTTTTGTGAAATAAATAATAATTTTATTGGTTGCGCTATAACATATCGTAGAAAGCCACACAACATAAATTAAACACAGCAGCGCCGTCGTCGTCTTCACCCGAAATATTTCTATCTAGTATTCCCCTCAGCCTCGCACAACCCGCTCGGAGCGGCCGCTATGCCGACGCGCTTGATGGGGCTTGTAGTCCTCCTCTCAGACGCCGACCACGGGGGACCTCCCAGCGCCCAACTACAACTCCCACAATGCTTCACGGACCAAAACAGTGCCGCGCGCGCTGACTTCTGGGAGCGGTAGTGTAGCCGGCGCGCGCCGAGCCATGCTCTTGAAGCGGCCCGAGGTGCGCGACGGGACTACGTCTCCCGTCGTGCCTCGGGCCGGCGCGCACGGCGGAATCAGGCGGCGGCGTGCGAGCTCGTCGGCTCCTCACCGCGGCCCGCCGGACTGCGGCACGGCTCCCTCAGCCGCATCGCGACGCGCCCTAGGCGAGCCGAGCAGCCGGCGGCCATGGGCGGGGAAGAGGAGGTCGTGCGCATCGCCAAGCGGCTGGACAAGATGGTCGCCAAGAAAAGCGCGGTGAGTGAGCCTCTTTTGGCGCTGACTGAAAGATTCCCCCCAAAGACACACACACCACACCGTGGCCCCGCCCCTCGGTGGGTCGCGCGCGCGCGCTCCCGTTGCCTTTTTCAAAAAAGCCCCGCCTTTCGCCTCAGCTTCTTCAGGTAACGGCTGTCTCCCCCCTTCCGTTTTTTCGTTTTGACCAGGGAGCGGGCGCCCTGCCCCCCCCGCCTTGGTCTCCATGGCGACCGTCCGCCCGCGTCTCGTGAAGCATTGGCCCCGCCCACCAGTCCCTCCGCGCTCTGCATTCCCATCCCTCAGCTTTTTAACCCCGCCCACAACGTTCCCCTCGCCGCCCTGAGGGAGTTAGCCCCGCCCACCCCTCGGAGACGTGGCCCCGCCCATCTCGCCTCCCCGACGCTCCCTCGCTTTCTTCTTCCCAGCCTTTAGCTCCGCCCCGCCGGCCGAAGCCCGCATCTCCATTTGCCCCTCTTCAGGTACTGAAGGCTCCGCCCACCGCTCCTCGCGCTCCTCGGCAGTTGGCTCCGCCCTCGCGCCCGCCTACTGCTCTGCATGCTGCTTTTCGCCACGCCCCTCCCTTGGTTGGAAAGGGTTGCCCTTCTCTTCCTCGATAAGGGCCTGTGCAGTGCTCATTTGCATATGCTCATTTCATTTTATGCAGGCCTATTACATTTGTATCCTGCCCATCCTTGGCTGTTGTGCAACTTTTCCTTCTTGCGATAACCCTGCAAGGTAGTCAAAACAAAAACAAAACAAAATCCTTCCAGTAGCACCATAGAGACCAACTAAGTTAGTTATTGCTATGATCTTTCATGTGCATGCACACTTTTTCAGATACATGCACACGAAAGCTCATACCAATAACTAACTTAAAAAAGGTATAGGGACCCCTGACCATTAGGTCCAGTCGTGGCTGACTCTGGGGTTGCGGCGCTCATCTCGCTTTATTGGCCGAGGGAGCCGGCGTACAGTTTCCGGGTCATGTGGCCAGCATGACTAAGCCGTTTCTGGCGAACCAGAGCAGCGCACGGAAACGCCGTTTACCTTCCCAACGGAGCGGTACCTATTTATCTACTTGCACTTTGACGTGCTTTTGAACTGCTAGGTTGGAAGGAGCAGGGACCGAGCAATGGGAGCTCACCCCGTCATGGGGATTCGAACCGCCGACCTCCTGATCAGCAAGCTCTAGGCTCTGTGGTTTAACCCACAGCGCCACCCGTGTCCCTTACCCACAGATGGCTTTAAATGGGGGTTAGAAAGATTCATGGAAGATAAGGCTATTAGTGACTGCTAACCATGGTGGCTGTGTTCTCCCTCCTCTGTCAAAGAAACCATGGTTCTGAATACCAGCTGCTGGGAATCACAAATGGGAAGAATGCTGTTGCACACATAACCTGGTTGTGGGTTTCCTAGCAGGAGCTGGGACTGAGCAACGGGAGCTCACCCCATTGTGGGGATTCGAACTGCCGACCTTCTGATTGGCAAGTTCTAGGCTCTGTGGTTTAACCCACAGCGCCGCCCGTGTCCAGCTAAGTTAGTAATTGGTATGATCCTTCATGTGCATGCACATTTTTTCAGATACATGCACACGAAAGCTCATACCAATAACTAACTTAGTTGGTCTCTATGGTGCTACTGGAAGAATTTTTTTTTAAAAAAATCATTTTTTCAATTTTTATTTTGTTCCAACACGGCTTCCTAACTGTAACTAGAACCCTGCGAGGTACAGCAGGCTAAGTGAGAGAGGTCAGGCAGTGTGGGCTGTACCACTTCAGGTATGTTGGGGGGGGGTGCCTCCTGAGATGGAACACTCTACCGGTACAAATATAAATTAATTTGTATAGCCAGTGCTAGGATTTGCTTATGTGTAAGTTTTAAGCGGAGGGCGTTTTTATAGGTGAGCTTTCACTGAGGTGAGCTCCCCCCCCCCACTCCCACAACTGAAGTGGTACAGCTCTGCTCAGCTGTAAGCTCCGCCTAGAAAATCCCACCCCCTTTCTCTTTTCAAGGTTCCTGATGTTGGGAGAGTGCCTGAGGCCCCTATGCACTACTTGGACTACAACTCCCATCATCCCTGGCCATTGACTGTGCTGGTTGGGCAGATGCGAACTGTAGTCTCACGACATATGTCAAGGGGCCACAGGCTCCTTCCATAGCTGTCAACTTTTCCCTTTTCTTGCGAAGAATACTATTCGGAATAAGGGAATTTCCCTTTAAAAAAGGGAAACATTGACAGCTATGACCCCTCCTGTTGATTTAAAGCAGTTCATACAGGGTGAGGGCTGCTGCGTCTGCTCTCACCACCTCTGCAATCCCACTTCTTTACCTTGTAGTGCACAATCCTGCTTGTAAAGAGAGAAAGAATACACAGATCTCTTTCAGCCCTTTAATGCCTTGAAACAGAGACTGACTTTCAGGTACAGACTGAAAAAGGTTCGTGCATATGATGCGCTTTCTGAAATAAGACCTGTACTTCTTCATAGATGAGTAATGGCAGATGGAGCTGCCCGAGGTAAGTTACCTTAATCCATACATGCCCATCTCTGGACACCGACATTTCTCTGTTCTCAGCAGTTGTTTTCCACTTGAACCCATTCTTCAAGTAATAAGGCATACTTTTTAGCAGGTTTGGCAAAGAGCTGTTTCTAGATGTCAGGGGCTACATCTTGGGTGTCTAGACTCCAGGCTGTGGGATTGATTGGACAGCACTGCTCATTCCAAAGTTGGTTGATTTGTACAATTGGCAGTCATTTGTGAATGAGAGAAGAAACGTGAGTATCAGTATAGATTTGGCGGTGAGTGTAGGTGTTTCAAATGTGCGCTAGCTTTTTCTTAAAACAGCCAAACTAGGGTTGCGGAGCCTTTTTTTCTGTTGAGGGCCCTAGACCCTTAAGGTAGCAAGTGGCGGGCTGGGCAGGAAAGGACTGAAGCCAGGACCCAGAACTAAAAGTGGACAGGGCACCCCATTTTCTCTTGTCCTATTCCTCTGGGGGCCCCACTTTTTAGAATTTCCTTCCTTTCCATGCAGAGAGCAGAATGCAGATTTTTTTCCCCTTCCCAGACAACTGCTTTATACAGGGAATGCGTACTGTTCCAGCACTAATTGTTCCCAGTCTTTCCCGCCTCCTTGAGAGCAGCAGAGAGTCCTCCTGCTGTCTTGGTAGCAATCAGACTGAGTTGTTTTTGTTTGGCTTGGTTTATTTAAATGATTTTCATATACCATTCTTCATCAGGCTTGATTCAAGAGCAGTGTACAAAATAAACGTTTTAAACTATTAAATACAAACAGTCACAATAAGTTTTCATTTTCTTGCAATACATGTTGTATTTCGCAAAGATACTCAAAATAGCATATGAGCTCCAATCTATCTTTCACTGGCCTAATTTCTGTGGCCAAAAAAAGCCTTTGCCTTTTGGATTGCCTTATGTGGGGTCAGAATGGCCCGTGGTGAAGGGATAAAGCCAATTCTTGGATATTACTGTTATCTTGGCCATACTGCTATTCAAAGAAGCGATTAAAAACCCTTCAGTGAAAGCAGAAATTGGCCCTCCCTGTGTTTTTTCTGGGAGGCCTGGCTCGAATGGATTTTCAGAAAGCTGAAAAGGGACTGAGCTTTGTTAAAGAGCAGATTGTTTATTCTGGATATTGCTGTAGTTCCTGGGCCTTGCAGCTTCGCTCAGATCCCTCTTTCCTTGTCAGATTGTTCTGGTGATTACATCCCTTTCAGAGATGAAACAGACCCTCTTTATGGAGAATAAGAGATCAAAAGCCAGTGAGTCTGTCGGGTTAGGCCTCTTTCCCTGCCTTTGCAGTTGGTCACTAGAGAGCTTGCTTTTTCTAGGAGTCCAGAATATTTACTCTTTGAACTGAGCAAGTCAGTCCCTGTCTGATGGAACGGGCAGAGGAGCTGCTGACCAGTCTTGATAGATTCCAGGCTGATGTGTGTATGGTTAGCATTGAAAAAAATCAGCCTGTGCAGATTCCTTCATCGATTGAGAGGCGGAGGAACAGATTCAAGGGTACCAGGTGCTTTATTAAAGATCATTTAAAATCTCTGGTTTTATTTAACTTCATTTTCTAAATTTCTATAAATCATTTGAGGGCTTTTTAAAAAAAAATTCCCTGCAGCCCCGCCAGCTCATGAAGTCTGTTTTGTTTGGTATTTGTGAACCCCCACCCTGCCCTTTTTGTGGAGCCAGCCTTCCATTTGGCTGGCATTGGTGATTCTCTCCTCATCCAGACAGATGCAAATGTCTTTGGGGTTGGGAACTCCAGCTTGTTTTGCTGGTGCAGAAATATTTTCTAAATTATATACATGTAATGAAAATCTCAAACATGCTTTTCTCCTATGCTGCAATGGCTGCATTTTCAGCCACATAATGTTCCATGCCAGAGTGAAAATCCCCTCACAGTGGAAAAAGTTGGAATCTATCTTGATTTGTGAAATGTTACACAGTTTACAGCTGCAGTCATCTGCAACAAAAATTGCTGGTTCGGCTGGGGATCTTTCTTTTCGAGAAAGGATTTTAGACGCAACTGACCTGTTTGAGGAATTCCGTTCTTAATTTGCTGTGCCTGTTATCTGATGATCACATAGAAGCAATTTGGACTTAATTCGCTTGTCAGTTTTTGTTAATTTGTTGAATTCCTTTTCCTTCCAGGAAGGGGCAATGGATTTGCTGAAGGAGCTGAAAAGTATGCCAATAACTCTGGATTTGCTGCAGGTAATTCATACTGATGGATGCCATTTGTCTTTTACCTTGCTGCCAGCGTGAATTCTCCCTCTACACCTGCTAGTCTGTTTCATGTAGGCCGCACGGTCACATATTGGAATACCATAGCTCAGTGGTAGAGCAGGCAGAAGATCCCAAGTTCAAGCACTCCCATCTCCAGGTGTGTGACCCAGGGGCCTAATATGGTCGTCCCCCCCAAGATCCTCTCCCAATTTTGGTAAATTCAACAAAAAGAAAAAACTCCTCCTGAGGAGGAGCGAGAGGCTCTGACATGATACCCCTGGGTAGTTGGCTACTGGCGACTGCATCCCTTGGGCCAAAAAAAGGGTGGCAATCTCTGTGTTTGGTAGACGAACTGATAATACAACCTGCCTTTGTGGATCAGACCAGGCCCATCTAATCCACCCAGGGGGCATGAGAGTGGCTGGCACTCCCAACAGCAGCAGTCTCTCAGAATCCTACCTCTGATCATGGAGACTGTCCTTGTGTCTGCTATGCCTAGAAGCCAATACTAGACTTCTCTTTTTTTCCTGAGCCAAACAGAAAAAAAGTTCCATCTCCTAGTTTTCATCCTGTGGCCATGAATTCCTTAACTGAACTAGAAATTGCACGAAGGAGTGCTTGTTTTCTTTTGTCCTGACCCTGCTGCTTATCAGTTCCTTTGCATGACTCTCTGGGCTCTATAGTGTTTGGACTATGTCGTACAGTGTCCTGTCTCTAGTTGTAAGAAGTCCTTGATGTCCCAGAGCCGTGGAGAACAAAATCAAGGTCCTATGCGGTGAGGAGGGGAGGGGAGAATTCTTGCTATGATGAATGATAAAAGGGTTATAAAGCACACAGCATTACAATTACTGTTTAATGGAGTAAAGTTAGTGCGGTGTGTCTGAGATTTGGTCTTAGCCTTTAATTATTGCTGCTTCGACTTGTTTGGGCACTGGTTTCCTTGTTGTGGAGATTTCTGTCTAGCTGGTCATATGATGACCTGGTGATTTCTTCCTTCACGATCTGCAGTCCACTCGCATTGGGATGTCTGTGAATGCACTCCGGAAGCAAAGCACAGACGAAGATGTGATCGCACTTGCCAAATCGCTTATCAAGGCCTGGAAGAAACTCCTTGGTGAGGGACTAAGCATGTTTGGATAGATTCTCAAGAACGTAAGATAAGCCCTCCTAGACTGGAGCAAGGATTTGTCTACCCCAGTTATCTGTGGCCATTAGTGGTCAATCAGTTGTCAAGGGGGGGGGAAGCAACAGTCCACTCCTCTCTCTCCTTTTTTTTGCTTGTACCCATGGTTGAGTCTCAAAGGCTCATAGGTTGCTGAAATGAGCATGTAGGTGGGGATTGGGGCTCCCTCTGCCTGCTTTAGTGACAAAACTACCTTTGTTCCTGCACAAAGCAGTCCGAAAGGTGATAGAACATACCGTATTTTTCGCACCATAGGGCGCACCGGACCATAGGGCGCACCCAGGTTTTTTTTGGGGGGGAATCAAGAAAAAAAATCTTTTTTCCCCCCAGCCCCAAAGAGCAGCGTACAGGCTGCGCACAACCTCTCCCTGCCGGAGGGGTTGCGCGCGGCTATGGCACAAGCCAAGGCAGCGAGCAGGATGGATCCCGCTCGCTGTTTTGGCTTCCTCTTTAGCCCCGCGCAACCTCTCCTTGCCGGGAGATGCTGCGCAGGGCTAAAGAAGCCATAGCCCCGTGCAGCCTCTCCCTGCCGGAGGGGTTGCGCACAGCTATGGAGCAAGCCAAGGCAGCGAGCGGGATGGATCCCGCTCGCTGTTTTGGCTTCCCCTTTAGCCCCGTGCAGCCTCTCCTTGCCGGGAGACGCTGCGCAGGGCTTCTCCTGGCTTTCCTGGGAGGTGGTTGGATTCCCTCACCTCTCCCAAAAGCCCGCAGAAGCCGCGCAGCCCCTTTAAAGAGATCACGGCTTCTCCTGGCTTTCCTGGGAGGTGGGGGGATTCCCCCATCTCTCGCAAAACCGGCAGAAGCCGCGCGCACGTTAAAAGGGCTGCACGGCTTCTCCTGGCTTTCCTGGGAGGTGGGGGGGGATTCCCTCACCTCTCCCAAAAGCCCGCAGAAGCCGCGCAACCCCTTTAAAGAGATCGCGGCTTCTCCTGGCTTTTCTGGGAGGTGGGAGAAGGGACTGATGCGGCCAGTCAGTTCCTTCTCCTTCCTGTGGAAAAGCCCGCAAGAGCGCAGGGAGCTTGTCTGCGGCTCTTGGGGGCTTTTCCCGCCTGCCTCCCCCCTGCATTCACTCCATAGGACGCACAGACATTTTCCCTTGCTTTTTAGGAGGGAAAAAGTGCGTCCTATGGTGCGAAAAATACGGTAATTGCAGTAATTGGGTGTGTAAGCTGAGTCACAGCATTTGCCCTGCTCCTAAAATTTAAAGCTGTTTTCTGAGTGTGGCATCTCGGGAGGAAACATGGGAGCTGAGGTCTGAGGTCTTAGCGGCTGCTTTGTGTAGCAGGGTCATGTGACAGATGACCGGTCCCAGAACAGAAGGGGAAAGGCGATCCGATTCGTGGCCACATCAAGTAGTCACACTGTCCTAGGAACAGTTGCTTTAGAACTTTATAGGGCTGGGCCACTAAAGAAGCTCACTTAAGGGTGATCAAACGCCATGCAGAGAAGATTGCAGTTCCTCTTGATTTAACTTTTTCTACTTCTTGCTTCCTTTGCCATTGCTCCTTTTCCCCGCATTCAGATGCCTCAGAGGATAAGAGTGACGAGAAGAAAAAGAATTCCTCCTTGCCAACTTCCTCCTCAAAGGAGAGTGGCGACTCGAGAGACCAAAGGTAATATTGTTTCCCGTTAGCCAGAGGTGGCACTTTTGCACCTCGTATTCCTCTTCCCGCCCCTAACGTTCCATTTTGGGTATTAATTTTGATTTCTTTACTTTGCCTGTTGGAATGGGAAACTTTTTGATCTTGGTATAGTCAAATTAAGGCTGCCCTTAATTCATGATGGTGAGGAATAGAAAATAGTGGTTGCAGATAGAACTATCAGTGTGGTATCATGTTGTGGTTTTTTTTTAATGCTATAGTTGTAAATGGAAAAAAAATAAATGTCTACAAAACACAGTGGCTTTTGTGAGTTTATTTTGATTACCATTGTTTATTATTTGATTCACCTTCATTCCTCCTTTATTCTCTCTCATGCTCATCCTTTATTAATAAAAACATCACTTCCGTTTTTGTTGATTTATTTTGTGTTTGGGTTCTGCCCCCCTCCCCCACGTATTAACCTGTACTCTCCTCCCTCCCCCAAGTACACTTACCCAGAGGTGTGGCTGTGTTAGGCTGTTGCAGCTTAAGCAACAGAATGCTTTTTGGCACTGTAAAGTCTAATAAATTTTATTATGGCATGAGCTTTCATGGACTACAATTCACTTCTGCAGATGTGTGCGTATAATATATATATTATAAAATAAAAATATGCATGAATATTTGTTAAGTCTTTAAGGTGCCACAAGACTCTTTCCCATTTTCACTTTCCACTTACCGTATTTTTTGCTCTATAAGACTCACTTTTTCCCTCCTAAAAAGTAAGGGGAAATGTGTGTGCGTCTTATGGAGTGAATGCAGGCTGCGCAGCTATCACAGAAGCCAGAACAGCAAGAGGGATTGCTGCTTTCACTGCGCAGCGATCCCTCTTGCTGTTCTGGCTTCTGAGATTCAGAATATTTTTTTTCTTGTTTTCCTCCTCCAAAAACTAGGTGCGTCCAGTGGTCTGGTGCGTCTTATAGAGCGAAAAATACGGTAGTTTTGACACCAAAAGAGATGTTGTCCTTTTTTCCTCAGCTGCAGCAGAACAATGGGACAAAATTCTATTTAAATAGAAAGTGTATGTCATGCAACAATTCTGCAACTTCTCAGCTCCAGGTTATGTTGATACCATTCTTCTCCAGACTGTTAATAGCAATCTGCCCTGTGGCCCCTGGATCAGGGTGATTTGCCCCGCCCTAGGAGCCCCCCACCCTAGAATCATCCCCAAGCAATTCAGGGGTGGGGGCAGGACTATGGGTTTTTAATCCCATAAGAAACCTTTTAAAAGATTGGTGGCGCATGGCACCGTACAGGACTGGATCTGGGAGGATCAGATCCTACCCTTAACAGCTGTTAAGCGGGAGGATCCAATTCTGTGTGGTGATGCTGGTTCATAAGCTGCTTTCCCACAGGAAAGCCTCTTGCTAAGCAGCACCTGAACCCCACAGGATCAATCCTCCATCCAACAACTGTTGAACTGAGGCATTGACCTTGCATAGGTGGGGATGGGGTCATGTCAGGTAGGAAGAAGAGCTGTGGTGCTGGGCCCACCTTAACCAGTGTAGGTCCTGGCCTCTTTCATGTGGCCTTGTTCCCAACCTGCCTGTTCCTCCTGCCTGAGGTCTTCTCCCCTGCCAACCACAGATCACTCTGGGCCAATCCAACCTGACCTGTGGAAATTGTGGCTGTCTTTACATGACTTTTCCAGCACCTAAGGACGGACACCTATGCCTGATTTGACTCTGGCTTAATTCGAATCCAGCACACAGCCCTAATAGCCAGGGGTCGGAAATGACCAGCCCTCCAAGTGAGGCCCATTCTCTTTTGCAGTAAGGGGTGATGTGTTTCTTCCTGGACACAAGACGTGCGGCCTTCAGAGCTACTGGCGGTTGCTTCCTCATTGGGTGCCTTCTGTAAACCTCTCTGGATTTTGACCCTTTACCTGACACTGATTTTATAGCTTAAGACTGTTCTCCACAGTGACAGGGGGCAGAACCTTAATTTTGTTTAACCGGGAAGGAAAGAAGTTGAAATTTTCCATTATTTTGCTCCATTTCCTAGTTTGTCGGGTTGGGAAATATGCAGAGGATGTCTAGGCTAGGTTCATACTGGTAGACATCAGTTGTAGAAGGACATGACTCTCATGAGATTTGAGCATGCCCAACTATCTCAGTGTAAGTAACCCTTCCTTTTCCGAATTGTGTTGGTGAGGTTGAAATGGTCAGAACCATAGGGGCAGCCACTTCACTGAATTAGCCTCATTGAACTATGTTCCTATGTTGGTCCATAGGGTAGCAGCACTCTCAGTACTTGGCACCTATCATTCAGGCTTTAGCCTTTACTTACTTGCCTTCTTCAGGGGAACAGTGTCACCGGGCTTTCTTGACACACAGCTGTGTGTTTTGAGTTTTCTTCTGTCCCATTTACTTTAATTAAAAACAACAGCTCCTCTGGACGCCAGTGAACGCCGATTCCCATGTGCCTTGAAGTGTTAGGAAATGTTTGTTTAAAACTTGCACGCTGTAAAATCAAGGGAAAAAAGACATTGTTTCTGTTGGCTGTGATCGAGCTATGGGACTGAAAGCTCCATCTGCTACTCTGTATAGCTGCCACCTTCCAATCAAATGAGGATCAGGGTGCCATAAATGGAGAGTAGGCCTGGGTGATGTATTGCACTGGTTTGAGGGCCAGAGTGCAATGGCGCTGGTGAAACCACCGTCACTCCCAAGCCCCTCTGCTGCCAGCGCCTGGAGGTGAAACTGCCGCCACTCCTGCTGATGGAGTTTAGGTGGTTACACCCTGGCGCCTCACAGGCTCTGGGGCTGACGCAGCTTGTTCCTCCCTTTGCTTTTCAACATCGCGATGTGTCACTATATCGTGATGTTTGGCTGATGATAAGCACAATGTTGAAAAGCCGAAATGCCCAGCCTCGGTGGAGAGGAAGTGCAAAATAGAGACCTATTTGTTGTTGTTGTTTAGTCATTTAGTCGTGTCCAACTCTTCGTGACCCCATGGACCAGAGCACGCCAGGCACTCCTGTCTTCCACTGCCTCCCACAGTTTGGTCAAACTCATGCTGGTAGCTTCGAGAACACTGTCCAACTATCTCGTCCTCTGTCGTCCCCTTCTCCTTGTGCCCTCCATCTTTCCCAACATCAGGGTCTTTTCCAGGGAGTCTTCTCTTCTCATGAGGGGGCCAGACTATTGGAGGCTCAGCTTCAGGATCTGTCCTTTCAGTGAGCACTCAGGGCTGATTTCCTTCAGAATGGAAAGGTTTGATCTTCTTGCAGTCCATGGGACTCTCAAGAGTCTCCTCCAGCACCATAATTCAAAAGCATCAATTCTTTGGGGACCAGACTTCTTTATGGTCCAGCTCTCACTTCCATACATCACTACTGGGAAAGCCATAGCTTTAACTATACGGACCTTTGTTGGCAAGGTGATGTCTTTGCTTTTTAAGATGCTGCCTAGGTTTGTCATTGCTTTTCTCCCAAGAAGCAGGTGTCTTTTAATTTTGCGGAGACCTATAGAGCAGCTCAATTGAGCAATGGTAGAGGAAGGCCAAAATAAAAGGTGGGTGGAAAAACCCAGGATCATTCGCTGGTCTGGTCAAGCCCTGACCGACTAGCAAATAAACTGGTTGAAGAGCCACACCCATCCACTGTGTCTTGGCATAAAGAAAAGTGTAGTGAGACATTTTTAACTGTTTGCGACGTTGGCAGATCAATTCTGCATCCTGCCCAGATCATTATGGATGGTCCAACCAAACTACACAGGCTTTCAATGCAGTAACGTTCTTCTGACCAGGTTGGAACGCTGGCTTTATGAGTAGGCCGGCTGTCCTTGGGAAGCAACAAAAGGTTTCACGCTTGGAGCTGGAGTACCAGTCCTACACATGCCCAAATCCAGTGACAGCCATTCATGTGTAGCTTCCTTGAGCATATCATTTTATGGACATTCAAACAGCAGTGCTGACTTGAGTTAGCAGAAGGTGGCAAGATGTTGTAATAAGCATTTATAGGTTCCAGCCAAGCTATTGGAATGGCTCCAGGGAAAGCGATGTGGAAATTGCTGCTTTTGGGTGGCCGTAATCTGGGACCTGACATTCCCATTGGGAGATCTGTTGCAGCCTTTTCTTACAGCTGCCCGGCAATTGCTTTCAAAGCACATGGATTGTGGTTCAGCCATCGAAACAATCTCTGTATAACTTTGTTATCTCAGCATGGGGCCATGGATTACAGAGAGATTACAGTGGGACATAAGAGAAAGTGGAGGCTTTTTTCGTATACGGGGAGGTCGTAGTGATGTCCCCTGCACATTTTACTTAGAAAGTTACATATTAACATTTCCGGCAAACATTCCTAAGCAGTTTACGGAAATTGGAAGATACTGTGAATAAAATTGGAAACACTGCAAATATAGGTCAGAATACCATAGATATATTGTAAAAGTGCCATCTTTTAAAACTGCTAGTCAACAAACAGAGAAGGATAACTCTCTCAAGTATCCAAACCGATCTCTGTAACAAATTGTGTTTTTTTAGGTTTGTGCGAGATATCCAACAGATTTTCAAAAGTATGTATTGAGAGATTATTGCAGAGGGTTGATGCTGTGACTGTTTCTGTGACTAGTGGACTAGCAGTCCACTAGTCACAGTATGTTGGTTGTTCCTCTAAATTACCCATTCACTGGGAAGAAAGTGCTGTCAAAGAGCTTAGTTTGCCCGGTTCTGATGCATCATATTTCAGTGGTGTCGCCTATGGCAGCTGGTTGCCCTCATGACTGTAGTTACTAGAGCACTCTGTGTAGAGACATTACCCTCTACAGCAGCAGTGGGAAGCCTTGCCTACAGGCCAAATTAGGCCTGGCAGGGTTAAATTTGTAAAGCAGTTATTGCCCAAACCACATCCACCTGGCCCACACCTGACATGTGACGGCAGGTATGGTACAGGTAAAGATGTGGCTGCTGAGCAACAAGCAAGGCTTCTGCCACCACTGATCGCTGGTGGTAGCAAGCCCTGCAAGGTTGAGCTCTGGAGTTTGTCTCTCATCGCAGTGCAAATTCCAGGGGGCTAAGGAGTCAAAACCTCCACACAGTTAATCAGGATTAGGCCTTTGCACCTGCAATTTGCTGCATTTCTGTGTTGGCTGGCGGGGTTGGTGGGTGGGAGGGAGAGAAATCCCTCTGCAACCAGCAGGAAACGGTGCAGGGGGGGCGTTCAAGGTGGGGGGAATGAGGATAAACTGCGTGCCAGTGGGAACCCTCTGAAGGCTATATCTGGCCTGCAAGCCAGATATACACTACACTAACTGACAACAGCTCTCTGCAGTTTCAGACGGGAGACCGAAACCTATGTGGAGATTTCAGAGACAGAACCTGTTGCTCTCATTTCACTGCCAAAGGTGGAACTATACGACACCCAATGAATGGGAAGATTAATGCAACTGGGTAGCTCAATTGGTTAGAACATGGTGCTGGTAATGTCAAGGTTGCAGTTTCGATCCCTGTAAGGGATAACTTGCATTTTCCTGCATTGCAGTGGGTTGGACTGAATGACCCTTCGGGTCCCTTCCAAGTCTCATGGGATGGGAGCTAATGTTGATGCCACAAGGAAATAAGCATATCAGGGGTGTTCTAAAACTCATCCCAGGTGCCGTGAAAGTGTGGGAGGGGGTCCCCAGACTGGGAGCTCTTGACATGGTTTGCAAGAGGGATAAACGCATACGGACATTTGTTCACGTTCCTGCTTTCTGTGGGAATGAAACAAAGCAAAAATGGCTATAGCAGAAGTGGGCGAGGGAATTGCAGAGCATACCTGCCAAGGAGACTTCTCTGATTTCATACTGGGAATTGGTTTGATGAGCGTGCAGAGGACTCTGCAATCTCCTCCGTAGACCTGCTCAGTGCTCCACTTCCCAAGAGTTCCTGAGAAAAAAGTAATTAAGTCACTTAAAAAGCTGTAGTGTTCATATACCAATAGGGCAGAATCCAGCGTTGCACAAGCAGACTTCTGCTCGTGCAACAGGAACTCGCTTTCCTCTTTCCCTCCTACAGTCCCCGCCCCGTGCACCCCCAAAATTGCTCCATAGGGGTCTCTGGATTCTCCAGATCAAATTTAAGGGCACAGGAGGAACTGCATGGGGAAGGTGATGTTCTGTTGTGCAGCCGGAAAGCTGTGCTGTTTGTGCACAGAAAGCTTCATTGCAAGCCATACAGTTGGCTGGAGGGGACCTCTGAGCCCCTGGTCATTTTAGCAGCATGCCATGAACCTGGCCATCCTCCAAGAACTCCTGGGAATAGTTTGAAGAGGGTGCAGAAACTCAGCAATCCCATCCCTAGCCCTGGGGTACCCCCTTCCCCACATGGCCACCCATGCTCTTCTTAAAAAACTGTGTGTGTGTGTGTGTGTGTGTGTGTAAAATACTGATTGTTGGGAGCTGCCCAGAGTGGCTGGGGAAACCCAGTCAAGATGGACATTATATAAATAATAAAATTATTTTTAGAAATATGCTTCACACTGTTTCCAGAACACCTGTTCATTACTGAAAATGCTCAATTGCGTGTAAGCTCTAGAGGGAAAGATTCCTCACCCCTGATCTAGACGAAATCATTGAAAGCAATTATTAGGAGATTTGGGGTGAGACTCCATCAGCAGTATTTTTCTGCAATGTCTGAATCAGGAGAGGCTGTGCACGTTCTGAACTGGTTCCAGTTCCAGAAATGTGGGATGTTGGCTACCTTGTAATATTGTGCTATAATAAGGCTACCCTTGTGCTATGTCTGGAAGTACAGTTAGTGCAGCACAAATTAAGAGGCTAGAATGGACATCACAACTATAAAGGAACTCGGCAGTTGTTTGACCAGTGGATGCGGACAAAAGCTTAACAGCTAAGAAGCTCTACATCTATTTGCACTGGTTTTTCAAGGTTTTGGATTGTTCGAAGCTTGTGTGAACTGATTTATGGAACTCAAAATCAGCCTTTGCCAAGCCAGTGCTATAACTCCCATCAGCCCCAGTCAGGGAGATGCAATCCAAATCAGTTAGATGGTTCAAGGATGTCAAAGGCTGGTTTGAATTCTCACTCAAAGCCCCCCCCCCCCCAACTGGGACGCAGGTGGCGCTGTGGTCTAAACCACTGAGCCTCTTGGGCTTGCTGATCAGAAGGTTGGCGATTCGAATCCCTGTTGCTCTGTCCCAGCTCCTGCCAACCTAGCACTCCAGTGCAAGTAGATAAATAGGTACTGCCGCGGCAGGAAGGTAAACGGCGTTTCCATGTGCTCTGGTTTCCGTCACGGTGTTCTGTTGTGCCAGAAGCGGTTTAGTCTTGCTGGCCACATGAACCGGAAAAAGCTGTCTCTGGACAAACGCCGCATCCCTCGACCTGTAAGCGAGATGAGCGGCGCAACCCTGTAGTCGCCCTTGACTGGGCTTAACCATCCAGGGGTCCTTTACCTTTTACCTTTACCCTGCCCTCCTTTGAAAGGAAAGGCAACTGACAAGAGCAGGAATAGGCAAACTCGGCCCTCCAGCAGTTTTGGGACTACAACTCCCATTGTCCCTAGCTAACAGGACCAGTGGCCAGGGATGATGGGAGTTGGCCTCGGTCTAGTATACCTGAAGGAGCGTCTCCACCCCCATGGTTCAGCCTGGACACAGGTCCAGCACCGAGGGCCTTCTGGCAGTTCCCTCACAGCGAGAAGCCAAGTTACAGGGAACCAGGCAGAGGGCCTTCTCGGTGGTGGCGCCTGCCCTGTGGAAAGCCCTCCCACCAGATGTCAAAGAGAAAAACAACTACCAGACTTTTAGAAGACATCTGAAGGCAGCCCTGTTTAGGGAAGCTTTTAATGTTTAATAGACTATTGTATTTTAATATTCTGTTGGAAGCCACCCAGAGTGGCTGGGGAAACCCAGCCAGATGGGTGGAGTATAAATAATAATAATAATAATAATAATAATAATAATAATAATAATAATAATAATTATAGCTGCAAGCCCACCTTCCTCCTAGACTTTCACAATTTGACTTCTGCAAAATGAGCAGAGAAATTTTGACCGGCTTCATTTCTCTTCCAGCTCCGCCAAAAGGCAGGACCCGCCGAAGACCCCCACCACACCCAAGATCACCACCTTCCCACCAGTGCCTGTCACGTGCGATACGGTGCGCAACAAATGCAGAGAAATGCTGACCTCCGCTCTGCAGACGGACAGTAAGGAGCAAAGAAGCGAGTCCTTCCCTCACCTCTTCTCCTTTCCATCAGCGCTGTCTTCCTTGCATTCCTGAATCTGTGCCCTTTTCAAAACAGCCTGTGTTTGCAGGTGTTCATAGCGAGCACTAGTAAATTCTGAGCTTTCACAGAATCATAGAATTGGAAGGGACCCGCAGAGGTCTTCTAGTCCATCCCCATAACTTTGTATGTAGACAAATGGCGCCGATGGGCACACTGCATGAAATGTGAGTCTCTGGTTCAGTGCAGCGGGAACCTGGTGCCGAAGTGTGAAGGCAACGGCTTGCTTAGGGAATGTAGTCTAGGGTACCTTTCAGTTTTCTTGTTTCTTCACAGATGACTATGTGACCATCGGTGCCGACTGCGAGCAGCTTGCAGGCCAGATTGAAGAATATATCCTTGCTTTGTTTGTAGCATCGGAAAGGAGGCATAGGGGATTTCTGGGCAGCCGCTATTTCAAAGGCAAACTCTCTCTATGCCATGATACACTTAAAAGCAGTTTAGTAGGGCCTCCTCCCAAAGAATCCTGGGAAATGTAGTTTTTGAGGTTACCAAGAATCCCTCGCATTTAGGTAAATGGCAGAACGGCAGTGGAGCACCACAAGCCGGACACTCTGGGAGCCAGAGATAAGAATAAGTTCAGCAGGAGAGCTTAACTTGAGAGGCCAGTCATCTACAATGTAATAATAATACAGTGGACACTTGGGTTGTGAATGTGATCCATGTGGGATGCACGTTCGCAACCCGCAGTGTTCGCAACCCGCGTCTGCGCATGCGTGGGTTGTGATTTGGCACTTTGGCACATGCGTAAAGTGCGATTTAGTGCTTCTGCACATGCGCAAAGCAGGATTCAGTGCTTCTGCACATGCACGACCGTCCAAACCTGGAAGTAACCCGTTCCGGTACTTCCGGGTTTCGGCGGTCCACAACTCCAAAAAACGTAACCTGAAGCATCTGTAACCCGAGGTATGACTGTAACAATTTGGCTCACCAAGCCATTTTGATCAAGCCACCCCCACCTGCCAATCACCTGGTGTCATGTGGGCAGATCAAAAGCTGCCTGGGCTGGGGCTCTGGAAGTGCTGCAGACCCCAAGTTCAGATCCTAGACCAGCCGATCCCAAGTTCAGTGCTTCCGAAGTCTTGATGATCAGCCGGTTGGTGGCGCTGCAGAAGCATCACACACCTTCCTTCCAAAGCACAGTCTGTCAGCTGATTGCTGGGACTTCACGAGGCAGTGCAGGGCTCTTAGTAAGGGGCTTGCAAAGAGGTGTGCACGACTCTTTCAAGTAACAATCAGCTGGTTGTCGGGCTTCCAAAGTGCTGCGTTGCCTGCCATCATTGTAATATCAGCCGATTGACAGATGGGTAGTCAAATTTGGCTCGTGGGGGTTAGGGGAAATAAGGGTCTGAGCTGCAGGCTGGATCCTGTTCCCAGCCCCTGGGCTATGGGTTCTCTATTGTCCTGTGAAGTAGTAAAGGTGCTGAGAGAGCTCCCAGAGAGGAGAATGTGGGCTAGGAAACCTCAGGAGCGGGGAATGAAGGCTTCCTGGTCACTTGGCAGTCTTCCTCCTCTTAATCTTTGAAGGTGTCTGGCAGAGGGGCTTCCAAGGTGATCTCTTCCATCCTCAGGGTCCTAGGACTCCTTTGCTGATGCAGAGCTCTCCATGATACCCAAACCTTGGTTTAGACCGGGGTCAGCAAACTTTTTCAGCAGGGGGCCGGTTCACTGTCCCTCAGACCTTGTGGGGGGCCGGACTGTATTTTAAAGGGGGGGAAACGAACGGATTCCTATGCCCCACAAATAACCCAGAGATGCATTTTAAATAAAAGCACACATTCTACTCATGTAAAAACTCACTGATTGCTGGACCATCCACGGGCTGGATTGAGAAGGCGATTGGGCCAGATCCGGTCCCCGGCCTTAGATTCCCTACCCATGGTTTAGACTGTCAGGCTAGCATGTTTGGCGCTGGGGCAAAGGCAACCTGACGGTGGTGCTCCTTAATGGCTTTTGAACTTATATACCAAGATGTCAAGAACACAGACTTGAAGTACAAGAACCGGGTCAGGAGCCGCATCTCCAACCTCAAGGACTCCAAGAATCCTGACCTCCGAAAGAATGTCTTGTGTGGAGTGATCACTGCAGAGCAAATTGCAGTGATGACCTCAGAGGTGAGATGGACGGTTGCATAGCCTGAAAAACCCAGAGAGACTTGCTCCAGTCTACTAAATGGCCTGATCTTACAAAGATGTAGTTCTGTTACCAAAATTCTAAACGGCTGCTGTTGATAAGGAAGAACATCCAGTGTAGGGTTAAAATTAAAAAACAGAGGGGGGAAACGTTTGCAGAGGGGTCAAATGCTTTGGGCCAGCTCTGACATGCATCTTCAGGAGAAAACCTTAAAAGGATAAAGTATGTATTTTAAGGTGTGGACTCAAAATTAGAGGCTCGGGCCTGGCCTTTGGCTTGGAATCAATTTGATTCCCTCCCCCCCTCTTCTTTTCTCCTTTCCCCTCCTATGATGGAACTCCTATTTGGGGACTTCCCTGGCTTTTTTCTGGCCCATGTAGGACCAGTTGGGAAAGTTAGCCTTGGTGAAGACTTGACGTTTTTAAGTTAGCCTTGGTGAAGACTTGACGTTTTTATCCCCCAAAAAGTTTTTGATTTGAGTTTCCATTGAAATGAGGCTGTATTGTGGTATTTTAATGTTTTAATAATGTATTTTAATCTTGTTTTTAAGTTGCATTTCAATCAATTTGTTTTTATACCAGGTGTTAGCCGCCATGAGCCCAGTCTTGGCTGGGGAGGGCGGGGTATAAATAAAATTGATTATTATTATTAGTGGAAGCCCTTGCAAGAACTTCTGCTAGCTCAGCAGGACTTTCCGCCTTCCCCCCCCCCCCATTGGCTCTGGGGTGGGTGGGAGAACCCCAGAGCCACACGCAGAGGGATGAGAGGAGATGTCTCCATGAGGCAAGCAGAGATGCTGTACTGATGGGACGTTTGTAGCAGCACACTGAATTTCTCGCTCTGTATTTTATTCTCCTTGGGTTGCCTCTATACTATATTTGCCCGGGTCCAGCGTCATTCTGTTTTCATTGTCCATTTCTAAAGGTAGGCAGCGGACAGAGGAAGGGACAGGAAGGAGGAAACTCATGTCTGCCGTAAGTGTGGGGAGGGGGTTTAAGGGAAGGCTTTGGTGGCAAGGAAGAGCGGTCTCTCTCTGTGTGTGACCATTGCCCCACTGAGAGGAAAAGTGGTTTTAAACAGCAGTAGAAGCTTGAGTAAAGCAGGGAAGGAGAGACACTGATTGGTTGTGCGTGTGCATCTTAAACAATTTTAACAAGGAGAAATTGCAGTGATGGTAACAACGCAGAATCGAACGCAGCAGAGCCTTTCCCAATCCCCCTTGCGCCATACTCAAACCTTGTTTTAATCTGCCTCTTCCCATCACCGCCAGTGTCTTCCAAACTGTTTTATTCAAGCTTCTGTTGTTGTTTAAATCTGCCGCTTTCCCCCTCTCAGTCTCCCCCTCTTCCTGCTGTACTGTGGAACCAAAAAGGTTAAGATCATAGCTCTTTCGGGGTGGGGGGGAGCTCATTTGCTCCACGGTTTCTGATGACCGTGTGGGACAAAAGTTCATCATACAGTGTCTTTGAACACGTTTAGCGGAAACGCAGCTTGCTAGTGTGCAAATTGAGAAAGCCAAACTGAGCACAGGGAGAATTAGAGATTATCCAAAACAGAAAGTTCAGAAAGAATGGAAAATCTTTAAAGGGTATCTGGAAAAACATTACAATAACAAATATCTCCTGGCAGAAATAGAATGATCCTTGTAAAACAACAAATATAATGTTTTTTGATATCTGACGAAAACAAAGAAAGCAATACAATAATTTGGAACGATGTGTGAAAAAATAGTAGAAATAATAACACAATGAGTCTAATCGGAAGTCAAATGTGTTTATTTTGTTTTGTTTTTTCCTCCCCCCTTCCCCCCCCTTCTTCTTCCTCTTCTTTTTTGTGTGCCTCCTTTCTTGGTCTTTCTCTTTTTGATTTGTAAAGAGAGAGATAAAGAGATAAAAGTGTAATATGAAAACTTAAGTAAGTTAAAAGTGATGTTGTGTAATTTTTCTATTACTATTTATATATTGTTAAAATTGGTTAATTGTAGCAATTACTGTGGTTTTTCCCTTTGTTATTGTTGAATTCTAAATAAAGCAGTACTCTTTAAAAAAAAGAGAGAGAGAGAGAAAGCCAAACTGAGCAGGTGCTCTTATCTTATTTCCCTGAAAGGAAATGGCCAGCAACGAGCTGAAAGAAATCCGGAAAGCCATGACGAAGGAGGCCATCCGGGAGCATCAGATGGCCAAGACGGGAGGGACCCAGACCGACCTCTTCACCTGCGGGAAGTGCAAGAAAAAGAACTGCACCTACACTCAGGTGAGACTCCAAGTGTGCACAGGGCACCCTGAAAGACCTGCTGGTTTGCTTCTTGAGGTCCTGAACACCCCCTCATTTCATGAAATCCACTGAGAGGTGAGGGTCTTCAGCTTCTCTGTGGAAGGATCAGTTCCGTCAGGATTGGGTCCAGATTTGTACCAGGCCAGTTGAGGGAAAGGATAATACAGCTGTCCGCTTCTACTGATGGAAGTGAAAGGGGATTTTTTGGGTTTTCTTCCATCTGTGGCAACATCAGGACGGGTTGTAATTGGTAGCTTTGCTAAGGCCAATAGCGGGGAAGCCTTCTCACCCCTCCCCAAAATCCTCAGAACAAGTTTTTGTGGAGCTGCTGCTGGCTAGAGCACCAGTTTTCAATTCCAGAACGAGTGGCAGGCAAACAAGCAAGTGCAGATGATGGGAGGTGATGTGGAAAGAGTGCTACAGGGCAAGCCTTGGAGACCAGCAGTACAGACTTCACTCACCCTCAGGTGTTTCCTTCCTTCGACACAGGTGCAAACCCGCAGTTCAGACGAGCCAATGACCACTTTTGTTGTGTGCAATGAGTGTGGGAACCGCTGGAAGGTAAGCATGCCTGACTCCCTTTATTTAATTGACCTAAGGTGGCGCTGTGGGTTAAACCACAAAGCCTAGGACTTGCCGATCAGAAGGTTGGCGGTTCGAATCCCCGCGACAGGGTGAGCTCCCGTTGCTCGGTCCCTGCTCCTGCCAACCTAGCAGTTTGAAAGCACGTCCAAGTGGTTTACACTCGGGTGGGAAGGTAAATGGTGTTTCCGTGCGCTGCTCTGGTTCGCCAGAAGCGGCTTAGTCATGCTGGCCACATGACCCGGAAGCTGTACGCCGGCTCCCTCGGCCAGTAAAGCGAGATGAGCGCCACAACCCCAGAGTCGTCGGCGACTGGACCTAATGGTCAGGGGTCCCTTTACCTTTACCTTTAAGGGCCTGCATCATGACATCTTCCACCAACCTCTTTTCTGGATGAAATGGCACGTGTGAAGAATAAAACAATTCCCCGAACAACGTAGGATGAGCTCTCCAGTATTGCTTTGTACTGCTTCAGACACTTGGCGAATATGCATAGATCATATAGATCTTGTTCCGTGCTGTTTGGATAATTGCTTTATAGTTCACACACACTCTTATCATCTGAATTGGATTATTGTTTACACATTGGCCCGTGTTTGCTGCTACACAGTGACCCCAACTTGTATTTTCAGTAATGTTCATATTGAGACAACTTTTAATGGAGCTCCTGTGGCTCGGTCTTTTTGTTATCTTTAATTGAGGACTCTCTGCCTCTCTCTCTGTCTACAGCAGGGCTAGCCAATGCATTGCCCTGAAGACATTGATGGACTGTTAACTCCCATCAGCCCCAGTCAGCATGGCCAGTGCTCAGGGATGATGGGAGTTGTAGTCCAACATATGGAAGGCATCACATTGGCAGACAGAAGTACTGTGTTCAGTCTGACCTCAGCATGCAGCCTAAAAGGTTTATAGTCCATGACATATAATGGCTGCAATGGGATTCCAGTAGGCAGAGTGTGACTTTTTTCAATTTAAAAAACCACAACTCTCAGGCCATTCTCCCTGCCCCGTCAGCCCTCTCTGTCTTCCCAAGTTCCTTCCCTTCCTTGCCAATACTGTGCAGCAGCAAGAAAATCAAATCCGGTTATTCTGCAAAGAGAGCCCTCTCTGGTGCGTCTGTGTTTTGGGGTAAAATCACAGGCATCTTGGTTGACTCTTTTCAATCTTACCAACTTCTTGCAGTTCTGCTGAGACATCCCGGACCAGGGCATCAGTTGCAGCCGCCAACGCTGGGCCGGATCTCTGCCATACATTCCCCCCAACACCGCCAGCAACTTTTGTACTGTTTTTGTCGCCGAGTTTGCTTTGTGCTCTGTACATCATCTGGTCAGAGGAGGTCCCGGCTGCCTGCACACCTCTGGAAAGAGCAGCAGCCGGGGTTGGAGGCTGGGAGGGGGCCGGATGGAGAATTCGTGTGGACTTGACCACCTTTGGAGTTTCTCATCCTGAATCAGTATTTTGTGAGGGTCTGGAACAGTATTAAACATTTTTTTTTTTGGTTTTGGTTTTTTTAAAAAGAAATTTGGCCAGGTGTCTCGTCTTGAGCGTACGATAGCTTCTTCCGACTTTCCTTTCTTGTCCCCTTTCTCGAAAGCTGAAACGAACATCCGCCTCACTCTGTTAGCACAGAGGCAGGAGAAGGGAAGCCAAATTAGCAGCCACTGCAACCGAAGCTTATGTCTATGGAATAAAATTCTGTGGGCAATTCTTGGTCGAGACACCTCCGCACGCTTGCCAGACCACAACCCATAAGGAGTTCCTTTTGGGTGGGGGGTGAAAATGAAACCAGTTTCAAAGCAGATCTTCTCCCAGAACCAGGCTGTATGGCAAGACGCCTCAGAAGAGGTGTTGCAAAGGAAAGGTGTGTGAGGGGGATGGATTCAGAGCAACAAAGCACACTGAATAAGAACCTCATGAGGACTACCTCCATTAGGAAGCGCTTGGCACTGGAAAGGGGGTAAAGGTCAGGCTTCATTCTCATGCTTCGCCCTCCAACTTCATGGTTGTCCATTTGATGCCGTGCACCGGACCTTTTAGGGTTTATCTCCACTACACATTTTATAATAGTCATGGCTCCTCCTCGCAAAGAAATCTGGGAATTGACATTTGCCAGGGGTGCTGAGAACTCTGCCTCGAGATTCCCTCGCCTTCCTTAGCGGGTAGCAACGTTGCTGGCCTCTGAGCATCAGAGACCCTCCTGCCCTCTGCCGGCCACCCACACAGGAAGAGCTGGGGAGAGGTGGGGCCCATCTCCCAGTTGGGCTCTTATGGGGGTGTCTGTGGGGGGGTGTGCACTGGGTGCATGTCAGAAAGGAGAGCAAGCTCGCTACAGAATGGAGCGGACGACCTGGCCAGCAGATGCAAACGCAGGTGGGTTAAGAAAAGAATCATCTGCTGGCGTACTTGAGGTTGGGCACGCAACGGCCACTGGGGGAAAGGCCCAGTGGGTCCCTGGCAAGGAGAAGGTTTTGTGCTCAAGGCATTTCAAGCGGGGGGAAGGAGGGGGGAAGGCCATGGCTGGCTTGGGCTTTTAGCACCCACTTCAATCCTAGGAAAGGCTTTTGAATCGGGATTTTGCACCATCACTCCCAGGCAGCCAATGTAGCTAAGGGTAGGGCAGCGCCTGTGAGCAAGAAAATGCAGTGAAGTGCAGGGAGACCACACAGCTTTTGGCAAAGGCATATTGGCTTGCATCTCCTGCCCTTCGCTGCATCTGTGCCTGCTCTCCCCCACCCGCTTTTTTTTGTATGTTCCATGTACAGTTGTGAAGGAACAAAGTACAGTCATACCTCGGGTTAAATATGCTTCAGGTTGAGCGTTTTCAGGTCGCGCTCCGCGGCGACCCGGAAGTAACGGAACACATTACTTCCGGGTTTTGCTGCTCGCGCATGCACAGATACTCAAAATGACGCGGGTTGCGTTCGCTTCAGGATGCGAACGGGGCTCCGGAATGGATCCCGTTCGCATCCAGAGGTACCACTGTAATAAAAATTCCTAACAGAAAGATGAGGCTCTTCATGCACTGCGCCCAGGTAACAATTCTAAAACCCGGAAACTACAGCTAATCCAGAATGCGGCAGCTAGACTGGGGACTGGGAGCAGCCGCCGAGACTACATAACACTGGTCTTGAAAGACCTACACTGGCTCCCAGGACGTTTCTGAGCACAATTCAAAGTGTTGGTGCAGACCTTTAAAGCCCTAAACGGCCCGAGTCCAGTATATCTGAAGGAGCATCTACACCCCCATCGTTCTGCCCGGACACTGAGGTCCAGTGTCAAGGGTCTTCTAGCAGTTCCCTCCCTGCGAGAAGTGAGGTTACAGGAAACCAGGCAGAGGGCCTTCACGGTGGTGGCGCCCGCCCTGTGGGATGCCCTCCCACCAGATATCAAGGAAATAAACAAGTATCTGACTTTTAGAAGACATCTGAAGGCAGCCCTGTTTAGGGAAGCTTTTAATGTTTAATAAGACTATTGTATTTTAATATTCTGTTGAAAGCCGCCCAGAGTGGCTGGGAAAACCCAGCCAGTTTGGAAGGGTATAAATAATAAATTATTATTATTATAACATCAAAGTCCTCTTTAGAAATCAGTGCCACAGGGCCAAATGACTATGCATAATTTGCAGATTTAGGTCCAGCAGGAATTCCTTCTAAAGAGGGCAGAGGTGAGAGCGAAACCCCATTGGTTGCCTTTGTTTTTGTTTTTGTTTTTAAAAAAAATAAAATAGCCATCCAGCAGGCAAAAGGGAAAGCCACGTACAACAGCCAGGTGCCTTTGCTTCTTTGAATTGGTTTCGTAGCATCTCTTTAGCCTGCCGGCACAGGAGGATCTTGGAATATCCATGGATGTGAACATTCATTCTTCCTTTCCAAGCAGTGGAACCACAAACGCCATTTAAATAAAATAAAATAAATGTTCATTGTTGTCCTTTCCTTCTAAAACACCTTCATTTAAAGACACCAGGAACTCATTGCCGTAATTGGTTCGGGTGGGAGAGACTTCTTTAAAAAATAAAAAAAATGAAGGTTTTTTGGTAGAGGGATGGGTCAGATATACAGAAAGGATTTGACATGATCTGAAAAGGCAGCCTGCCACGTCAAGCCTCTGGTGTGTGTTGGGATTCCATAGCTGTTTTGTACCTTTGCCAGTTGGAGAACAGACTAAATATGGCAAATATTGCAGCAAGCCTGCCAATCCGCTTCCAAGCTCCACCTTTTATGTTTTGCAAAAATAAACATATTTTCCTCTCCTCCCAACGTACTTCTATTCCTGCTGGAGTTGCTTGATATGGAGAAACAACCTTTTTGCATTCAGCTTGGTACTCGCTGCTGTTTCCATGGCATCCATAGAGTAAGGATTTTCTTCGGGGGGGGGACTCCCTCCCCCCCCCCCCAATAATCCAAAATGAGTGCAATATAAGATCCACTGCAAAATAGCATTTCCTGATCATTAATTTTAGGGAAACGGTGCTGCAATTTTAAAATGCAGATATAAAGGAATCATTTTAATGGGCCGCAGCTCTCCTGCTCACATCTTCATGGCAAGCTGAAGCATAAAAAGAGATAGGTGAATCTGAAGGTCATAGTCCTACTCCCTGCCCCCCAAACAGGATTCTCTATGCATTGAATCATGGGCACACTGTGCAGAAAATCCCCTTGCAGATACATGACAGCAGAAAGTTGCACAAGAGAACATGGTTGTTATGTACTGAGTTGAATAGGATCCAAAATGCAGCAGTCTGATGGGTCCTAGAACAATGCAGCCGTCTGATTGGTCCACAGGAGCCACCCAATCCAGCTCCAGGTGGAAGTGAATCCACAACCTGATTGGCCTACAGGAGAATCCCGGAATTAGCCAATCACGTGCAGCCCATTGTGTAAATAATGTATATAAAGCAGATATTTGGGGGGAACTTTCATTCCTCCTCACCACTATGAGCTGAATAAAGAGCATGAAATCCACTCTCGACTCCGAGTATATTTCAATGAGACTAGAAACCAAGGCTCCATGCATAGCCAAGCAACCAGTTTCCAAGAGTTGCCAGCCAAGGTGCTTCTAGGAAATTCACAAACCAACATGACCCACAAACTGGTGTTGGGGTTGATGCTGCCTGAAATGTGGAGATTCCACTTCATCAGCATGGCTAAGTAGCTTAGCTGTCCTCCATGCATTTTCTTTATAAAAACCAAACAGATTTATCTAAGACAGGGGCAGTGATCTGCTAGGACAGCTTAGTTGGTAGAGCACGAGACTTAATCTCAGGGTTGTGGGTTTGAGCCCCACATTGGATTAAAGATCCCAGTATTTCAGGGGTTGGACTAGAACCCTGGTGATAAATCTACATAAATTCCATATTGCTTTGTGAGCAGTACTTTGGTCTGTCTTGAATCCACTCCCAGTAAAATCCATTGGGATAACCAGAGTTCTAGTGCTCTGGACAGAATCGTCAATCTGCTTTGTCTACCATGCATTTGATAAACTTCCCCCATGTCCCAAAGATTACATGTACCTTTTAATCATATTCTCCCACCCTTTGTGCCACATTGGAGAAATGTTGGAGGGTATTAAGTTGGAGAGTGTTCTCGAAGCTACCAACATGAGTTTGACCAAACTGCGGGAGGCAGTGGAAGACAGGAGTGCCTGGCGTGCTCTGGTCCATGGGGTCACGAAGAGTTGGACACGACTAGGTAAAGGTAAAGGGACCCCTGACCATTAGGTCCAGTCATGACCAACTATGGGGTTGCGGTGCTCATCTCGCTTTATTGGCCAAGGGAGCCGGCGTACAGCTTCCAGGTCATGTGGCCAGCAGAACTAAGCCGCTTCTGGCAAACCAGAGCAGCACATGGAAACGCCATTTACCTTCCCGCCAGAGCGGTACCTATTTATCTACTTGCACTTTGACGTGCTTTCGAACTTCTAGGTTGGCAGGAGCAGGGACTGAGCAACGGGAGCTCACCCCGTCACGGGGATTCGAACCGCCGACCTTCTGATCGGCAAGTCCTAGGCTCTGTGGTTTAACCCACAGTGCCACCTGTGTCCTGTGGACACGACTAAGCAATAATTAAATTGGAAGCCCAGTTTCCTGTAAGAGAAAAAGGCTCTGTCAGTTGTAGTTATCTGCCAGATCTGACATTTGCTACAAGGTACTGCCTTTTAACAACTTGGGAGTCGGGACCAAAGAACTCACTGGGAGCTACTCTCCATTACTTGCCAGGCTGCGCCTTGTTGCTTTGCTTCCATTGGTGGCTGCACCTGATTCTGCAGCCAGGTCTGTGTCATACAATAACATACAATTTTCTGTAGCAGACCCTCCCGTTGGTGAAACTCCACAAAAGAGGCTCACTGGCAACTTGGAGAGATTTTCACATGTGCATTTGAAGGTCTGTGAATGGGCATGAATATTTGGGTGCTTGAACCACTTTACCTGCTTAATGTGATGTTTTAAGTACAGTTGTACCTTGGTTTTCAAACGCCTTGGTTCCCAAATGCCAAAAACTTGGAAGTGTGTGTTCCGGTTTTTAAACGTTTTTCGGAAGCTGAACGTCCAATGTGGCTGTCGGCTAGTTTCCGGGGTGCCTGCACCAATCAGAAGCTGCGCCTTGGTTTTTGAACATTTTGGAAAAACTGACTTCCGGAATGGATTAAGTTTGGCGCTTTTGTTTTTGCTATTTTGCATTTTTAAGGCTTTTTTCTGTTGTTCTCGTGACTGTGCGGATGATAGTTTTTATCATCTATAATACTGTCTTATTTGTTTTACAGTACTGTACATTATTGCTTTCATTTTATGGATCAATGGTCTCGTTAGATAGTAAAATTCATGTTAAATTGCTGTTTTAGGGGTTGTTTTTAAAAGTCTGGAATGGATTAATCCGTTTTGCATTACTTTCTATGGGAAAGCGCACCTTGGTTTTGGAATGGGCTTCTGGAACGGATTAAGTTTGAGAACCAAGGTACCACTGCAGACTGTTTCATCTTGTATGTTCACCTGGGGATCCTTTGGGATGAAGGCCATCTATAAATGTCTCTTAAACCCAAATGAATATCCCAGGAGGAAGACGTTGTTAAGCGCCCAGTCAGAACTGACAGGGCTCAGTTACATGCATAGCTTACCTAACTTTGCCCAGATCACAGCTGGAATAATTTGTATGGGTCCTTCCCCAGAGTGGCAGAGATGTGCAAAAGTGCATGTGGAAGCTTTGCTTAAGGTTAAAAAAATTAAAATCCTTGCAGCTTCCCTTAAACTTCTTGCAGTTTCAGCTCAGGCAGAGGCTTCCAAAGCTCTTCAAATTTAGCCCGTCTCTCTCACCTTGAGAAAATGCACTTATCCCACTCAGCTAACTTGAAAATATCTATCATGCAACGCAGGCTTGTTCCTTTTTGAAGCCATTTGCCCCAATTGTTGTGATGCATCTCCAAGTTTTTATCTGCCTTTTGCGCCACGGTCCTACGGAGCTGTGTAGGAAGCACATTTGATTCCAAAAGGTTGGGGACAATATTTTGTCCATGCCCCAGGCAGGACTCTCTTCCCATTCACCCGATACTTGAGTGAACACTGAAGTTCCCAAAATGCTTGTGTCTGAGAAGGTACATTTAAAACAGTACTTAGACTTCCTCTGTCTGTTCTTTCACACTGTCATTTGCATTGCATTTACCACTCCTTTGAGTGTGGCCTAGGGTCTTTTGATACTTGCTCTCATAAATCAGATTCGTCTTATCAGTGTCAGGCAATCCAGACTTCTGGTGTCAAATACTATGGGGTGGGGGAAGGATGGCTCTCAGGTGAGCAACATTTCTTATACAGTGGTGCCTCGCAAGACGAAATTAATCCGTTCCGCGAGTGTCTTCGTCTAGCGGTTTTTTCATCTTGCGAAGCAACCCTATTAGTGGCTTAACGGATTAGCGCTATTAGCGGTTTAGCGGCTATTAAAGGCTTATCGGCTTAGCTGCTAAAAGGCTATTAAAGGCTTAGCGGCTTAGATAAAGGGGGGGGGGAGCGAAAAAAAAATCTCAAGACCCGCAAGACATTTTCGTCTTGTGAAGCAAGCCCATAGGGAAATTTGTCCTGCGAAGCAACTCAAAAACGGAAAACCCTTTCGTCTAGCGGGTTTTCCGTCTTGCGAGGCATTCGTCTTGCGGGGCACCACTGTACTGCGAATCTTCAAATTAAGAATTCTACAGTTTTGTTTTCCTCTAAAATTCAGGGTGGGATGCGGGTGGCGCTGTGGGTTAAAACCACAGAGCCTAGGACTTGCTGATCAGAAGGTCGGCCGTTTGAATCCCCGCGATGGGGTGAGCTGCCGTTGCTCGGTCCCTGCTCCTGCCAACCTAGCAGTTCGAAAGCACGTCAAAGTGCAAGTAGATAAATAGGTACCGCTCCGGCGGGAAGGGAAAGTGCAAGTAGATAAATAGGTACCGCTCTGGCGGGAAGGTAAACGGCATTTCCGTGCGCTGCTCTGGTTCGCCAGAAACGGCTTCGTCATACTGGCCACATGACCCGGAAGCTGTACACCGGCTCCCTCGGCCAGTAAAGCGAGATGAGCGCCACAACCCAAGTAGGTCACGACTGGACCTAATGGTCAGGGGTCCCTTTACCTTTAAAAGTCAGGGTAGGCTTATGAAAAGTTGTTAAACAACATACTAAATGTGAAAGTGTCCACCCTCACTAAGAACTGAAGATTTCATTGGGTTTCATATACAGTGGTACCTCAGGTTACATACGCTTCAGGTTACAGACTCCGCTAACCCAGAAATAGTGCTTCAGGTTAAGAACTTTGCTTCAGGTTGAGAGCAGAAATCGTGCTCTGGCGGTGCAGCAGCAGCAGCAGGCCTCATTAGCTAAAGTGGTGCTTCAGGTTAAGAACAGTTTCAGGTTAAGTATGGACCTCCGGAACGAATTAAGCACTCAACCCAAGGTACCACTGTAGTAACTTTACATTTTGGGAGTCCAAGAAGAAAGGGGAGTTGGAACTTGTTGTAAAACATTGCAGATTGTAGACTATGTCCTGCCTGAATACCACTGACTGATTGTTTTATGAAAAGTACCCATTCACCCCAGTGAATAACACCCATCATTAATATTGGAGAAACCACATAGGGAGACTTCCTGTGGCAAACCTGCTCTCCATCCTGAGCACTGGATAGTCTAGCACTACATTAGAGTGCTATGCTTCTTTTTAAATTGAAAATGGCCCAATTGGAAGGTTGGGTGGGGAGAGGCCACGTAACCCTTTCTCCTCCAGCTTTTGATCTGCCCATCCCAACATCTGTCCAGTAAGAACAATTAGCAGGGTGATCTCTTGACCATTCCCCCAAACATTTCTCTCTCTCATACACGAACCAGATCCTTTATATCCACAGACCTCGTAGCTGATCCACGTTTGCAGGAAAAGCTTTGGTCAGAAAAGTGCTGGAACTCGGATACATTTCTGCTGCTTTTAGGGAACCACAAGACAGCATTAAGAAGCAAAGTGTGTGTGTGGTTGTGTCTTCGTTCCTTGGTGGAGCACTCAGATAATCACCACCTCCATGTTCAAAGCAGCATAACGTACAGCCACCCCAGAACATGGAACATAACCCCACATTTTGTTGCCTGTTCCCCAAAATCAGTGTGGCAGGTGGGCCATAAATTTTTTTTGCATGGATCTGGCAGATGCCTGCCAAAGTAAATTCTCTAGATATTGAGCCAACATCACCTACAGGGGAATTTTATTTTCCCCTATAGTTACCGTGACACAACTTCACCTCTTGGCTTTCCCACTCAATGCACAGCACAAACACTAGCCATATTCCTTAACCCAAAGGGACAAGACTCACAGAAGCACCATGACTTTTGCCGCCCATTAAGAGAGTTGGGTGCTGATGAGGCACTTGCCGCCTTGTTTTGAGTTTTCAATTTATGAAATGGGAATAAGAATGATCTACATCACAGGGTTGCTGTGAGTAGAAGACAAAGCACCTCGTAATTATGCTGTGCAAGAGGAATCTGCCAAAAATATATGCATTAAATGTTGCAGTATGGAATCCTTCCGTCTTAAGTGTTCCAGCTACCCAGCCATGCTTCCTTCCTGGATATTCAATTGCATTCACTCTGTTTTCAGTTCCCCATGCTACAACACACAGCATTCCAGTCCAATCGAGCATATTCAGCCCTCCTTGAGCTGTTTTGGAGTTGTCCCTCATTTCTTTTCCTAAAAAAATAATAATTCTTTTTTGCATTTCTGCAAACCTCTGCATTCCATGAACACACCAGTATGTAGGAACTGGCACTCAAGAGAAAGATTTTGTTGTCACTACATCTATATCAATGCAAGAGTCAGAACTGATCTGTCCAGTCTGAATCAGGAAAGATGTATCCTAACAGAGCTACAGTACTCTCTCGCAAAGTGCCATTTCCTTTCCAGAATTAAAGACACTCAGCCTATTCACACTGTTGTAATTACTTGAGGTCACTTGCTGCAATTCTCATATTTCTCGCACCTGTAAAAAAATAATAATCCTCAATTGACACAACTGGCCTTTATTACTTCTGGTGGAAGAGAGTTCCACAGGTCAAAAAAGGGTTTGTTGTGTGTGTGAAGCCTGCCATGATGCGAACGTGTGCCCTCTGAGTGTTGTGTGGAAAGAGGGAAAGGGGAAACCCAGTTGCTCCTTTTAAGACTCTCCAAGGCCAGTTTCACGAAGTGCAGGTGTTACCAGGCAGAAACGAGAGAACTGCAAACAAAAGGCAGTTGAGAAGGAGCTCAAATCTTACTGGCTCTCCCAACATCGGTGTGGGGTGGCTGCGACACAGAGGCCTCAACTTCATTGCATATTGTGGCTTGATGAAAGCATGATTTCGACAGGCACCCACGCCCATCTTTCGGAAGAGGCCGTGGCAAACAGGCTGCGGTTCGTGACATAAGCTCCAATTGTGGCACCCACCATCAAACAATATAAGCTTTTGAGATCATGGAAGGGGGGAAAAAGAAGAACAAAAGGAGGGTGTCCCATCTTTGATGGAAGAAGACACAAAACCAGCTGCACATCTAATGTGAGGAAGAGTCCACAAATTGGCATTGCCCCAGGCAGATGCCCACTGGGACCTGGCATAGTTCAGGTGAGGGTTTCACTTTTGGAAACACTGCATGAACAGAACAGGAAGGGCCATGCAAGGAGTTTCTACCAAGGAAGCGTCTCTCCCTTTTTGTGGATACAGCTTCTCCTGTTACTGCAACGGTAGGATGGGAGAAACCAAATCTGGTGGGACGCCTCTCTCCTCAAGAGGAGACCGAGAGGAGATATGATGGCCATCTTCAAATATCTAATGAGCTGCCGCATGGAAGATGGAGAAAGCTGGTTTTCTCCTGCTCCTATGAGGACAGGACCAGAACCAACGGCTTCAAGTTACAAGGAGATTCTGACTAAAGAGGAGGAAGAACTTTCTGACGGCAACAGCTGTTCAACAGTGGAATGGACTCCTTCTGGGAGTCTTTAAGCAGTGGTTGGATGGCCACCTGCCCTAGTTGCTTTAGTTGAGGTTCTTGCATTGCAGCGGGTTGGACTAGATGGTCCTCAGGGTCCCTTCAAACTCTGCAATTCTGATTAAAAGGAACCACAGCCCTATCTGAGAGGCGTGTGTGACACCTTGACCTTTAGGCTTCCTTGGAGGTTGTTGCTAAGCAACCCAGCCTCTGAGACGGGCCACCCCATCCCATATCCCATAGTCCTATCTCACTCACTCTGCCTACTTCTGCTGTTGAATTGCTGGAGAGAGGAGATGCTCTGTCTTCCTCCAACAGGCACGACTGAGCTACTCCATTCTGCTCTAGCATGTACAGTGAGGAGAGACCAGATGGATCAAACCAACGGTCCATCTGTTCTAGCTTTCTGCTTCCTCCATGCTTAACCAGATGCTTCCAGGAAGCTCAAAAGCAGGACATGAAAGCAACAGCCTTCAGAGGCTCAAGGCCTCATCTTGGCATGACTGCTATGCCACGGAGTGCTGTGGCCCAGCGGAAAAGTTTCCTTCTCCATCCAAGTCTGCTCCCAAAAGAATAAGATGGAACCCCAGTTTTCCACCTGTCAAACATTTCCTTTACCTTTCGAAAACCAGGTCTCAGTTCCAGAGCCTCACACCTCCCAGAATCTGATGGGCTCCAAAAAGCATCTCCACCACCAAAGGCCTCCTGAATCTCTGTAGGACAAACACGTCATCGTACTATGAATTCCCCTGTGCTGCTAACACATGGAAGCCTCCTGTACACTTCTGGGATCTCAGGAAATTTGGAAGTTTACTTCCGGGTTGCTTCTGGGAAGGGCAAAACCATGATTTGCACCAGGGAGGTCTGCTTTCAGTGGAACTCCTCAACAACCCTACCTATCCCCCCTCCAAGAGCTCTGAGGTCAAGCTCTGCTCGGTTTTCCCACATCACTGAGATGACAGAAGCCTTCCCGAGGTCTGGCCCCAGCTGGAATAAATGCAACTTGGGGGAATAGAGAAAGCCTTTGAGTTGCACGGGACTCTTCTCTGGCCAAAAACCACCACCTACACCTGTGCAATTCAGAATATTCTTATGCTACACCCATATCGGTCTGACTGAAGCTTCCACCAGAACCATTTGAGATCTGCCACGGAAACAGCTCTTTTTTTTTTTTAAACAGGGAAAACCGAACAAAACAGAAAAAAGACAGGAAGAACAATATTCAGAAGATGTGGATTTTGGCCTTTTTCTTTTCTTTCGCCATGTTGCCCACGATTCTCTTGCCCCCTCCCGACGCCCACCCCTCCCTGCACCAGTTGGCCGATTCCTTCCGTACTTTTAGTTCTTCTGCGTGGTCAGCTAGCTTGCCAACACGGATTCAGTAGTAAAAGCAGAGGCCTGAGTTTTGAGGTTCACGTGATGGCAGGTGTCACCTTTCTGGCAGAAGAAGACGGGGCAGGTTTGCACAGAGTGAACTTCCTAGTAAGTTGGACCAGCAGCTTGTTGTTCAGAACTGAGGCGGTTTTACAGGATTTGGCCCAGAATGCCATTTCAGGTCCCTTGGTTCTGTAAGACCAAGTGGGAGGTCCATATATATATATATTTTAAAAAACCCCAAAGTTAACACCTGCCGTATGAAAGGAGAACCGTCACTTCGTATTTTGCTTCTCTCCCCATCCTCCCCAGTGATGAAGGTGGTGGAAGGGGCTTAGGACTCCGAAGATGACCGAGAGACGCTCTGGAGCAGTGCTTTGTATACGGCCGAGTTCAGAAAACGGGGATAGGAGTCTCTATGCATGAGTGTGTAGATCTGTAGCTGTGCATCGTCGAAGGTGTGCGAGGACGGCTCCTGCATCTTGCGGTTGATGCCTTCGCGGACGCGGGAGTCCAGGCTGACCTGAGGGACAGGTGGGCGAGAGAAGCAACACACCTTTTAGGGGAAAGATGGAAAGCGAATCTGCTGGGGAGAAGGGCTGAGCGATGTCTGGTTTTCACCAGCGAAACATTGCGATATACAGTGCTACCTCTGGATGTGAACGGGATCCGTTCCGGAGCCCTGTTTGCATCCTGAGTAGAACACAACCCGCATCTGCGGGTCACGATTCGGCGCTTCTGCACATGCGCGTGACGTCATTTTGAGCAACTGCGCATACGTGAGTGGTGAAACCTGGAAGTAACCCATTCCGTTACTTCCGGGTTGTCGCAGAGAGCAACCTGAAAACGCTCAACCTGAAGCGACTTTAACCCGAGGTATGACTGTACTGATTTTTCACAATGTCTGCAATAAGGAAGCAAACAGGGTAATGTCCCGGAAACCGCTTCTACTTAGGGGTCTGTAAGCGACACATTTTTACTTATCTTTAACAAATTGTTACGACTGTTATTTTGTATTGCAGAGCAACAGGGGAGGCAGGAATCATGAGAAAAGGGATGGCCGTTTCTCCCCATATCACGGTTTTTTACACAGCACACACACATGATTCGCGAAATATTGCCATGTCAGATATTATGAAACTGTTATCACGATGTGGACTTCAAACCAATTTTGGATGAAGTATCGATACATCGTCCAGCCCTACTGGGGATTACAGGGGAAATGGACACATCAGCCACGGGGAGGGAGGGAGGGAAGGAGCTGGGATAATAAAGTACATTATCAAATAACAGTTTTTAAGCATAGGTTGGGTAGCTATCTGTCATGTATGATCTAGCAGAGATTCCTGCACTGTAGGGGGTGGGACTAGCTCACCCTTGGGACGGGACCCCTTCCAAGTCTACAATTCTAGCTGCAAACGGACAGGTACCTCCTTGGGCGAAAGGATGGAGATGTAATCTTCGTAGATCATCCGAGCCTTCTCGTCGATGGCGTGCTTGTTGCACTCGCTTTTGAGTTCCTCGCAAGCCAGCCAGAAGAGCATGTTCTCCTCGCTGTACTCAGTCCGTAAGAATTCCCGGAACACGTTCCTGCCGGCTGGGTTCTTCATCAACTTGTCAAAAGACTGGGACCAGCCCTTGACTTCCTCAGTCGTCGGCTTGGCGCTGAAGGGGCAGCCCTCCCGCCAGGCAGAGGCAAAGGCAGCGCAGGAGGAGCCGCAGGGAACAAGATGGGGGAGAAAAGGAGTTATTTCAGTCCCCTCGGCCTGCTCTCAAGAGTCTCCCCCAGTGTGCTTGCTCAGGGGGAGAGATTCAGTTTTGCATGCAGCAGGTCCCAGGCTGAATCTCTATCATCTCCAGGTAGGTAGGAAAGGCCCCCTGCCTGGAACCCTGGCCTACAATATGGAGCCAGGTACTGAGACAGCGGGTGGCGCTGTGGGTTAAACCACAGAGCCTAGGGCTTGCCGATCAGAAGGTCGGCGGTTCGAATCCCCGCGATGGGGTGAGCTCCCGTTGCTCAGTCCCAGCTCCTGCCAACCTAGCAGTTCATAAGCACGTCAAAGTGCAAGTAGATAAATAGGTACCTCTCCGGCGGGAAGGTAAATGGCGTTTCCGTGCACTGCTCTGGTTCGCCAGAAGCGGCTTAGTCATGCTGGCCACATGACCCGGAAGCTGTACGCCGGCTCCCTTGGCCAATAAAGCGAGATGAGCGCTGCAACCCCAGAGTTGGCCACGACTGGACCTAATGGTCAGGGGTCCCCTTTACCCTTTCTGAGACTGCTGACAGGCAGTGTGGAGCAGTGGTTAAAGCGCTCGACTAGGGCCTGGGAGGCCAGGGTTCAGTTCCCCACTCGGCCATGAAGCTTGCTGGGTGTTCTTGGGCCAGTCACTCACTCACTCACTCCCAGCCTAGCCTACCTCACAGGGTTGTTGAGGGGATATAATGGGTTGGGGAGAGAACTGTTGGGTTATTCTGTTCCACCTTAAGGAACAGGCATGATTGTTGTGTGTCACATGCCTGTTTACACTCCAGCACAGCTTGCTGGGAACTTCCGTTTGTGTATAGCTTTTGCTTTAGCTGTCTTGCTTTGGACACGAAGGAGATCAGACATGTTTCCTTTCGTCCTGGTGTACGCTGAATAAACTGCTTGTAAATAGGCTCACACAGCCTCTCCTGCCTCTTCTTTTTGCGCAGTGTTTAATCTGCTGAGTAGCGTGCCCTAGCTTCTGAAGCTCAGGTCACAGATTCATGCTGTATCAAGGACTGGAGTTTGACTGGCACACCAGCCGGTGGGCTGGAGCCAGCTGAGGGCCTGCCAATTGCCCCCATTTCCTTAGCAGCATGCCAACAAGAACTATGTACGTCACCTTGAGCTCCTTGGAAAAAAAGTTGGGCTATAGTGGTGAAGTTTCTGCTTTGCACGCAGAAGGCCTCATATTCAATCCTCAGCATCCCCAGGTACTGCTGGCAGGAGCCCTGCCCCAAATCCCAGAGAGCCACTGCCAGTCAGTACAGACAGCACTGAGCCATATGGATGGCGGCTAACAGATGGAGGTTGAATCCTGACAAGACAGAAGTACTGTTTTTGGGGGACAGGGGGCGGGCGGGTCTGGGGGATTCCCTGGTCCTAAATGGGGTAACTGTGCTCTTGAAGGACCAGGTGCGCAGCCTGGGAATCATTTTGGACTCACAGCTGTCCATGGAGGCGCAGGTCAAATCTGTGTCCAGGGCAGCTGTTTACCAGCTCCATCTGGCACGAAGGCTGAGACCCTCCCTGCCCGCAGACTGTCTCGCCAGAGTGGTGCATGCTGTAGTTATCTCCCGCTTGGACTACTGCAATGCGCTCTACATGGGGCTACCTTTGAAGGTGACCCGGAAACTACAACTAATCCAGAATGTGGCAGCTAGACTGGTGAGTGGGAGTGGCCACCGGGACCACATAACACCGGTCCTGAAAGATCTGCATTGTCTCCCAGTACGTTTCTGAGCACAATTCAAAGTGTTGGTGCTGACCTTTAAAGCCCTAAACGGCCTCGGCCCAGTATACCTGAAGGAGCGTCTCCACCCCCATTGTTCAGCCTGGACACTGAGGTCCAGCTCCAAGGGCCTTCTGGCGGTCCTCTCATTGCGAGAAGTGAGGTTATGGGGAACCAGACAGAGGGCCTTCTCAGTAGTGGCGCCCACCCTGTGGAACACCCTCCCTTCAGATGTGAAGGAAATAAGCAGCTATCCTATCTTTATAAGACATCTGAAGGCAGCCCTGTTTAGGGAAGTTTTTAATATTTAATGCTGTATCGTTTTTAATACTCAATTGGGAGCTGCCCAGAGTGGCTGGGGAAACTCAGCCAGATGGGCGGGTTATATATTATTATTATTATTATTATTATTATTATTATTATTGTATCATCAGGGTTTCCCAAACATGGGTCTCCAGCTGTTTTTGGACTACAACTCCCATCATCCCTGACAACTGGCCCTGCTAGCTAGGGATGATGGGAGCTGTAGTCCAACAACAGCTGGAGACCCAAGTTTGGGAAACCCTTGGCAAAATGGACCAGGGGTCTAACTCAGTGTTAAGGTAGCTTCCTACGCTTTAACTACAGTTCTGAAAAACAAGCTTGCAGGACTGCACTAGGCCCTGAGTTACGGCAAGCTCACACATGGTCACTGACTTTCTGAAGATCCATTTATGTCTTTTTAATGTGCAAAAGGTGCAGAGATATTCCACACACACACCACCCATGTCTCCTGTGCTTCTTTCCTCTCTCTCTTTATGTATTTCATACTTCTTACTGGATTGCTATTTTAACTGCAAGACAAAGTCTTGAAAATTAAAATGGAAAGAACAAAGGATCTAGAAACCTCACCCTCTCTGGCCAGCTGAACTCTGGCCCTATAACTCCGAACGTTGCTTTTTGGTTTCTGAGATTTCATCACGCACCCACCTTTGATCTTATTAAGGACTAGAACCATGCTTTTTTTAAAAAACAAAAACAAACATAGAATGTAGCACTCTTGATTATTATTATCAAAAAAATATGTCTGCACACAAGACTTAACATCTATACAGTGGTGCCTCGCAAGACGAAATTAATTCGTTCTGCGAGTTTTTTCGTCTTGCGAATTTTTCGTCTTGCGAAGCACGGTTTCCCATAGGAATGCATTGAAAATCCAAAAGGAAACAAACTTGCAAGACGTTTTCGTCTTGTGAAGCAAGCCCATAGGGAAATTCGTCTTGCGAAGCAACTCAAAAAACGAAAAACTCTTTCGTCTTGCGAGTTTTTCATCTTGCGAGGCATTCGTCTTGCGAGGTACCACTGTACATGCATTTGTGCTTTAGCTTGATGCTTGGCAATTGCCCTAAAAAGATTCAATAAAGTCTGTAATAAAAAAGAAGTTTGTCTTCCCTAACATAAGAGCCCTCCTGATGTTTGCAAGTACAGCTCACACCAGTCCCAGTGTCACCACTGGGGAACCAGCACCACATTCGGGAAGGCTGTGTTCTAAGCTAATACCAATTTATTTGGAGAAAGGCTGTAGCTCAGCAGTACAAGATCAGCTTTGAATGCAGAGGTCTCCAGGCAGGGATGGGATAGTTGCTTCCAATATGTGTAGACAATATTGAGCTAGATGGATAAATTGGGGGCCTGAGTGAGGCACCTTCCTATGTTCCTTTGCTTCCAGAGGGCCAAGTCAAGCACTTTAAAAACCCACTTTCGGGGGGAAATCCCATCAATAAAAAGAATGGCAAATCAAATTTTGTGAATCTATATATGGCAAGATTCACAGCATTCTTAAGGGGACAATCGGACCAAAAATTAGTAAAAGAATGGGATTGTGTTAAATAACATATGAAAAAACATTGTTCTGGAGTAAGTATATTGGTATGTAATGAATGAAGCTTTGCAGGGTTAAAGAAATTGAAAAATGGTGCAAGAGGTATAAAGATAGAGGTAATCTACACTAGACACAACAATACAGAAAGATTAAAAACGATGAGGTCACAGAACAAAGGAAGGAAATCAATATGTGTATATGTATGTAACAATTAGTATGATGATATGGTTTTCTTAGAGGGACACGGGTGGCGCTGTGGGTTAAACCACAGAGCCTGGGACTTGCCGATCAAAAGGTCGGCGGTTCGAATCCCCGTGACGGGGTGAGCTCCCGTTGCTCGGTCCCAGCTCCTGCCAACCTAGCAGTTCGAAAGCACATCAAAGTGCATGTAGATAAATAGGTACTGCTCCTGCAGGAAGGTAAACGGCATGTCTGTGCGCAGCTCTGGTTCGCCAGAAGCGGCTTAGTCCTGCTGGCCACATGACCTGGAAGCTGTACGCTGGCTCCCTCGGCCAATAAAGCGAGATGAGAGCTGTAACCCCAGAGTCGTCCACGACTGGACCTAATGGTCAGGGGCCCTTTACCTTTACCTATGGTTTTCTTTGTAGGTGTGATTATTCTTTTTCTTTTCTTTTTTTATCTTTCTTTTTTGTTTTGCTCTGTCTTGTTCTGCTTTGTTTTGGACTTTATGTTTGTAATCTATTTTTAAAAATAATAAAAACGAAACAAAAAGCCACTTTCAGCCCATGCATGATAGCTCAGTCGTTAAGAGCATGAGACTCTTAAACTCAGGGTCGTGAGTTCCAAGCCCCATGTTGGGCAGGGAGATTCCTGCATCAAAGGGGGTTGGACTAGATGACCCTCATGGTCCCTTCCAACTCTACGGTTCTATGATGTCAGTGTACTTAACTCTCCCACTGAAAGTGATCAAACTTGGAAGGCACTTCATCACTTTAGCTGGGTCATGCACCTTTCGTGTAGAGATTTACCTCTGCTCCCCATGGCTCCAAAGGAGCCCGGAGGAAACCTAACAACGGATAAAAACCAGTCACTAAAAACAGCCACTAAAATGCATCCATAAAAACCAGCAAACAGTGCCACAGCCATTAAAAACCCTACAAAAACCAGAAAAGAACAACAGGACCTCGGTGGAATCTCAGAAAACTAAAGTTAACTTCCCAAACATTTGCCAGGGAACGATGGTTCTTTCGTATCTCCAGAAAAACAAGCAAGCCAAAATACAGACCTGTTGAACTTGCCTATCTGGGGAGTAAATTGTTTCAGTGAGGATGCCACCACCAAAAAGGCCCTGCCCGTTGTCCTGGCATTTCCTCAGCATGGCTTGCTATGGACAGGTTGATGGTGAAAATTCTGAGTGCACAAGAGCTGCCACCATGGCAAAGAGTGAACTCACCAGGCTTCACAGTTTGGAATGGGCTCCAGTTTGGTGTCTCGCGATGCCCTCCACGCCCGCTCACGATCTTCATTCCTAGTATCAAAATGAAAAGATTGCAAATAGGGCAGGGTGTGTACAGCATCAAGAATGAAGTTATGGAGAAGCTTCAAGCATATGCTCATGCTCCCCACCACCCTACCTTATAAATGAATTTTATTATTTCGGTCACGGACCAGTTGCAGCCCACATACAATACCAAGGAAGTCATAAAACACGATAGGGATACATTTGAATTTGTAATTAGGTATAAGAGGGACAATACAGATATAGCAACAGTTAAAAATATATAAATTAAAACTTAGTCACTAACATTATCATTTAAAACTGTAATCATTATGATAGAACAGCTTGTTCCCTAAGTTTTATGGCAATCACACAGAATTTGGCTATGCTTAACATGATCTCAGGATCCTCGTCCTCTACCAGGGATTTTAGACACTGAAGTCTGGATTCATTTGGAGATTTTTGCATAGCGTATATCCCCAAAGAAACGGCACCGTAACAAGGCACACCCTACCTTATGAGTAAAGTTCAAACTACATGTTAATCAGAGTTGATTCTATGGATTGCCTCCTCCCCAAAACCCAAACCCAACTGGGAAAAGCTGCTTAACCCCTTTCCACTCCTACAGCTTTCCTGCTCAAGAGCACGCCTAACTTTCCCCCCCAACAAGTGTAAAAGCACCCAGGAGAGGTCCGTTTTGAGCTGAAAAATGACGAGGGAGGGAAGGGTTAAGCACCTTGCACCCTTCTGCACAGATGCAGCTCACGCCAGGGCTGCTGCGTTTTGAAAATGAAGCAGAGAGAGAAAAGAATGGATAAACTCCACATCAGAGGCAGACTGAGACTCAAGAGCTTATATATAGGAAACTTAGGGAAGGAAATGTGCAGCCGTCTTTACCAAAGCTGACAAGTAGAGGTCAGTGTTCTCTCAAAGTTAAAGCAGGCAACGGTTTCACTAGCAAATATAATAAGTTTAAACGCTGCTCCAGGAAGTGAAACTTTTTACCGCTAGGTTGGCTTGGAGGTGATGCCCAGAGCCAAAGGAAGACAAGCATGAACCGTAACTCTGTTAGTTGGATGAGACAAGTGTCTGAAATCTTGGAGTGCAGCTGCCAGTCCGTGTGGGCAATACTGAGCTAGGTGGACCAACAGTCCAGATTCCTATTTTTCATTATATTTATATCCCAAGCTTCTTCCGAAAGAGCCCCTTTTCCTGCTGTCGAGTCCTACTCTCAGCTGTTCCCCTGCGATGTTTGTGAGCCTTGGCAGCTATGTACAAGGCAGGATTTTCAAAAGCAGGGGCAGGAAAACCAAAATTCCCTCTTCTACCTACAAAACGAGCCCTGCTCTCTTCTGCCTCACCTCAAGCTCAACTCCAGTGTTAAGTCTCAGTACAATTCTCTCTGTGTTGACCAGGGGATAGCTGAGAGTGGGGTTGCACTGCAGAAAAAGGGACTCTTGGAAGAGGCATGGGATATGAAGTTAATGAAAAATTATCTGAACCAACCCCTGCTGCTTGGCTGATCATGGGGAGGATATGCTGTGGGGCATGTGAGATTAGGCAGTGGGCTAGAAGCAGCCTAGGGAGCACAGGTTGAACAAGAAATAGAGCGGGGAAAGTATGTTCTTTGGAGTTTATGCATAGTGACTGGAGAATGTGCACATTGCCCAGACAATGAACAAGACGCAGCCAATATTATGCACATTCCCCAAGGCCTTGTGCATTTGGGATTGGGGATTGTGGGGATTGTGCATAATGACCCGGAAATGCACATAATGTCCTCTTCACAGACAGATTCTGTGCACCTTCTCCATGAGGCTCAGTGAATGTGCATAATGGCCGGGTGTTAATGCACATTGAGTTGGGACGCGGGTGGCGCTGTGGGTTAAACCACAGAGCCTAGGACTTGCCGATCAGAAGGTCGGCGGTTCGAATCCCTGTGATGGGGTGAGTTCCCGTTGCTCGGTCCCTGCTCCTGCCAACCTGGCAGTTCGAAAGCATGTCAAAGTGCAAGTAGATAAATGGTACCGCTCCAGTGGGAAGGTAAACGGCGTTTCCGTGCACTGCTCTGGTTCGCCAGAAGCGGCTTAGTCATGCTGGCCACATGACCTGGAAGCTGTACGCCGGCTCCTACGGCCAGTAAAGCGAGATGAGCGCCGCAACCCCAGAGTCGGCCATGACTGGACCTAATGGTCAGGGGTCCCTTTACCTTTAATGCACATTAGCAGCTCAACTTACATTCCACTTAGCACACACAAAAACATCAGCTGCCTGATTAATCTGAGCATCTTTCTAGTCAGTCATTTTATATATATCTATATCTATATCTATATCTATATCTATATCTATATAGATATAGATATATATATAGATATAGATATATAGATATATATATATCTATCACACTCTAGACATTTCGCCTATTAAAGTTTGCATCCTTGATTCAAACATAAAAGATCAATGTCGGCAGCCTCCTCTGTGCCCGAGGCAAGCGACTGTAGGCCCAAGTTGCTTCAACTTCCTTTTTTTTTTTAAAAGAAAAAGAACTTTCGCTCGAAAGCCCCACAGGAAGAGAAGTTCCGGTGTGCAAATTTCATCTTTTTCTCACCCCCCTTCTGCCTGGCGGTCTGAGAGCATCAACTATACAGGAAAAGAATTAACACAAAGATATGCCACTGTCAAAGGAAGCCACCCTGAGTCCAAATGTGACCGCAGGCTTATCTTGCTGGGACTTGGGGGAAAGGCAGACAGAGTGGCAGATCCTCGTCTGACTGCAGTGGCTACCAATCAGCTTCCGGGCCCAATTCAAAGTGATGGTTTTGACCTATAAACCTTAAACGGCTCAGGACCGCAATACCTCAAGGACTGCCTCTTTCCAAATGTACCTACCCGGACCCTGAGATCATCTTCTGAGACTCTTCTTCGTGTGCCCCCTCCTCAATAGGTCAGGAAAGTGGCAACACGTGAACAGGGCCTTCTCTGCAGTGGCTCCCTGTCTGTGGAATGCTCTCCCCAGGGAAGTTTGCCTGGCACCTTCATTATACACCTTTAGGCACCAGGCAAAAAAAGTTCCTTTTTAACCAGACCTTTGGTTGATTTGTTTTACATCCTATACCCTTTTAAAATGTGGCTCTTTTCTGGGGTGTGTGCATGCTATTGAGTTGTTTTTATTCTGATTATATACTGTATGTTGTTATTTTTTATGTGAACTGCCCTGAGACCTCCGGGTATAGGGCAGTATATAAACTCAATCTATCAATCAAAATAATAATAATTTAGCCTGGAGGTGAAGCAATGGCTGAGGAGGTCCCAAGTTCCATTTCCAGTATTTCCAGTTAGGGCTTGGAGTGTTCCCAGTCTGAAACCGTGGAGAGTGGCTGCCAATCTGTGCAGGAAGCACTGAGTTATGTGGACCAACAGTCTAACTCTGTGTAAGGAAGTGTTCTCTGTTCCTAGCCGAAGATGTGAAGAACAGGTCTTTCTCTGTATCCCACTCAAAATGGGAGTGTGGTCAGTGGTGGCTGGAGACAGGGTCTTCTCTGTGGTGTTGTTGTTGCTTAGTCGTGTCCGACTCTTCGTGACCCCATGGACCGGAGCACGCCAGGCCCTCCTGTCTTCCACGGCCTCCGGCAGTTTGGTCAAACTCATGCTGGTAGCTCTGAGAACACTGTCCAGCCATCTCATCCTCGTCGTCCCCTTCTCCTTGTGCCCTCCATCTTTCCCAACATCAGGGTCTTTTCCAGGGAGTCTTCTCTTCTCATGAGGTGGCCAAAGTCTTGGAGCCTCAGCTTCAGGATCTGTCCTTCCAGTGAGCGCTCAGGGCTGATTTCCTTCAGAATGGAGAGGTTTGATCTTCTTGCAGTCCATGGGACTCTCAAGCATCTCCTCCAGCACCAGAATTCAAAAGCATCAATTCTTTGGCGATCAGCCTTCTTTATGGTCCAGCTTTCTCTGTGGTGGTACTCAAGTTATTAGACACTTTGCCCCATGGGGTTTGGGCGGCTCCCTTTCTTGCTGCTTCCACAATCCCAGAATGTTCATGCTTCTGTCTTAGTGACGTCTATGCTGTTACTTGGTCAAGTCCACAGAATGGAAGACGGCAGGATCCCCAAGGATGTGCTCTACAGGGAGCTGGCTTCCAGCACCAGGTGTGTTGGCAGGCCAACTCTGCGTTACAAAGTTGTCTGCAAATGGCTGGCAACACCAACCCCACCATGTGGGAATCCCTTGCAGATTACTGCAGTGCCTGGAGACAGTCAGGTTGTGCATCCATCACAGTGACCAGAAGAGGAAAAACCGCTGGGAGGAGCGCAGAGGGAAGAAAGGCCATGGTGCAAAACCAGGTGCCTTCTTCTGCCCCAGCTGCAACAAAACATGTCTCTCCCGTATCGGTCTCTACAGCCACAGTAGGCACTGAAACTCTCCAACGGTTTGAGTTCACCTGCAAAGGCGCACTCCTCCATCGTCTCCCGAGACAGAAGTATGCCAACAACAGTACAGTACAGACTTCCCTATTCCGGCAGACATTTGCCTTGACAGGTAAATAACGTTGTGATTTGAAGATGTGTTTTTAATCTGCCGTACCTGTCTCTGCTGTATTCTGCTGCTGCTGCGGTTTTATTGCAAGATTGCAATTTTAAGTGATGCAAGCTGCCTTGAGTAATCCATATGCATCAGAAGGGCAGGGTAAAAAAACAACAAGAAGTGTCTTATCAAATAAATAAATTCCCGGGGACAAATTCCCAAGGAAGGGTCCACACTGGGAGAAGAGGGGGAAATTCTTGGTAGGCCTCACATTTGTGAATTGGTGAGCACAGACAGAATCTGATTTAATCAAAAGGGTTTAAAAATAGGGAACAATTTGAATTTTAAAAGCTCACATAAAGAGCAACTCCCCTCTGAGGAAAGGTTGCAGCATTTGGGCCTCTTTATTTTTGAGATGGGAGACATCACAGAATTGTGGAGTTGGAAGGGACCCCAAGGGTCATCTAGTCCAACCCCCTGCAATGTAGGAATCTCAACTAAAGCATCCCTGACTTGTGGACACCTAACCTTTGCTTAAAAACCTCCAAGTAAGGAGAGTCCACAACCTCTTGTGGGAGACCGTTCCACTGTCAAACAGCTCTTACTGCCAGAGAGTTTTTCCTGCCGTTTCGTCGGCATTTCCTTTCTTGTAACTTGAAGCCACTGGTTCAAATCCTACTCTCCAGAGCAGGAGAAAGCAAGCTTGTTCCCGGTGACAGCTGTTGAGATATTTGAAGATGAATATCATATCTCCTCTGTCTCCTCTTTTCCAGGCTAAACATACCCAATTCTTTCTGGTTTCTAGTCTACGGTTACCAGATTTTTTTCAATAATTTGGGGACACTTTTTTTTTTGGAAGCTGAGTAGCAACAGGGAGTCAGTAGTGGGGATGGTGAGGCAAAAGACCCTGGGCCCAAGCACACATGCATATTGGATAAAGGTGCAAAGCCCTTCTTTTACACCCTGCGAAACATAAATGTGCAGTTTTTAAAAAACTGGGCAACGGCGTGCCACCCGCCTGTGACTCCCAAGCCTTCCTTGATCTCCTTCCCCCTTTGTTTTGACAGATCGGGGGAGGCTCGGGAGTCGCGGGCAGGCGGCTGTTGCCCAGTTTTTAAAGAACTCTGCGCATTTATGTTTCGCAGGGTGCGAAAGAAGGGCTTTGCACCTTGCCTGGCAGAGAAACTGCGAGCTTTGCGGCCCTCCTGGGCAACGGCCACCCGCCCGCAACTCCTGAGACTCCCCCGATCTGTCAAAACAAAGGGAGAAGGGGGCAGCAGATCTGTCTTGCTGGATGTCCCCAGTTCACCTTTGGCAGTGGCAGTGGCAGTGGGTAGCGAGCTGCTCCTGAAGCCAGCCAGAGCCAACTGAGCTACCAGGCTGGCTCCGGGCTGCTGAGACTGCCGCTGACACATTTCCCGGGGACAGATTTGCAAATCCGGGGACGTCTGGTAACCCTATTCTAGACCCTTGATCATCTAAGTTGACCTCTGCACGCATTCCAGCTTGTCAATAGCCTTCTTAAATTGTGGCGCCCAGAACTGGACACAGTATTCCAAGTGAGGTCACACCAAGGCAGAATAGAGTGGGACTATTACTTCCCTTGATCTGGACACTAGACTTCTGTTGATGCAGCCTAGAATAGCATTAGCTTCTTTTTGCTGCTGCGTCACACTACATGGGGGCCAAATACAGTCCTCCAGGCCATGGATATAGCCAGGATTTTTGCTGAGGGGGTGCAGGACCTTTGTGTGTGGGGGGGAGGGGGGACAGAACTGAGCCACCTGCGACTTGATTGGTATTTTTATTAATTTACTTGATCTACGGAGGGGAGCAGCCCCCAGCTACGCCTATGCTCCAGGCTTTTCTACTGGGCCTTTGGGCTTATCTGCAAGCCACACTCCTCTCCCCAGGCCACACACTTCACCAGCCCTGCTTTGCACCCTTCCTCGAGCGTTTCCACCTGGCTGAAATGTGCCCCTGAACTCTGACAACACCTCTTGCTCACCTGGGAACAGAGGACAGAAGTGTGCAAATGTCTGTAGGAAGTAGCCAGCTACAGAAAGGTAAATTTCACATTCGTCGCTTTGCTCACACCCCCCCCTTTTGCTTCTGGCCCTGCCCATTATTGGCGTGTGGCCCCCAGAAGACTGCACGGAGGGGAATGTGGCCCTTGCACTGCATGTGAATCTGAGAACAACAAGCGCAACGCAAACGGGAGACAGGGCTCAGTGGCAGACTAGGGAAATAGCAGCATTTCTGAGAACAGATTGTGGGAAAATTCAGCCGTGCAGAATATCCTAAATCCGAAACACAAACACGCATCCGAACCCAAACAAAACTGAACATCCGAAGCTTCCGAGGGCCTCCGCACTCTGTGAGGCACAAATACCAGACCATCTGCTCAAGATGGTGTTTACACTTGCTTTGTTAAATACTCCTCCAATTAGCCACCAGCTATAAACAAAGCTTAAGCACATGGCTCCTCCGAAACGCGGCAGCTGAACATCAGGCAGCAGGAGGAGAGGGAACCTCCAAAACTTGCCTATAAGAAGAGACCAGTGGCCCATCTAGTCCAGCAACCTGTTCTCACAGTGGCCAGTCAGATGCCTGTGAGGAACCCAGAAGTAGGATTAGAACAAAAGAGCACTCTCCCCTCCTGTGGTTTCCAGCAGCTGCTTATCAAAAGCATTCCTGCGTCAGACCATGGAGGCAGAACAGAGCCACCACCACAGTGATCAATATCCCTCCCCTCTACGAATTTGTCTAATCCTCTTTTAAAGCCATCCAGCTTGGTGGCCATCACCACCTTCTGCAGTGGCAGGGAGTTCCACAGTTTAACTGTGCGCTTCATGAAGAAGAACTTTCTTTCCTCTCTCCTGAACCTTTGTTCAGCTTCAATGGATCTCCCCGAGTTCTAGCATTCTAGAGGAGTTAACTTTTCGTATTTTGCTTTTCGAGAGTACTCTGCATTAGACTGCATTGACACTGTTCTAAGAATCCAAGCAGGTTTGCTAGGCAGGATGTTTGAAAAATATAATTTCCAATAATATAAGAATGCATTCTGAAGGCTGCAAAAAAATATTATTTGCTTTTTTGCTGCGTGTTTGGGTTGTTAAAAGCAGTGGGGCGTCACTGCTGGAACAGAAAGTCACTGCATGACTTGACAAAATAGGATGGGTTCAGTTAAAAGCCGTCTTTGAAGAAGCTTTTAAAAATATGCTGTATGGGATGTTAAATGTTTATTTCCCCCCCCCTGTTGTGTTTTAGAATGTATTTATGTATAAGTTCTTCAGTGTAAGATCTGTTGGGTGGCGAGTGACTAATAAGTCAAATAAATGAATGAGGGAGAAAAGGACTTCTCTATCCAGCTTCTCTGTGCCATGAATTATTTCATAAACTGTTATCGATCTTCCTCGCCTTTTCCCTTAACGAAAAAAGGCGTAATGGCATAATAACCTATCGGCTTCCTGTTCCATAGTTTCAAACCAAAATTAGCTGACCCTGCCCATCATTGGTTCGGTCACCACCTATGATTAGACTCCTGCTAATCGCAATGGTTATGCGGGATGCGGGTGGTGCTGTGGGTTAAACCACAGAGCCTAGGACTTGCCGATCAGAAGGTCGGCGGTTCGAATCCCCGCGACGGGGCGAGCTCCCGCTGCTCAGTCCCAGCTCCTGCCCACCTAGCAGTTCGAAAGCACGTCAAAGTGCAAGTAGATAAATAGGTACCGCTCCAGCGGGAAGGTAAACGTCGTTTCCGTGTGTTGCTCTGGTTCGCCAGAAGCGGCCACATGACCCAGAAGCTGTACGCCGGCTCCCTCAGCCAATAAAGCGAGATGAGCGCCGCAACCCCAGAGTCGCCCACGTCTGGACCTAATGGTCAGGGGTCCCTTTACCTTTAACCCCAGTGGGCACCAGCCTCCACCGGCCCAGGCCCTATGACACAGGCACAGGTAGGCAGCGTCCAACCCCCCAACCCGCCCCAGTCCGTTCCACATACCACGAGCAGCTGCAGCAGCAGCACCAGCAGAAGCAGCAGGGGTTGTTGCGTCGGTGATTGCTGGCGCGTCGCAGTACTGTCGGAGAGGTCTCATGCTGGGACATTGGAAGGGGTCTCCCCGCGTACTCTGGCTCTGGGTACTAGGGAAGGAAGCAGAAGGAGGAGCATGAGACGCCACATGGAGCAAGCCTGTTTTCTCCTGCTCCGGAGGGTAGGGCTCGAACCAACGGATTCAAGTTACAAGATTCCGACTCAACATCAAGAAGAACCTTCTGGCAGTAAGAGCTGTTGAAATGTGGAACGGACTCCCTAATCTACTGGGAAGAGTTGTGGAAGCCCCCAGAGCTGATTTGGGGAGGGGGGATTTGTGGGGTAAACATGGGGGGTAGGATAAGGAGGGGAAGTGCCACTGCGTAAGCAGGAATTGTCCTGCTTCCACAGACACTTAGGTCATATTCACACCATGTTTAAAGCGCTTTGCAGGAAGCCACAACTGTTTAAAGTGGCTTAAAGTTTAAACATTGCTTGAAATGTATTCTTAGGGCCTGTTTGTCACAATAGAATGGTACGTATGATAGCACTTATATTCCACCTCTGGGGCTTTCTAAACTTAGCATTCATAGTGGCACAACCGCTGTTTGATCCAATGTTTTTGAGTGTGAATTTGTAGCTCACTGCCTGCACATTTGAGCACACGTTACTGCTATTAGAGGGCAAAGGGTTTTCCTTTCTACGGTAATGACGGGTTGTGCCCAAATTGGAGAAAATAAATAAATCTGTGGCTGTAGTCACATCACATCCCTTAGGTACCTTTGTGTTCCTTCAGTCAGCAGAAGCCAAGAGTTTTTAACATGCACGTGGCGACAGCCCTTCTGCGGCTTTTCAAAATTTTATTCAGTGCCGAGTATTCTGGAATTCTAATCTTGTGGGAGCACAGGAGATTAGAAGAGGAACTATGTGTTTGCCTGAGCTACGACGAACCTGGCTATTGTGATGAAATGTTGTCTGCTGCTAATGTTTGCTGTCACGGGCAGCACTCTGACTCAGGACCCGAAGCTTGATCTAGAGCATCTCTCCTCTGAATTGAGCCACAAACTTGCAGCTCAGAGGGAAAGTGGTAGGAAACACATGCCTTCCAAACCACATCCACCAATCCCAACCCCCACTCTACACAGGAAGTGGGACAATACTTGTACACATGCCATAAAAAATACTGAGCATCCATTCCTGTTCTTTCACAAAAGTCAGATTTTTTTAAATGGAAGAAGAAAACGCTCCCCATGGTTATACTGTTCTGGAGTACTAGCTGAATAATGACGTCATGTGGCAACATGCTAAACATTTCCCCCAAAACCGAGTCAGTGGCATGAACGCTCCCACTCAAATCAAGTTATGACGTCAAGGTGCTACATAGCCAATCAGATTTGACTGTGTTCTGATGTCACCCGAGACCGTGTGACCAATTCAGGAAGCGTTGTCTCACTCTTGAATAGTTTTCACCCCCTTTCGATGCAACGAAGGGGTGAACGAAACCTCTAGAAGGGCAGCCCTTCCCAAGCTGGTCAGATTAACCCCAAGCCTGACCTTCCTGTAAGACAAAACCAGCCGCTCACCTGCTTCCCCACTTCATAAACCGCCGGCATGGGCAGTTCTGCTCTGCCGTTCTGGCCCACCGTGGCTGTTGTTTCTGGCCAAGGGCTGGCCACACGTCCCGTTGACACTTGCCCTTCCTAGGGCCCCTGCGGTTTATGGGATGGCACCTGTTGGAAGAGAAAGGCAAGACCCCATCAGCGTCATCACAATGCAGTTTCTTTGCTGAGTTGAACCTCGCATACCAGAAAAGGAAGCAGCATATTATCGTTTTTTAGTATCTCAACTTATCTCTAATGCCTGGGGTTTTTTAAATTTTAAAACCACAACACCAACATAAAAAATGAACCTCTGAAGCAAAGAGACTGATGATCCTGCTCATCACATGTAAAGAAGAGAAGAGAAGAGAAGGTGCTAGTATGTTGTCTGGTGTGCAATAACATGGATTCAGATGCTCACTGGAATGAACATGCTATTCAAAGTCACACTGCTAAACTACATCCTCACTTGCATATGCTTCCAATTCCCAATCTACTTCCTAATCCGTAAATGACACACGCCTACTATGTCTGCTCATGAATATAGGTCTCCTTAGCTGAATTGGTGGGAAAGAATGTACATAACACAGTATTATTATTATTACATTCTGCTTATGTGTCGTATCACAAATATGGGTTCCCTAAGGGTGCATCAGTTGGACTATATCCACACTCAACATCACCCGCCCCCCAACAAACAGCCTCTGTTCCTGGGTACACACGGCTTAATCTTTCAGGTGTCTACAGACTTTTCCACAGAAGCTCACTTTTAAATTTAAACCTACGATTGGTACGATGTACCAAAGAAGGCATAGGGATGTGGGTGGCACTGTGGGTTAAACCACAGAGCCTAGGACTTGCCGATCAGAAGGCCAGCGGTTCGAATCCCTGCGACGGGGTGAGCTCCCGCTGCTCAGTCCCAGCTCCTGCCCACCTAGCAGTTTGAAAGCACGTCAAAGTGCAAGTAGATAAATAGGTACCGCTCCGGCGGGAAGGTTAACGGCGTTTCTGTGCGCTGCTCTGGTTCGCCAGAAGCGGCTTAGTCATGCTGGCCACATGACCCAGAAGCTGTACGCCAGCTCCCTCGACCAATAAAGCGATATGAGCGCCGCAACCCCAAAGTCGGTCACGACTGGACCTAATGGTCAGGGGTCCCTTTACCTTTACACCAAAGAAGGCACCTGCATTTCATCACAGGGGCAGGGAACCTGTGGCACCTCCAGATGTTGCTGGACTCCAATGCCAAACTGACTTTTGGCCAAGCTGGTTGGGGCGGACAGGAGCTCCAATCCAACCACACCTGGAAGGCCACAGGTGCCTCCATGATCCCTGGCTGACCATGTTCACCATGGACAGTGTTCTTCTACCCTCTGGCGAACATGAGCTTTCCTCCAAGTCTTAGTCCTACAGATGTGTGGGCATGTGAGTGTGGTGGTCCCCTTCCCCACATTGTAGGTTGGAAGGAGGGCGCCATGACTGGCTTGGCACACTCCATGTCTCCATGTCTTTCCTGGAAGAAAGTGAGGCGGGACATTTCAGTGGCTGATGCTCTGCAGAGGAACTTAGGAACGTAGCAAGTTACCTTACACGGAGACAGACCATTGGCCCACCTAGCTCTGCATGACGTAAACCGAGTGGCAGAGGCTCTCCAGGGTATCAGACAAGGGTCCTTGCTAGCTTTGTCTGGAGAGATCGAACCTGCAACTTGCCTCTGCCCAGCCTTGGCCAAGTGGCAGTGGAAGGGAGGGGGAAGGAACCTGGCAAGGCAACTGCAGTTGGCCAAGGCTGTTGGCCAACTCGGTGCACAAGTTTCCCACGCCGGCCTATGCGCAAAAAGAAATAAAGCCACACCCCTGTCCTCTGCTCCACAAGTGGGGAACCTCAAAACCTGATGGCAGACCCATGATAAAGCACATTGCACTAATGTTGTTGTTTAGTCGTTTAGTCGTGTCCGACTCTTCATGACCCCATGGACCAGAGCACGCCAGGCACTGCTGTCTTCCACTGCCTCCCGCAGTTTGGTCAAACTCATGCTGGTAGCTTCGAGAACACTGTCCAACCATCTCGTCCTCTGTCATCCCCTTCTCCTTGTGCCCTCCATCTTTCCCAACATCAGAGTCTTTTCCAGGGAGTCTTCTCTTCTCATGAGGTGGCCAAAGTAGTGGAGCCTCAGCTTCAGGATCTGTCCTTCCAGTGAGCACTCAGGGCTGATTTCCTTCAGAATGGAGAGGTTTGATCTTCTTGCAGGCCATGGGACTCTCGAGTCTCCTCCAACACCATAATTCAAAAGCATCAATTCTTCGGTGATCAGCCTTCTTTATGGTCCAGCTCTCACTTCCATACACTAATAGAGATAGGTAAATGCTCACAGGCCCTTCATGCGCAACACTGGTACAACCTGAAAAGTGTGACAGCCTTACAGCAATGGAAGGGGACTCTTTCTCCTGCAAACATTCTTCATCATCAATGACCTACAGGTGTGGAAGTCATCACAGAAAGATGTTTCTTAAAGCCTCAGATATGAAGCATTTTAACAGAAGCCACTCCAATAGAGTTTATGGTATACCACACCAACAATGGAAGGTAGGTTAGGGTGGTGTAAATATGTTTGTTAAAAAATGAAGAAATGGGTGTATGAAGTTCCAGAGGTGTAAAGCACCCAACAAGAGCAGCAGTGCTGTCACGTTCTTTGCTGATTCAGACCAACATAGAACTGGAATAATAATCAAGAAGATATTTGGAGAAGTGACAAAGCCTACCTAACAGAATCAGGTTCCTACAAATTTAGGCATCTGGAAACCTGGGAGTTTCCCACTCCTGTCTTAATGGGGCAATGCACACATAAATGGGGCAGTTGCAATGATGGTCTTCCATACAGATCCTCTCATTAAAGGGTAAGGGAAGAGAGAGAGAGAGAAAGCAAGGGCATTTAGCTCTCACTTTTCACTGCAGAAAACTACTTGGGGCAGGATGTTTCGCTAGCCATTTCAGCTGCCTCCTTCCCAGGAGCACAAATCTGTGGGCCTAAGCACCGATCGCGCAACCCGAGCAGCTCCATGGGCCGTTTGCACATCCGACGCCCTCTGCTGCAACTTCGCCGCATGACCTTGCGCCACAGAGAGTGGCGCAATCGCTGGATTGTGCAGGCCGGAGCAGAATCTGCGTGGGACTAGGAACCGTGTCAGCAGCGGGGCAAGCCAGCCCCTGCGACAGCCAATTAAAAAAAAGATAAAGAACGGAAAATTCCAAGTGGCTTGCTGCAGCTGCACACCACACAAGACAAGACGAATCAGTTGGCCACCAAAGAGGCTGGGGTCAATGGTGGTCCCTTTAGCTCCCTCCCTGTTTCTTGCGATACTGACAGATGGAGGCTCCACGGTTGCTGAGCATTTCAAGCATGATATATTTTATAAATATGCCTAAAGTTTTTGAGCACGGGTCTAAAAATGCAATGTGGGAAAGAAACAGGTTTGTCTGGAAACATGGGTTTGTGCGCCAGTTGTCCAATTTAGCGGAATCATATACAGTGGTACCTTGGGTTACATACACTTCAGGTTAAAGACTCCGCTAACCCAGAAATAGTGCTTCAGGTTAAGAACTTTGCTTCAGGATAAGAACAGATATCGTGCTCCGGCGGCGCAGTGGCAGCAGGAGGCTCCATTAACTAAAGTGGTGCTTCAGGTTAAGAACAGTTTCAGGTTAAGAACAGACCTCCGGAACAAATTAAGTACTTAACCCGAGGTACCACTGTAATTGTGGAGTTGGAAAGGACCTCCAAAGATCATCTAGTCCAAGCCCCTGCAATGAAGCTTCCTGTGAAGTGTGTAGGCCCTGGCAAGTCAAGCAACGTACAGAAAAGCCCTGAATCAGGGGTGGGGAATCTGTGGTCCTCCAGATGTACCTGGGCTACAACTCCCATAATCTCTAACCATTGGCCATGCTGGCTGGGGATGGTGGGAGCTAGAGTCCAGCAGAACCTGGAGGGCCAGGGGTTCTCCAACCTGGATGTAGCGCTGGGAATGGGGACTCAAGATGTGGCTAGACTCCATCTCCAATCAGCTGCAGCCAGAACGGCCATAATGGGACAGGAGATGGAATCCAGCAACCTCTGGAAGGTGACAGATTCCTCGCCCTAGTCCTAAATGGTCATAAAATCACAGAATCGAAGAGTTGGAAGGGATCCTGAGGGTCATCTAGTCCACCCCCCTGCAATACATGAAGCTCAGCTAAAGCATCCATGGCACATGGCCACCAACCTCTGTTTAAAAAACCTCCAAGGTCCACCACGTCCTGAGGAAGATTGTTCCACTGTCAGAAATCTCTTCCTGTCGTTTAATCAGAATCTCCTTTCTTGTAACTTGAAGCCGTTGGTTTGAGTCCTAGCATCTGGAGCAGGAGAAAACCAGCTTGCTCCAGCCTCCATGGGACAGGCCTTGAGAGATCTGAAGATGGCAATCCTATCTCCTCTCAGTCTAAATGTACACAGCTCCCTCAACCGTTCCTCATAAGGCTTGGTTTCCAGACCTTTCATAGTCTTGGTCCCTCTAGCTCAGTCTTACCTACCTCTGAAGGCGGTGGACTCGCCTTCACTGGGAGTTTTTAAGCAGAGGTTGGATGGATCTCTGCCAGGGATTCCTCAGCTGTGGTTCCTGCATTGCAGGGGGTTGGACTAGATGACCCTCGGGGTCCCTTCTAACTCTACGATTCTTTGATACCCTGACCCTGACCAGATGGGGCACCTGCTAGCCAATACCTTACGAGCTGGATACACTAGGCACTCTATTTCCCCCCAATGTATTTTTATTAAAGATTTTCTTGATTTACAAAGGATTGTGCAATGTCTCTCTCTCGTATTTCCCCCCCCCCCACATAACATATTATTTTGAATTTTATTTTTTACAAATTGGTTTCATTTGTTGAGACATTAGGAAGAATAGGGGGAAAGAGGTGGAGAGGAGGAAAGATGAGTTGGGTTGGGGGGTGATGTTTCTATTTTACTTAATATATGTGGGGTTTTGTGTCAGTGTTGCTTGTGCAGGTTCTCTGTTGTTCGCTTGTGTTCCTTAGGTGGTGAGAGAGGTTGGGGTTGGCCAAGGGTGTGGCTGTTAATTTGTGGTTGGCTGTGGTGGTCTTTGATTTCATGTGTGAGTGGGGTGGGTGGGTGTTTTGGATCAGGTTAGCCAGATTGATTTGTATGCTGTTGGTGGATTTTTGTCATTGTTTTGCTGGGCTGTGTATGTGATAAAGGGGAGCCATACCAGGGTGAAGGCGTCTTCTATTTGTCCCCGTGTCAGTTTCAGTTTATTGGTTAATTTTTCTAGTAAGGCTGTTTCCCATACTATTTGGTACCATTGGTCCATGCTTCCTGACAGGTCTCACCAGTGTCTGGCTATGATGCTTCTGGCTGCTGAGAGTAGGTGGGTTATGAGTTCTTTGTGGTGTATGTGGGCATTGTTGTCTTGGAAGATGTTTAGTAGGGCCATTTCTGGGCTGATTTCTAATACTTGCTTGGTTATTTTACATATTTCTCGTATGACTGTTGTCCAGAATAGTTGGATTTTGGGACATTCCCACCACATGTGGAGGTATGTGCCTGTGGACATGCACCCTCTCCAGCATTTTGGTGAGGTTCCTGGGCGTATTAGCGCTAGTTTTCTTGGTGTTAGGCACCACAAAGGAGCCCTATGCATCATCTGCACCTTAAATTCCGAAGGCTTGTCTCAGTAAACTGGGAGGAAGGATAAAAAGAGGGAGCCCATCGCATCCGCACTTAGGAAGGAAACCTGCAAAATAGGGGCAACCTGTTTTGGCTCTCCCTCGTGTCCCCACCAGCCGGGCATCTGATGTTGATGAGACCCAGAGAAGGTGCTCACCTGGACATTTTAACACCTGGACCTTTCAGGTAGTCAGGGCCCATGTGGAGGTATGTGACTAGGCACTCTATTTGAGATTTTAAGAGACAGGGACCTGTCCTGCCACTGAGCCATGGCCCTGGTATGAACAGCTGACTGTGGAGCATTTCCCAGCTCTACTGCATTTGCACATGGGACCGGGAGAGAGAAACAAACTGCTTTCCTCCAGTTTCAATGCTAGCCTTCTTGCCACTGCCTTTTCCTTTTCATGCAAACCATCTGTAAAGCAGCCAGAGCCACCGCGACACAGAAACTCCAAAGCTGAGTCTAGACTCTCTTACTTACACAATGCAGCACAGGCTGGGGGCGTCAAACACGGGACCTGCCTGGTGTTCTGCTCCTTCCTCAACATCCTGCCAGCAACCTCAGCATGGAGGAGAGAGCACAGAAGTCAATCGCCACCTCCATATTTGAAGGTTCTGTCCAGGCCTTGCCAGCACCTCAGAAGGTGGTGGACTCTCCTTCCTTGGAGGTTTTCAAGCATAGGTTTGGTGGCCATCTGCCAGGGGTTCCTGAGCTGCAGTTCCTGCACTGCAGAGGGTTGGATTGGGTCACCCCCAGGGTCCCTTCCAACTCTACAATTCTATGATTCCATCTCCCTCCCCACCAAACCTTTGCCAAGAAATTCCAAATGCCCCTGTTGACATTTATTAAAATCGAGCCACTCTTGTCATTTTGCACCACCTGCAGGATGTTCCCCTTGTCTTTTGAAAGTTATTGATTTATTAAAGTTATAACTTCCTGCCCAGTGCGGCATCAAGGGCTGAAACTGCATCAAAGACAGCACATGCTGATAAAACTGGTTTTAGACTTACAAAGAAATAAATAAAATAGGGATGATCACTTCTTAGGCCATGCTAATTTTAATACAGAAGAAGCATATTCTTTTCTTTAATTCATCGATGTGGAACTTGAAATGAGGAAAAGCAATTATAGTGTAAATCATGCAAGTTCTAGAATTACTATAAATATGAAAAATGCAAGAAAATTCAATCACTGTATAGAATGGGAGGGGGGAAACAAAACTCATTTCTTATTTCTATAGGAAACTTCAACAGGCAAAAGGGTGGTCCTTCTTGAATGGTGTTAACTTAGTGTTTGGATTGTTATGAAAAATGCTGTTTTCAACATTGTATTTGGAATATGCATGTCTTTTTCCATTGTATATAAAGTATTGCTTAAAAGTGATATAAATGACTGAAGTTTTCTTTTAAAAAAAGACAGCACATGCTTTTGTGTTAATGCCCTCCTTATTCCATAAACTGTTACCCAAAGAACTTTTCCACTGCTCCCATGATTGGTGGCTAAGGTGTTCAGTTTATACCTATGAATTCCACCACCACCCCATCAAAAAATTGTTGTATCCTCACCAAACATCTCCTCTAGGCACCCCGGCCCTGCAGCTCAGGGCATCAGACAAACGTCTCTTTCACCAAATTTGCACTATGGGTCAATGATACTGGCCCCGCCTCGCAGGGCTGTCGCATGAGATAATAACATTGCCAAAGCACTGAAAGGTGCTCGATAAAACTACAATGACGAATGCAAAACGGCTGTTGGCAAAAACAAGACACGCTTCCGCTTGGACCCTCAACAAACAGGATGTCAAGATCACCTAACTCAAGCACCTTATGGTAAACCTTATCTGTTCATGGCATCGGCTTCTGAGAACAGGGCTGTTTCAGGGGACGCCTCTCAGCTGGATGAGAAAACTTCAATGCGCAGAATAAATGAAGGGGAAAAAACACCCGTGCCACCAAATGTTAGGATAAAAAGGCTTAGCTTGGAATCCTGTTATGCAATTCTGTTAACATCTGCCAAGCTGACGACAAACTCTGTGGATTCCCTCTGCGGCTACGTTAATATCAAAACCAGACACATGCTCCCATGAATCCCAGGTGCTTGCCTCACAGAATGTATTAACACCACACAGCGAGAAGCCGGAAACCAGGCCAATTCAGCAAGCACAAGGATGTGAGCTGGGAGAGGGGGGGGGGGGGAATTAGCCAGACCACACCCGAAGAAACAGATGATGGCAATTAGAAATCCAATTAGGATTTGAAAAAAATAAAATAAAAACTAGCAGAGCTGTAAAAGTCTGGGATCATCTCCCTGGAACAGCTGTGGAATAAAGAACCTCAATGCACCCAAGACAGCGATAGGAGCCTTTACGGAGAATATCTTGCCATTTCTATTCCGACGATGCCCATTCCAGTTACAACTGCAAGGAAACCCTTGCCAGGACGCAACCAGGGTTTTCTGGGATTTTTCCAGCCCTGGAAAATGGAACAACGCTCTGGAACAGCCATTCCTAGCTTGTAGCTAGTGTCATGCTGCGTACGGGCTCTGCCGACACAGCTTGCGGCTTCTACGTGAAACCTTATTTCCTGCGCTTGTGTTGCCCTGCGAGAAATCAAAGAGGGGAAGAGAAAGCCCTGAATGATGTCTCTGCACCTTCCGACTTGCCAACAGCTTTCCCAGCCTGTTGCAACCGACAAGAGGCTACCTGAGATTCTCTCCTGTGTGAGAGTTTGAAAGCCCTTTGTGCCGTTGGCTGTCCGGGGCAGGAAGAGGCAAGGATAAGACACAAGGTGGAGGAAACGGAGTTGAGAAAGAAAGACAGGGAGAGGAGTCTGGAGGGAGAAAAAAAGGGGAGATGGGGAGGACTGCGCAATGGCATCGCAGAAACCTGTTGCATGGAGGAAGTGCTGAAACTGCATTGGAGGCTGATGCGTCTGCATGGGAGAGAGGAACCTCCTTGTACTTCCTGGCCTAACCTGTGTTGACCTTCCCGCAGGTGCAAGACTGACCGATATACTCCTGGGCTGCTAACCTCATTTCCTACCTCCTCCTTTTTCATCCTCACCTTGGGAGAGGAGACATCTTTGTGTGTCTCTCCTGAAGAGATGCATAGCTCAACGCGACTCCACCTTAGGGAACTTTCCCAACCAAAATGCATTTCCTGTAATAAACATGGCTTTCTCATTCTCCTAAACCAGGCATGTCCAAAGTCTGTTTCGGGGGCTTAATCTGGCCCCTGTGGCAGTCTATTTCCTGGGGTAAAAATCCTGAAAAAAAGCTCAACAACTTTGGTCGGCCGACACGGCCCTTCACTTCATCAAATCCGGCCCTCATTGAAAAAAGTTTGAACACCACTGTCCTAAAACTCAAGACTCTCTATGCGATTGCAACGTGTGCCCCTCCAGCAGGGATTTAAGTTCCATTTTCTGCCAAGCATTTAAACACCAACCCCCCAAAAGTGGGGGGGGGGGATGAAACTAAGATGGGCTACAGAAAGAGAGGAGAACACAGAAAAATAAAGGGGGTGAAGAGAGAACGGAAATAAAACGTACACACTGAACAAAAAAAATGGCAGCAAAAATGCTTTAGTGTAGCGGTGCAACCCGGTTGAACTAAAGCATGGGTAGGCAAACTAAGGCCTGGGAGCCGGATCCAGCCCAATCGCCTTCTAAATCCGGCCCATGAATGGTCTGGGAATCAGCATGTTTTTACATGAGTAGAATGTTTCCTTTTATTTAAAATGCATATTTGTGGGGCATAGGAATTCGTTCATCCTCCCCCCAAATATATATAGTTTGGCCCTCCACAAAGTCTGAGGGACAGTGGACCGCCCCCCTGCTGAAAAAGTTTGCTGACCCCTGAACTGAAGCGTAAAATGCAAGAATGGCCCTTAAGAGTCATTCATTCTCCAGTCCTGGCTTTTTCCAATCAATGGGCAACCAGTGGCACAGGCGGGGAGAATTTATTGCAGGCTTGGCGAGGAGATGGACGTCCTGGGACCATGACAGGGAGGGAGACCTAATACTGCCTGCCTGTCTGCCTCTCCATCACTGCCTTGCTGCCTGGGCTAGCAGTTGAGGCAGAAATAAAATATACTTGCTGATTTCTTCCTCCGCAAATGATCTAGGGGCTCACTCAGTGCTCTTCTCTGATCTGCCACTTCTGACTCTGTTCAGTGAAGATTGCAGGGTGGGGAGGGGAGAAACAGAACAGAGGGCCTTCTGGATGCAAAGAATGCGCACCGTGGCTTGAGTGACAGCCTCTTCCCCAAAATAAATGTCTGGAAAGACAGACGTCTTTCTAGGAGGCCCTAGAAAGCTTTACAGAGTTAAGGAGTGCAGACATATGCAACCTTCCGTAATTCAGAGAATTGTAGAGTTGGAAGGGACCACGAGGGTCATCTATAGTCCACCTCCCTGCAATGCAGGAATCTTTTACCCAACATGGGGCTCGAACCAACAGCCCTGAGATTAAGAGTCTCGTGCTCTACTGAGTGAGCTATCCATCATGAGCCTTCATCCACCCATCTTCCCCACAAGTCTTTACCCAACCCATTCTGGAAGCAGAAGGCATTGGGGAAGATGGAGTGTACAGAGCGATATGGAAAGGTAGAAACTAGGAAGGAGGGAGCCTCCTTGGTTGGAGAAGTGATGCATGCTGCTGCTGCTTTGGTTGGAAAAGCAGCATGTGTCCTGCTGCAAAACAAGACTGGCCCTGCCTACTCCAACCAAAATTTCTAAAGTGCATTTGAAGTAGAGATGGGGGGCAGAATCTGACTCAGTTTGCATTGAAAGGAGAATCTACCTACGTATTCTGCACTGTCCAATGTGTGAACCAAAACACAGGCATCCCTTTGAAATGTGCACTTCTCTGAATATGGCAATGCAGTTCTCCACACAAGCAATGTGTACAAAAAAATGCATATACTGAAGTGTGCATAAAAAACACCCATCCCTAACTTGAGGCCAGAACTAGTGATTCATCATAAAACATGGGAGCAGGGCTAGTAATCCTGTGTTTGCCTTTGAAGAGAGGGGGGGGGGAAAGGGGCTGGTCACTTGCAGGGAAGAACCAATATGTGTGTGCAGGAAGGCCAGGGAATTAACTATTCCCTCGGTCATTACTGGTCTTCTGAAACTGGTCCTCAATCTAGCTGAGCTCCAAGACCATGTTTCCCAGGGAAATGGGGAAAGTTGCTGCCGGGGAAGGGTTAAGCACACACAACACAAAACGATTCCACTTCCTTCACCTTTAGAGGCAAACACAGGATTGGGAACTCTGTATTTGTTGATGAGCATCTGGTTTCACCATTTGGGCAACTCCTTCCTGTCATTCAGCAGCCTCTCTATGCAACTCTGGGCTTCCTTGGTCAGAGATGAGGCTCGCAGGAGCATTTGCACAATCTCCTTTCCCAGAATGCAAACAGAGGTGAAAGAAGCTAGCCAGGTTCACTGCAGTGCTTTCAATTGAGATTTTTTTAAAAATACACATGGCAATTTATTAAATCTCAACTCTAAATATTCAATACAGTGGTACCTCGGGTTACAGTCGCTTCAGGTTACAGACGCCACTAACCCAGAAAAACCTCAGGTTAAGAACTTTGCTTCAGGAGAACAGAAATCGTGTGGCGGCGGCAGGAGGTCCCATTAGCTAAAGTGGTGCTTCAGGTTAAGAACAGTTTCAGGTTAAGAACGGACATCCCAAACGAATTAAGTTCTTAACCCGAGGTACCACTGTACAAATAAGAAACAAATAATGGATTGAACAAAGTCATCCTGCTTGCAAAAAGGACTTCTGCTTGTGCAGCAAAACTTCCCCTCCTGCTCTGCCCCCCCGCCCCGAATCTGGGGGCAACATGGGAAGGAGAGGGGACGTTGCCTTGCACAAATGTTAAGTCCTGGAGCAAATGGGAGGGCTTTGTTCGATACAACCCCAATATCTACATTCATGCACATAAACCAAGAATATTGTAACTCACGCTAAACTCCGAGAGCCTGGCTGCAAGACACAGTGCTTGAGCGTGCAAGGAATTTGGATCCGCTTGTGTTGAACACAGAGGAGTCCTGGCCACATGCTGCCCCTACCAGCATAGAAGGAAGGCTGGAAAGGCTTCAGGGCTGCCTTGCCCCTTGACTTCCCCAGTGCTCACAGGAGGAGGAAGCTGCGCCGGACTTGCACTCAGCAAGCACAGCAGCTCTTTACTGGAGGAGGGAGCTGTCTGTTGGGGAGGGCTTCTCCCCGCTGATCTCTTTTGGTGGCTAATCTTCCTTCCCAGCTGCTGGGATATCTTACGCCTAATAAACATGCACTGACAGATGCTTTCAGTGGAAATCCCAAAGGAAGGAGGCTCCGCATGAACATGGAAATAGACGAAGCTGGTGCTTTATCCCAGGTCAATTAGCCCATCTTTCCCCCCAATACGGTTTATTCCAGCCTTCCCCAACCTTGCGCCCTCCAGATATTTTGGATTACAGCTCCCAGCCGGCACACCTGGTGTTTGTAGTCTAAAACACTTGGTTAGTTTGGATCTGTAGTGCAAAACACCAGAGGTTGAGGAAGGATGGTTTATTCTGACTGGCAGCAGCCTACAAATATCTCGGGGGAAGGTTTCGCCCAGTCCTGCTGACCAAGTGGTAATCCCAGAAGTGATTTATTAGTGGCCACAAACAAACAAAAGTACGAGAGACCCTTCGATGTGATTAATCACACCATCTCTGAAACTTACAGCATTGCTCAACCAGTATTTGGGGCTGCAATTCAAGGCACTGTGGTTTTAAGCAACTTCTAATGCCGAAAAGACAAGCTGCTTTTGAAGCTCAGCAGTAAGGGCTTGTCTCTTCGGGATCAACTTAAGCAAACAAATGGGGGGAAATACCCAGCTAGCAAGTTATTTCCGTTATCAGACGGGTCCCTTTAGTTCAAACCCATTGGCTGCATTCTTAAAAAGGTCACACGCCTTGGCTATTCTTTTTGGGTTTTCGGAGCACAGAGAATCTCCAGATTTTAGAGTGGAGAAAGTGTGAGACAGCAATAGTTGGGAGGAGAAGGGCCCTTGCTGAGATTCCTGCATTGCAGGGGTTTGGACAAAGTGATCCTTGAGGTCCCTTCCAATTCTACAATTCTATGATTACGATTACAAAAAATAGTTGGTCCCTAATTCTGTTCCCGAGGAGGCTTCTGAAGGCCACCATCCACTTTCAATGGGCTGAATGTGGCTTTGCAGATTGCAAGCTCTGCAGACTGGCCTAGGGAGGGCACACGAAAATCTGCAGAGGATCTGCCCAGCAGTAGAGCAAAGGAGGAAGTTCATTTTGGGTAGCTAAAATACTGGGGCAGTTTATCTCAAAACGCCCTTTTAAAAAGAGGAAGGAGAGAGAGTGTGTTAATTTCGAAGAGGAACAATCTGAAAATGCGGAAATTTCCCAAGACAACAAAATAAGGACCCGTCTCTTTGCTTTGAAAAGGGGGCGGCTCCCCCTTTTTGTTCTGGGGAACCTGGACTCGTATGCAACAGATTTAACAGCACAGTTCAAGAGTCATTGCCGCCTGGTTTCCAAATTGTGGCTTGGTGATTCGGCAGTGTGACGTTCAAAGGGGTCACCAGGAGCCAGCCCTACGCCACAGAAATTAAGTTTAAAAAACTGGAATTCCAATGGGAACAGAGACTATAGTACATTCCACTGGAACGGCCAAAAGCCATGCAAAAAAAAGTTTACAGTTTATTTCCACAAGCTTTCCCTGGCGTGTGACCTAGTGATAGGTTATTGTGTCTTTTAATTATTATTATTTTTAAAAGAGAATTTGACATTGTTCGCTGCTTCGGCATTTTACTATTAAGCAGTATATGAATTTGCAAAGAAAAATATATATATACAAAAACGCCCACATTGCTCAGTCGGTAGAGCATGAGATTCTTAATCACAGGGTCGTGGGTTTGAGCCCCACAATGGGCAAAAAGATTCCCAGGAAAGTTGCCTCACATCCAGAGACGACCCAAGGCATTTTGGCGACGGCATATCCAAACGGCATTCACCTCTCCTACCACAAACCTGTGGTAAAAATACATGTTGGTTAACTAATTGTCAATTTTTGCCATTCTTTCCCGGCCCCACAAGAAACTGCCAGCTGAGGTAGGCTGCCTCTTCCGGCCTAACGTTAGGACCAGGCCTAGTTCTCATCTAATTTCCTGGGCATCTTTGCCCACTATGTACTTGGGATATTTTCACCGCCTGGAAACCAGAGGCTTAATTGTCACACAGAAAACCACGGGGTTTGAATCCAGCCCAAAGGCCACATTCACACCATATATTCAAAGCACGATGATGCCAAATTAAACCGTCATGGCTTCCCCCAGAGAATCCTGGGAAATGTCGTCTGTTCAGGGTGCTGAGTGGCGCCAGGAAGGCCGCCATTTTCTGCATTCCCTTCTGAAGAGGACTAAAAAACGACTCTGGGAACTGTAGTCCTGTGAAGGGGAATAGGGGGTTTCCCTGAACAAACTATATTTCCCAGGATTTTGGAGGGGGGAGAGTGTTTAAAGCAGTGATCCCCAAACTTGGCCCTCCAGCTGTTTTGGGACTACAACTCCCATTATCCCTGACCACTGGTCCTGCTAGCTAGGAATGATGGGAGTTGTAGTCCCAAAACAGCTGGAGGGCCAAGTTTGGCCGTCACTGGCTTATAGTATATGGCACAAAGTTGCGAATGACTTCTGGCCGTGCTGTGGAAACTCCCCTCGCTCTCCTCACACACCCATCTGCTGTGGGGATCCCCCCCCAAACAATTTTTTGGGGAGCAATAATAATTTTATTATTTAATATGCCACCCCCATCTGACTGGGTTGCCCCAGCCGCTCTGGGTGGCTCCCAAAAAAATATTAAAACACACAATAAGACATCAACCATTTAAAACTTCCCACTTGGAGTAGATTTGGGAGCGGGGGGCGGCGGCACATGGTGGGATTTTAGGGAAAATTTTGATATGTGAGTAGGAATCATTCTGCTAGACGACTCCTGTCAGATCCTGTAACCACCTCAGGTCTTCTTAAAATAAAAATAAAATAAAAGCAGGCAACGAAAAGGAAGCCCCTACATCACAACACAAAACGATGACTAATCCAAGCGGAAAGGAAATTCGCTTACTGCCTTTAATATACTATTAAGCTAGAGGGACAATTAGAATAAAATAGCTTCAGGAAACTCACGAACTATTATTATTTTTTAATTTGTATACCGCCCTATACCTGCGAGTCTCAGGGCAGTTACAACATAAAATCATAATACAGAAACACAAAATACAGAGTAATAATAATAAAACAAACAGACTACTCGGACGCTGAAGTTATGTAGCCGAATCCTGGTCAGAAAATAAAATAAAATACAATTGTAACCTGACAGTATGATGTGTTCTGCCACTACCCCATCTTGAAAGAGAGTTAACGTGAACAGAGAAATGAAAATAATCTGGAGCAGAAATCCTAAAATGTGAAACGTCATATGAATATTTAAATAAAACAGATAAAAGCAGCAGTGGATTAATATGTTCCGGGAGAAGTTTATGGGCTTAGAAAGCAGAAATGGGCAGGGGGGAGAGTTGCCAGTTACTGGAAAGAGGGCAATGTGGGGTTCGGACAAAGGTTCCTGGGGAGGAGAACGTGGCATAACTGGGTTTCTCCCAGTTCACCCACAACAGCTGCTGGCAGAGGTGTGAAACCTCTCAGGGTGACCGCAGTGCCGACACGGAGGAAGGAGATGGCAAACTGGGTGGTTGCCATTGCACCCAAGGAACGCATTGTGGTGAAATGACACCCAAATGCCTCGAGCGCCATCTTTGGCCACAGCCCCCCTGCAAAAAGAGCAAGGTTTGCAGTAACACCACGCACAGGAACCGCTTCGTGCAAACAGCTTCCCACGCAGAAGAGGCACCCACACGATTTTGTCTTCAGAGGAGCGACGGTGGCACGAGCGCGGCACTTCAAAGAGGGCTTATTTCTATGCGCCGACCGAGATGCGGCGCATAAGCTTGAACCGAAGCATCAATATGATAATCCACTTAAACATCTATGCATTTATGATCCCCGAAAGAGGAGGTTGGCAGCCGGCAGGGAGGAGAGAAACGGAGGTGGCAGAAGCAGCTAAAAAGAAGTCTGGTAAAGTGAGCAGAACAAAGGCATGGGAGGAAAAAGAGGTGGGGGGGATATGAAGAGGAAAATGGAAGAGAACAAGCAGAAAGCATTGAGACTAGGACGGGTCACACCAGCGTAAAATAGGATATGAAATATTTTTTCCAGCTCTGAGCACAAATATTCCCGAAACGCCAAGCTTCTGAGTAAGCAGAAATTCCCCTAGTTATGAAGACACCGGAATACAAATGTGCATTAAGGGAAATCATTCGGGAATGAACTACAGCATAGCACTGAAGTATTTAGAATATGGTTTTGACAGGAAGGCCCTTAAATGAGGCAGACAGGTAGACATTTATCTGCCCCCAGTTTGTAAGAACTGCCTCCCTGCAAGGAAGCTTTTGCAAACGGGGGGGGGGGGGGGAGCTGGTTCTTTCCCCCCTCCGACAACTGACACATGAAGTTGTGGACAGGTGGTTAAAAACCAAAAAAGCCCAGACACTGTGGACAAGTGGATTCTGTTTGCCAAAGCTGCTGGGGCTGGGCAGTTGCAGAGACACCACCCCATTGCGAAAGGCTATCTTGCCCAAAGCCAGAAGAAGACAGCCGTGAGAGCATGGGGAAAAGGTTCCAGGTTAGTACAGGTTCCCTTACCTGTTCCGTGGCTGGCAGGATTCCATCTAGCCATCCTGAGGTCTCTCCAAGCAGACTGATGTCTACTTGCAGGGAACGGCACAACACATTTTGCAAAAAAGGAAGGGGGGAAAAAAGGCAGATAGATAGACTCGAGGGGTGATAGAACAAAAAGGAAAAAAAAGGAGGAGAGGGGAAGTGAATGTCTTGTTACTTCACAGGAAAGGGAGTGGCAAAGGAAATGGCATAATCTAAATGCAACGCTAAAGCCCCTTTTTTGGGAAAGCCCCGGCCATCTCTTGTGAAGGCTTCCTAGAGACAGGAAAAGCTGGTGGCCGCGCAGAGAATGAAGAGAGGAAGTGGTTGAGAAAACGAGAAAGGGTGTGGAGGGGACACAGAACGGCGGGGTATGGAACAAGAGAGAGAGAGAAAGCGTTCCGTGTTACGTTCTCTTGCTGCGCCGCAAAACTCTTCAGCAAAAATATGGCAAAAAATAAGCATTTTATTTATTTTTTTGCAAATATGGAGGTGCATCCATCTAATCACCAACTGGTTTTAAAATACTGCAAAAATAAGCATTTTTTTGCAACTATGCTTTAACCTAATCGCCAAAGCTGGTTAAAAAATTACGTTGCAAAAGATCTGGATCTGCTGGCCTAAGCAATGTGGCTGAGCTCTTGGAATCCCAGGTGGCAGCTTATGGCATTTTATCAGCGTTGGCTGCCATGCCTGCTTTGAGTGCCACAGGAAGACAGAGACCAGGCTGTTCTCATTCAGACCATGCAACTTCCAGATCGGCCGACTGAGAGGCATTCTATGCGGAGCCTGCCTTTGGGGCGAAATGTCTGGAACTTGTAGCTGGTGCAGAATGAGGCAAACGGCTTGCCAAGTGATGTGAACACAGGAAAACAGGGAGCTGCTTATAGAGTCAGACCACTGGCCCAGATGGCTCAGCATTGCTGACCCAGGCTAGTAGCATCTCTCCAGTTTTTCAAGGAGGGGACATTTCCAGTCCTACCTGGGAATGATCCAGACACCTTCTGCATGCAAAACATCCCTTGCCTATGTCCAGACCCGTCCAACTCCCAAGAGACTGTGATCTACTCCCAATATGAAAAAACTGACAGTGATCTACCAAAGGTGGCAACTAAACGAGGGGAGATTTGCCAAGGGTTGTTTAGCTTTTGGGGGGGGGGGGGCAAAGCTGTTTCTCAGTGATCACTTCCTATCGTCCCGCGATCTACCTGAAGCACCCCGGTGATCTACAAGTAGATCGCGATCTACAGGTTGGACATCCCTGCACTGTGTCTGATCTCTAAATCCTAAAACAACTTGGGTCCTAATTATCTGTAGTCCCATTATGAACCTGCCCTCCCTTCCAGCTCTTGGGGAGGTTCACCTACAGCGGCGGTGTCCAAACTTTCTTCAAAGAGGGCCAGATTTGATGGAAGTGAAGGGCCGTGGGGGCCAACCACAGTTGTTGACCTCTGACCTTTTCTTAGGATTGAAGTTGAGCTTTTTTTAGGATTTTACCCCAAAATTGTTGAGTTTCTTTTTAGGATTGAAGTTGCTGAGGTTTTTTTGGGATTTTACCCCAGGAAATAAACTGCCACCACAGGGGCCGGATTAAACCGACCAGCAGACCGGATTAGGCCCCCGAAACGGACTTTGGACATGCCTGACCTACAGACTCCATCCAACAAAAAGCTTGGCTTAGCCTCTGTGGGGAAAGGGGCCTTCTCCTGGGCATCACCCAAACACTGGAACTCTCTTCCAATGAAGGTTTGAGTAGTCTGCTTCCAGGTGCCTAGTTCTCTTTCCCCCAGAAGGCTTTCATTCACCTGCATGGCATGCCTACCTGTGGGTACCAGGCTAGTAGCTAAATGCAAGCCTGCATCATACCACTCACTATCTTGCACAAGATTTCATTTTTCAGACTGGGAATCACAAACTCCAAAGCTATGAACTAAGCACTATGTATGCCCCAGCTGTTATCTGAATGTATCTGAAACTGCTTTATGAACTCTTTTCATATATGTTAATTGCTCAAACTATTTTTTTTTAACATATGCAATGTATGTGGTTTGGATTGTATAGTATTGTATTGTATCAATTGAGATGCTTCAAAGGAAGGGATTCATAAATGAAATTAAGAATAATTTCAGCGTAGCCAAATGACACAGCAAGGGTACTTAAACAAAAGCAAGTTACACCAAATAGTTTTCTGTAAATGTGTTGCTGATTTTAACCTCAATCCCACACAGTTTCAGGGCAATTCTGTGAACAGGTTCTTTCAAGTAAGCCCCACCGGCCCCACTCACTTCTGCATAGGATCAAGGCTACACAGCCCCCACAACATTCCAACAAAACACAGAAAATATGGGCCGATGCTGTGCAGAATATGTTTTCCACTAGCTAAAGATACGAGCTCTTACAGTTTGGGGCCATTATGAATGGGTGTAATCCCTTGAGCTGGAGAAGGAGCAAAGAGGTTGAGAGAATTGCTTTATAAAGAGTCTTGGCTGTGATTAAATATGAAAATCAGGTGAAACCCACTAACTAATTATACATTTCCACTACAGCTCTCATTGCCAAATAAGCTATGTCCCTCCAATATACTCTTGACTAATGAATGGAGTCAAATAACTGCCATGATAAATAAAAAACACCCTTTTTTTGGTCGGGTTTCAAAATGCAAGTTGCTTCAGAACCAGCTTCTCTCTGCTTTCCAAATCACAACTTCTATGTGGCTTCTTTGCTGTCTCCAAAGCCCCTTTGAAATCCAGTTTAAATCCATACCATTTCTATGCACTGCATACTGCCATCAGCAGGGGTATATATCCCAACTTGGGTTCTGCAGACAGCTCCATGCATGATATTTCTCTGGGCAGGAGCTACAACAACTCTGGACAATATGGGACTAGGATGGAATCTACACGCATATTAAAAACTCTGTAAAAATGCATTTAAAAAAAAAAGTTTTGAAAAATACATTGTATTTTGCATAGCTCACTGTTGCCATCTAGTGTCACATTTGTATATTGCACTTTACAACACATTTAAAATGGTTTTTTTTGCAGCTGTGTAGCTGCGTCCTTAGGGACGCGGGTGGTGCTGTGGTGTAAAACACTGAGCCTTGGGCTTGCCGATTGGAAGGTTGGCAGTTTGAATCCCCACAACGGGGTGAGCTCCCGTTGTTCGGTCCCTGCTCCTGCCAATCTAGCAGTCTGAAAGCACATCAAAGTGCAAGTAGATAAATAGGTACCGCTCCAGCGGGAAGGTAAACGGTGTTTCTGTGCGCTGCTCTGGTTCACCAGAAGTGGCTTAGTCATGCTGGCCACATGACCCGGAAGCTGTACGCCGGCTCCCTCAGCCAATAAAGCGAGATGAGCGCTGCAACCCCAGAGTCGTTCACGACTGGACTTAATGGTCAGGGGTCCTTTATCTTTACCTGCGTCCTAGGTTATCTCCAGGGACCCCTAACCATGTATACCCCTGCCTGGTCACTTCATTCCCTCCGGAGAGATGCTCTTAGTAGAGTTGTTTGCACTGGAGCAGGCATAGGCAAACTCTGGCCCTCCAGATGTTTGGGACTACAATTCCCATCATCCCTAGCTGACAGGACCAGTGGATGATGGGAATTGTAGTCCCAAACATCTGGAGGGCCGGAGTTTGTCTATGCCTGCTCTGGGCCTTTGGTATGGTAGCACCTGCCCTATGGAATGTGTCTCCAACAAGACAGTATTAAGCTCATCTCTTCTCCCAGGTGTTCACAGAAAGGCGATCCAGTTATGTCGATGCATCAAGCTGCTCTATAGAGGCAGAAGAGCCAGTGGCCAACTGACCGATTGACTGACTGCCCAGTTCCTCACTGACCTTCGCACAGTTGAGACCTTGAAGCAGAGCTCACTTATTCACATCCTGATCTGAGAGTCACCGCCACATGAGAGAAGCCCAGCCCCACAGGGGGGAAAGGCGGGTGTCAGAAATTGTGGAGAAAATAATTTTGAGGATCTCTTTGAAAGCACCCCTGTGGCCAAGGTGGATCTTATTGTTGTCTGCTAAGAGTGCCCAAGAGCATTCAGCTTACTTCTGAACAAATTCTGAGAAGCTCCAGATCACTTTGCCCCTTCGAAAAGCTGGTATCACAGCATCAAGAGCATCCGTTTTGCCAAACTCATTAAACTAAATAGCTTTAATTGGATTTGAAATAAATGTGCAATTAATTGTTCCTGCTTTGAATTTCACTGTGCCGTTATCTTCCTGAGTGGGCAGTGCAAACCACTATTTTGAATAAAGCTATTTATAGGGTAAGGGACGCGGGTGGCGCTGTGGGTTAAACCAGAGCCTAGAACTTGTCAATCAGAAGGTCGGCGGTTCAAATCCCCACGACAAGGTGAGCTCCCGTTGCTCAGTCCCAGCTCCTGCCAACCTAGCAGTTCAAAAGCATGTCAAAGTGCAAGTAGATAAATCGGTACCGCTCCGGCGGGAAGGTAAACGGCGTTTCCGTGCGCTGCTCTGGTTCGCCAGAAGCAGCTTAGTCATGCTGGCCACATGACCCCGAAGCTGTACGCCAGCTCCCTCGGCCAATAAAGCGAGATGAGCACCGCAACCCCAGAGTCGGTCATGACTGGACCTAATGGTCAGGGGTTCCTTTAGCCTTTACCTATTTATAGGGTGGGGGCGCTGGGAAGGAGTTTAAGGAACCAAAGGAGCAAAAAACGATTTGGGAACCACTGCTCTAGGTTAGAAAGGTTCAGGAAAAGAAACACGGCAATAGAATCGTGGTCCAGTTTCCTTTTGAAGCAGAGGGTAGGCCAGCCAAGCAAAGTTGAAATGCATGCAGAAATCTGTTACGACGAATGTTTACTACAGGAAGCAGCAGTGACATTTGCGCAGGTAATGCGCAGATTGTTGTTGTTTAGTCGTGTCCGACTCTTCGTGACCCCATGGACCAGAGCACGCCAGGCACTCCTGTCTTCCACTGCCTCCTGCAGTTTGGTCAAACTCATGTTTGTAGCTTCGAGAACACTGTCCCACCATCTCGTCCTCTGTCGTCCCCTTCTCCTTGTGCCCTCCATCTTTCCCAACATCAGGGTCTTTTCCAGGGAGTCTTCTCTTCTTATGAGGTGGCCAAAGTATTGGAGCCTCAGCTTCAGGATCTGTCCTTCCAGTGAGCACTCAGGGCTAATTTCCTTAAGAATGGATCTTCTTGCAGTCCATGGGACTCTCAAGAGTCTCCTCCAGCACCATAATTCATAATGCGCACATTACCCTCCCCTGGAATATTAAGACAAGGGCCGCCTCGGTTGCCTTCTTAGCACACGCGGAGGAAATTCCTTTTTCAACAAGCTTTTTAAGCCGTGCTCTTTCCCCAGTTTGGAACTGTCTTTAAGGATGCAATTATGGGGGGGGAGGAGGCAGTTCAAAGCAGGGCTGCCTTTCCAGAGTGTGCTGGGTTCAGCGGGTGCAGAATGCAGGTTAAGCGGTGCAGGTTACAGAGATGGCATAAGGCAAAATCCTTCCCACATCCCTGAGCCAGATCATAACTCCACATTCCCTGCATCTGGGATGGGGTGCGGCGCCTCTGCCAGTGGTTTTCAACCTTTTCGAGTCCACAGCACCCTTGACTTAAACACAATCTTTCTGTGGCTTCCCTGTGGGAGCCACTCAGACCAGGATTCCGTTACAGGACACATGTAAATGGGGATTCACCCCAACCCTGACCCTTTCTGCCCCCCCCCCCCCGAATGTTCCTCAGAGAGAAGGAAAGAGAGAGGTAACGCAGGAAAATATATAGGGGCTACAAGTGATTCACTGGCCATTCCTCAAGGGATACTCAGAGTAGACCAACTGAAATTAATGGACAGGACTTGCAAGTCGCTTGGCATCATTTCTGTAATGAAAGCAACTAGTAAAAATAACAGTCCCAATAATTTCAATGGGACTTCTCTGATTAGGGCTTAGTTAGGTTAAACCCCACTGTGTCCAGGGTAGCTGTCTACCAGCTCCATTAGGTACGCAGGCTGAGACCCTATCTGCCCGCAGACTGTCTTGCCAGAGTGGTGCATGCTCTGGTTATCTCCTGCTTGGACTACTGCAATGCGCTCTATGTGGGGCTACCTTTGAAGGTGACCTGGAAACTGTAACTAATCCAGAATGCGGCAGCTAGACTGGTGACCGGGAGCGGCCGCTGAGACCACATAACACCGGTCCTGAAAGACCTACACTGGCTCCCAGTACGTTTCCGAGCACAATTCAAAGTCTTTGTGCTGACCTTTAAAGCCCTAAACGGCCTCAGTCCAGTATACCTGAAGGAGCCTCTCCACCCCCATCATCCAGCCCGGACACTGAGGTCCAGCGCCGAGGGCCTTCTGGCGGTTCCCTCATTGCGAGAAGCCAAGTTACAGGGAACCAGACAGAGGGCCTTCCCGGTAGTGGCACTCACCCTGTGGAACGCCCTCCCATCAGATGTCAAAGAGAAAAACAACTACCACACTTTAAGAAGACATCTGAAGGCAGCCCTGTTTAGGGAAGTTTTTAATGTCTTATGCATTACTGTATTTTAATATTTTGTTGGAAGCTGCCCAGAGTGGCTGGGGAAGCCCAGCCAGATGGGTGAGATATAAATAATTTATGATGATGATGATGATGATGATGATTAAAATCTGCATTGTTTATTGCATTTCTCCAAGGCGTACAAGATGGTATTCATGGTTCTTCTCTTCCTCCTCAAGGCATCCACACAACAACCCTGTGTTGTAGATTAGGCTGAGAGGCAGGGACTGGACTAAGGTCACCCAATGAGTGTCATAGCTGAGTTGGGATTTGAACCCTGGTCTCCCAGATCCTAGCCTGACACTGTAACCCAGGCATCCCCAACCTGCGGCCCTCCAGATGTTTTGGCCTACAACTCCCATGATCCCTAGCTAACAGGACCAGGTCAGGGATGATGGGAATTGTAGTCCAAACCATCTGGAGGGCCGAAGGTTGGGGCTGCCTGCTCCAACCACTAAACCACACTGGGTCTAGGTGATACCACCGGTTTTGTCACCAATCAAGATGACACCTTTTCACTAACAGAAGCTGATTATTTTTCTACTGAATCGTAATGGGAGTGGCTCATATTTTTTTTAGCAGTGAGATTCGTTTGCATTTACAAAGACGCCATCTGTGTGTTTCCTTGTAAGCGGTAGTTCTTCCTGTTTAGCAAACTCAGCCTTGCAAATAAGTCTGCAAGGTATGGATGAGCCTACAAAAAAAAAAAAGTCTTACTGGCTGCCTGCCCACAAATAGTCATTTGTGACTTTCAAAGCATCAGGGAGAGAAAGATGCTTTTGTAACTTTTTATGGGTTTTTTTTTAATCAATGAATGCTTAGAGGACATTGCCACTGGGCCAGCAGCTGTTTACAAGCCTGGGCAAACCTGTGATTGACAAGAAAGGTGGGCCATGTAAAATTTACAGAGAAAATGCACTGCATTTAAGCAGAAATATATATCTTTTTAAAGACTACTTATATGGCTCCTATCTCCTTCCAAACCACAATGTCCCGTCCAGCAGACACGTGAGAAACAGAAGCCACCGTAACAGAGTGACGTAGTAGCTAGAAAGTTGGGATAGGCTCTGGGAACCCGGGGGGTCAAATCCAAACTTGTCCATGAAGCTCTCTCATTCATATCTATCTATCTATCTATCTGTCTGTCTATCTATCTATCTATCTATCTATCTATCTATCTAATAAATGTTCATAATGTACAAGGCAAACACATACATAAGTATATAAACCACGTGTCTGAAATAGTACATGAAAACAATCCTGAAGCCATTCTGACTCTCCCAAATTGACCGCAAATCTTTCTCTGCAAGGAGGAAGGAAATGGGAAAAGCTTTCCAATTGTCTTTGGACTGCAGGGGCTTACACCTCCCTGTAAATACAGTCTGGCAAGTATCTGTTAAGCTGAGCACACTATCAATATGCGCAAGAGATTCAGGAACTAAGTACTGACCATCTCCAAGGAATGGCCAGGCTACCCAGAAAAGACAATCAGATAAGGCATTATCAGGTATCCTGGCAGACAGGAGAGAAGCAGCACACTCAAATTTCTGCTGGGGACCACCTCTTTCTGTGATGTATGTATGATGTTTTGGAGAGTGGTCTTGCGCTACAGGGGAGGCAATTTCAAAAGTCTATATAAGAGCTTGCACACCAATGTTCTGGGTTCCTCTCCTCCCTCCCTGCGGGGGGGTGTGTGTGTGTGTGTGTGTGTGTTTGTGTGTGAGCACCCTGTTGCAACAGTTTAATAAAGATCAGGCTTGCTAGCTGCTTTGCTTCTCAATATTCTCTGGTTGGCCTCTGTTACTTTCTCCTGCCCATAGAGAACCTACATAAGGACTCTGATACAGTGGTGCCCTGCAAGACAAATGCCTCGCAAGACGGAAAACCCGCTAGACGAAAGGGTTTTCCATTTTTGAGTTGCTTCGCAGGACGAATTTCCCTATGGGCTTGCTTCGCAAGACGAAAATGTCTTGCGAGTCTTGAGATTTTTTTTCGCTCCCCCCCCCTTTTCTAAGCCGCTAATAGCCTTTTAGCAGCTAATCCGCTAAGCAGATAAGCCTTTAATAGCCGCTAAACCGCTAATAGCGCTAATCTGCTAAGCCGCTAATAGGGTTGCTTCGCAAGACGAAAAAACCGCTAGATGAAGACACTCGCGGAACGGATTAATTTCGTCTTGCGAGGCACCACTGTATACGGGCTCTTGGATACCCCATAAGTGATAAAGCAGCAGCTTTTTCTTATAACAATCAACTCTCAGCCGAGCCTACCTGGCAGGGTTGCTGTGGAAATAAGACGGCGAGGAGAAACACGTAAGCCATCTTGGAGGAACAGCGGATAGAAATGGAATAACGTACATAAAGACGGCCTTCTCTTTCTGCTTGCAGGATTATGGAAAGGGGTTTCTAAATTTCTGGGGAGATAAGGTTAAGCCTTGGGATTGAATTCGCATTCCTTTCCCTCCCACTTCAGCCACTCTGAAGTGCAGGTCCATCTGTCTCGGACGAGTCTTGCTCTGCGTCTCAGGAAGTGCCCCGCAAGACGGCCGAATTCTCTTTGGAATTGGAAAATGCCACGCCATTCCTCACAGAGTCTTTACATGCGCTTTGCCAGGGCTGCTTCTCCATTTATCTGTGGCATTTGTATCCTTCCCCATGGCTACCAATAGCTATGTGCTGTTGGAGGCACCATGCCTATTATAAATGCCATTCATTGCTGGAGGTCACAGACGGGGAAATTGGGCTGTTGCCCCCAGGTCCTGCTTGAAGGCTTCCTATGAATATCTGGCTGGCTGCTTTGTATACAGTGGTACCTCTGGTTGCGAATGGGATCCGTTCCAGAGGCCCGTTCACAACATGAAAGGAACGCAACCCGCAGTGGCGCACCTGCACACGTGCTGGTTGCGATTCGCCGCTTCTGCGCACGACGTCATTTTGAGCGTCTGTGCATGCACGAGTGGTGAAACCCAGAAGTAACTCCTTCCGGGTCACCGCGGGATGCAACCTGAAAAAACGTAACATGAAGCGGACGTAACAAGAGGTAAGACTGTACAGTCACACCTCGGGTTGAATGTGCTTTGAGTTGAGCGCGTTCGAGTTGCGCTCCGCGGCAACCCGGAAGTAACAGGGTGCGTTACTTCCAGGTTTCACCGCTCGCGCATGCGCTGACGCTTAAAATGACATCACGCACATGAGCGGAAGCGGCAAAACGCAGCCCGCGGACACGCGCCGTCACGGCTTACGTTGCGTTCAGGATGCGAACGGGGCTCCGGAACAGATCCCGAGGTACCACTGTACTGTTAATCTGGTGAAAGAATCTAAAAAAGCACCAGATAACTATACAGTGGTACCTCGGGTTACAGACGCTTCAGGTTACATACGCTTCAAGTTACAGACTCCGCTAACCCAGAAATAGTACCTCAGGCTAAGAACTTTGCTTCAGGACGAGAACAGGAATCATGCTCCGGCGGCGTGGCAGCAGCAGGAGGCCCCATTAGCTAAACAACAGTTTCAGGTTAAGAATGGACCTCCAGAACGAATCAAGTTCTTAACCCGAGGTACCACTGTACCCATTAAAATGCCTGGGATAATTCTCTTTTTTAAAAAAACCACACCCTCGCCTGGCACCTAAAACGCCAGATTGGAGTGGGCATTCCACAAACAGGCCACCATTGCTGAAGAGATCTTCTCTCTAGCAATCAACTGCTCCTCACATCACCGACAGGGAAACTTGGGAGAAGGGTCTCCAGGGAGGATGTCCAGGTCGAAATTCAGAACATCAGAAAAGTACTGCTGGATTGAGCCATCAAGTCGCCTGCGTTGTTCTTACACAGGAGTAGGCAACCTAAGGCCCGGGGGCCGGATCCAGCCCAATCTCCTTCTAAATCTGGCCCACAGACGGTCCGGGAATCAGTGTGTTTTGACATGAGTAGAATGTGTCCTTTTATTTAAAATGCATATCTGGGTTATTTGTGGGGCCTGCCTGGTGTTTTTACATGAGTAGAATGTGTCCTTTTATTTAAAATGCACTTCTGGGTTATTTGTGGGGCATAGGAATTCGCTCATTATTTTTTTCAAAATACAGTCATACCTCATGTTACGGCGCTTCAGGTTGTGGGCTTTTCATGTTGCGAACGGGCCTCTGGAACGGATCCCGTTCGCAACCAGAGGTACCACTGTACAGTCATACCTCACGTTATGTCCGCTTTATGTTACGTTCTTTTAAGTTACGTCCCGCGACGACCTGGAAGTACCGGAAAGGGTTACTTCTGGGTTTCGCCGCTCACACATGTGCAGAAGTGCAAAATGACCTCATGCGCGTGCGTAGGAGCGGCGAATCGCAACCCGCGCGTGCGCAGACGAGCCGCTGCGGGTTGCGCTCTTTTCATGTTGCGAACGGGCCTCCGGAACGGATCCCGTTCGCAACCAGAGGTACCACTATATAGTCCGGCCCCCCAGAAGTTCTGAGGGACAGTGGACCGGCCCAAGGCTGAAAAAGGTTGCTGACCCCTGTTCTCATGGCATCTGCCTGTCTTGAGAGACAACGGAGTGCGCTTCCAGGGATGAATTGCACTGCTGCATTAGTAGCACTCAAGTGACCACCCTGGGTGCAAGCCTGGGCAGGGTGCAGGGAGGTCCTGGGCTGCCCAGACCCCAGGACCCCCCCCCCCCTCAGCCTCACTGACGGGGTCCAAAGGAAAGCAGAGCAAGACGTTTGGCACCAGCTTGGCTGCAGGAGTCGCTGGAAGGAGGTGGACAAGGCACCATCCAACTGTCTTAGGGACTCCATTCTGGATGTGTGCAGGCTTTACTCCTTAGGGTTTTTCTTCTCCTGAAGATATCCTGCAAGGCAGTGGGTGTTTAGGATCAGAGTTTCCCTTCTCTGCATCCCAGAAGACACCAAACAGATACAGGGGGGATCTGAGCAGGGTGGATAAAAATCAATGATTTTTAAATAAATCGGATATTTTTGATTTAAAACGGATTTTTAAAATAAAACGCTTTTGGAGGAAAAAACTTTCTAAAGATAGTTTTCTATTTAAGCAAAGCAAGAGCACCCAGACTTGCAAAAACACTGCTGGGGTGGGGAACACACATACACAAAAAATTAGAGGGTGTCTGGAGACATTTATCATAAATCCAAGGGTGGGAAATGTCTGTGTGTATACCTGTGTTGGAAGAATAATGATAATTTCTGTTTAGGTTACATTATAGTCCAAATGCTATCCATCAGGAAATAAGGGTTTGTTTTAAGTTTTTCATGTGTGCTAAAACAGTCTTCAGTTTTTGTTGTTTTTTTTAAAAAAAGTTTAACCACATCAGTTAACAAACATGGATACATATGCTACAATGTTATCGCTTTAGTTAAATAAATTGTTTAAATTGTGATTAAGGAAATGATTATTTTTTTCTCCTTCCAGTAAAGTACAGCAGAAAAGTTGTCCAAATATAAACAGTTAGCTTATTTAACCTCACAATAATTTCATAATTATCGGTCTATGTATTTCTAATAGTGTAACTAAATAGACAATTTTTGATATAACTGTAGAGACTACTCTGAAAATTTATTATTCCAAAAATGAAAACTTCCTCTGGTTGTGTATATAAAGATTATACCAGCAAGAATGATTCTTTCTGTAAAAAAAAAGAAAAAGAAAAAAAAAGATTTAAAACAAGTCTTACTGACTAGTGATTTAAATCATGATTTAAATGAGTGTCACAGAACTATTCCTAGTGGTGATTCTCAGCCGTTGGTATTCAAAGGCATACCGCCTCCAACAGTGGACCTGAAAGTAGCCTTCCCCTCCATGAATTTGTCCAATCTGCCTTTAACGCCATCACTGTGACAGGGAGTTCCACAGTCTAACAAGGCATGGCCAAAGCCCTTTCTTTTATCTGTCCTGAATCTCCCAGCATTCAGCTTCATTGGACGCCCTCGACTATTATAAGACAGGGAGAAAACGTCTTCCTTCTTCTGCTAAAAATGGTTTTCAGCTTGTTTTAACCTCTGTGCCGGGTTTTGGTCTTATTTCTGTTTGTATTATTCACAACTGCTTTTTTCAGTTTCGGTTTCTTCTTGTACTTACAGAGGTTCCTAACCTCCTACGCTGTGTGGATGGTACGCACATAAATACGTCCCCTTCCCACAACACCCAAAAATCAGTTTTTTCCCCGAAAGAATACAAGGGCTCCCTCGAGTGTTATATCTCTATAATCCTTCCGGGCCTTAAGATTTACATCGGCCAAGTACTGTTGCACAAAAAGCATATTTATAGAGGTTCGGACAACGCAGGGGCAGATAAGCACCTATTAATCACTACTTAAAGCTCCATCAAAGACAGCTTAAGAAGAGTCAATAGCTATTTAATCAGCATTTCCCTTAGACAAAATGGAATGTGTTTCCTAACCCCCCTTTTGAAAAGCATTCCTGAGCAGTGCAGTGGAAAGGCTTTGCTGAGAGACAGGAAAGGATGTGAGAGCCAAAGGGCATTTATCTGTTGCAAGGAGACGGTTGCTCATGCACTTTCTGCCAAGGTGCCCTAACGTGCCAGAAAGAAGTCTAAATTCAGCATGCAATATAAATTATGCAAAGCGCTAAAAATAATGCTCCATCGACATGCTTGGAGATTATTATTTTCTTTAAAGTTGTTCCCAATTCTACACCAGCAATGGACTTGGAGAGGCTGGGAGAATTTGATGCCAGCTCCGAAAGTTTGGCATCTAATAATTTTAATATAATCATCAGTTGGTAGAGCATGAGACTCTTAACCTCAGGGTTGGTTGTGGGTTCGAGTCCCATGCTGGGCAAAAGATTCCTGCATTGCAATGGGTTGGACTAGATGGCTCTCATGGTCTCTTTCCAATTCTAGGATTCTGTAAGCACAGAAACTGCTTTCGGAAAAACAAAGAATTTAATTTTACCTTCCGAAAATGTCAGGCAATGCTTAATAACCGAAGAAAATAAAAACAAAAGCAATATATAATTTAACTGCAAGTACTTGGCAAACATTTCTAATGATTTCTATGCCACTTTGCACACATTTTACCGTATTTACGCGAATCTGATGCACCAGCAAATCTAAGGCGCACCTCAATTTTCAAAACCAATTTTTTTTTGCTGGTGAATGTAAATGCACAATCAAATCTAATGGCGCACCCGGATTTTTGTGACGTAATTTGGCCCAAAAAGGGTGCACGTTACATTTGAGTGAATGCGTTACTTACCAAGCAAAACTAAATTATGTTAACTTAACCAAAGTATCTTTTGAATTCCAAGGTCATGTCACAACTTTTTAGCACACCTCGTTCTTGGAAAATTGGAACATTCAACACGTCCTAATTTCTCATCTTTCTCCATCGGTCCACACCTTCCTAAGGTACTGATTCAATAGCACAGCACACATTTCCTCTTTCGCTCTCACAACTGCGGTGCTTTGTGTACACAGTGCCGCACTTTGGCTCCCCACGTTTTCCACATGCACAATCGTGAAAATTGCCTCGCTGACCGTTTCTGTTTTGACCAGGGCTCTTTGCTTCCAACAGCTGCCAGCGAAACGCCCCAGAGGAAAAAAAGGGAGACGAGAAACCACACAACCAGCCTTGCCCCCAAATTTTGTGCCATTCAGCGAGACACAACCCCTGTGCATGGAATTTCCACTTTGGCTATCAAGGAGGAGACAAGATTTCAAGATTGCAGTCTTGCCTGTTCCCATTTTGTGAACGCATGCCTTCGGACTTCTCCTAGTTATGCGCCTGAAAATGCCTTGGGAACACAAGTAAGGAAAAACAGCAGAAAGAGTTGAGAGTGGGACAGCAAATCCCTTTCAAGTCTCTGGTTACAACCTCTTTTTTATTTTTATTACATTTTTTGAGACTGCCCAGAGGCCGAAAAGTTGACCAGACAAGAGGATGCTCTCTCCTAATATTTGGCGGATCACTTTCACAGGCAGACAAAACCATCCAAGAGAGACAAATATTTCCTTATATCCTTTGCAAGCACTCTAAGATAGATATGTGTGTGTGTGTGTGTGTGTGTGTGTGTGTGTGTATATATATATATATATATATATATATGCGCAGTGGTACCTCGGGCTACAGGCGCTTCAGGTTACATACGCTTCAGGTTACAGACTCTGCTAACCCAGAAATAGTGCTTCAGGTTAAGAACTTTGCTTCAGGATGAGAACAGAAATCGTGCTCTGGCGGCGCGGCGGCAGCAGGAGGCCCCATTAGCTAAAGTGGTGCTTCAGGTTAAGAACAGTTTCAGGTTAAGAATGGACCTCCGGAACGAATTAAGTACTTAACCGGAGGTACCACCGTATGTGTGTGTGTGTGTATATATATATATATCTGAGAAAAATTATAAGATCATAAAATACAGAACAAATGACAAACTATCAAATTAATTCTCCAAAAACGCTTGGCAAAACAAATAATTTTTCAGCAGACGACAAACAACCAGAATTGTAGGTGCCTGTCTGATTTTAATAGGAACACTACTCAATAATAATAATAATAATAATAATAATAATAAAAAATTTATACCCCACCCATCTGGTTGGGTTTCCCCAGCCACTCTGGGCGGCTCCCAACAGAATATTAAAAACATGATAAAACATCAAACATTAAAAACTCCCCTAGACAGGGCTGCCTTCAGATGTCTTCTAAAAGTCAGATAGTTGTTTATTTCCTTGACATCTGAAGGGCACCACTACCGAGAAGGACCTCGGCCTGGTTCCCTGTAACCTTACTTCTCGCAATGAGGGAACTGCCAGAAGGCCCTCGGCGCTGGACCTCAAGTTACTATGCTAAAAGCCTCACGTCACAAAGAAATTATATGAAAGTGAATTAACTGTGGAACAACCAGGAAGGCTTCTTCAGGTGATCAGACAGGTGTATATGGAACAGGATGGAGCTTGTTACAAACATCACGGCAGTGAGACAGTGTGGCAAAGTGGTTAGTGTGTCAAACTGGGACCTGGGTTCAAATCCCCACTTGGCCACGAAGCTCAACATGTGACTTCGGTTTAGTTGCTGCCTCTCAGCCTAACCTACCTCACAGGATCTTTGTGGGAATTAAATGAGGAGAGGGAGAACCGTGTGTGCTCCTTGGAGGGGGAAAAAGTGGAATATAAAAGCAATAAATATAAAAGAAACACCGTGGTGCATCTGCAGCAGCCCAGCAAGACACCTTCCTCTGCTCCAGCTGCAACGAAACATGTCTCTCCCCTATCAGTCTCTACAGCCACAGCAGGCGCTGCAACTCCCCAACGGCTGGACTTCACCCCTGACGGCACGCTCTTCCACTGTCTCTCCCAAGACAGACAGATGCCAAACAGACAAATACAGTGGTACCTTGGTTTTTGAACAGCTTAGTTCACGATCAACTTGGAACCCGAACGCTGCAAAACGGGAAGTAGGTATTCCGGTTTTCAAACTTTTTTTGGGACACCGAACGTGCTCTGTTTTGAGTCCCCCTGTGTTTCCTGTTGCACTGCTAATTTGCATCGTTCCCCCCATTGTAATTCAAGCCTTCCTTTTCCGATTGCAGTGTTCTAAGGTGATATTTGGAGCTTATATTTGGTGCTTTCGTTTTTGCTATTTATTTTGCGTTTTTTGTTTTGAGGCTTTTTCAGTTAATTTGTTTTCGTTACTGTGTGGATCCCAGTTCAGCTACTGGCTGATTGATTGACTGCAGAAATGGATAAAAGCCCCCCCATCCAAACAATGACTATCATCAGTGCAGGTAAGAATTTTTAAAAATTTTATCCTCCACAATACTGTTTTATTTATTTTATAGTACAGTGCATTGATTATTGCTTTCATTTTATGGCTCAATGGTCTCATTAGATAGTATAATCCATGTTAAATTGCCATTTTAGGGGTTGTTTTTTAAAGTGTGGAACGGATTAATCCGTTTTGCATTACTTTTTCAAAGCATGGCTTGGTTTTGGAACGCTTTGGTTTTGGAACGGATTAAGTATGAGAACCAAGGTACCACTGTAAAGTAAATTTTTCAAGCACAAGGGGAACTCCAGACCAATGCCATCTGGCCAGCAGAGTTCAAGGAACCCTAGGTGTCCGAAAACAAGGAGATCTGGTCTGTTTTGGTGTGTGTGGATACGATACTGAGTCTGGAGGGGAAATGAAGAGTAGCCAAACATCAGAATCTGCCAGCGGCCTCTTTAAACAACCTGACGTCTGCCAAGGTCTCTTGGAAGGCTCTGCAGAGCTGCTTAAGGAAAACTGTTTCCTTCCCAGACAGGTTGACGGTTCCCTAGAGGAGACCCACCTTCACCCCCAATCGTACAACATCTACAGGCTGCAGTGACCCTGACAGGAGCCACTGTGGCACGTTTTGGGGAATGTGCTTCTTCCCATCGCCGTATGCACCGAAAAATGCTTTCCAGTATTTCTGCAAGGTTTCAGCTAGTCGTCCTTATCTAGCAGGAGCCAATTCACCTCTTCCACCTAGAAGTCTGTGAGCCCAGGAAACTGGAGGGAGGGGGAAAGCAGATCCCACCCCATCCCCCAGGCCTTTCTCCCTCAATTTTCCCAACTAAGGGGGGGGGGGGGAAATAGGAAAATTTGGGTGAGCACTGGCAGGGGCAGAATGGTTACGTTTACGTTCTTTGAATGAATGAAATTCTTTTTGATGCATTACTTTATTTTAATATTGTGTTGGAAGCTGCCCAGAGTGGCTGGGGAAACCCAGCCAGATGGGCGGGGTATAAATAATAAATAATTATTATTATTAAGGCAATGCTTTACTTAAGCGTAGTATGAAGATTCAACCGCCAATGTGTTTTGTGCTTTATAGACACACTTGCAGATTTGGAAGGGAATCTTTTGCCCAGGGCGGGGATCGAACCCATGTCCTTGAGTTTAAGAGTCTCTTGCTCTACAGACTGAGCTATCCTGGGTTTTCCTTTTGTACTTTTCCTTTTTTTTTATTATAAGATATTTATTAAGGTTTTTTGAAATATTACAGTGAAAATGAAAAAGAAAAAGACAAAATAAAAACAGTTAAAAACACACATATTTTCTATTACTTATTTTCCTTTAGCTTGTTTCCCGGACCTCCTCGTACCTCCCTTTTTTGTATTCCACTTCAATTTATTGGTTCAGCAAATCCTTACCATTAGATTTTAACCCATTTATAACCTTTTTTTCATACTCTCTTAGAACATTACAGCTGGAAACCGCTTAATTACTATCCAACATCATTCTATCATTCATTAATTTTACAATATTTCTGTAAATAGTCTTTAAATTTCTTCCAATCTTCTTCCACCGACTCTTCTCCCTGGTCTCGGATTCTGCCAGTCATTTCTGCCAATTCCATATAGTCCATCATCTTCATCTGCCATTCTTCCAAAGTGGGTAGATCTTGTGTCTTCCAATACTTTGCAATGAGTATTCTTGCTGCTGTTGTAGCATACATAAAAAAAGTCCTGTCCTTCTTTGGCACCAATTGGCCGACAATGCCCAGAAGAAAGGCCTCTGGTTTCTTCAAGAAGGTATATTTAAATACCTTTTTCAGTTCATCCTTTTGTACTTTTCCTTTTGTACTTTTATGTTGTGAACTGCCCAGTGATCTTTGGACGGAGGGGGTAAACAAATTAAATTAATGATGATTATGGTATTGATGAAAGCAGCAATGTTTCTGAATACCAGTTGCATTAACCACTGTGCTGCAGCCCTTTGTGTAGCTCACATAAAGGTTGCACCCCTACATCTTACTGAACCCCTACACTGGCTTCATGTCCCCTTATCCTTAATTCTAATTCTAATAATAATAATAAAAATTTTTACAGTGGTGCCTCGCAAGACGAAAAGAATCCGTTCCGCGAGTCTCTTCGTCTTGCGAAGCAAGCCTATTAGCGGTTTAGCGGATTAGCGCTATTAGCGGCTTAACGGATCAGCTGTTAAGCGGCTTAGCGGATCAGCTGATAAGCGGCTTAGCGATCAGCTGTTAAGCGGCTTAGCTGATAAGCGGCTTAGTGGCTTAACGGATCAGCTGTTAAGCGGCTTAGAGGATCAGCTGATAAGCGGCTTAGAAATCAGCTGTTAAGCGGCTTAGCGGCTTGGGAAAAAGGGGGGGGGAAGGAAAAAAACCCCGCAGGAACTCGCAAGACATTTTCGTCTTGCGAAGCAAGCCCATAGGAAATTCGTTTAGCGAAGCACCTCCAAAACGGAAAACCCTTTCGTCTAGCGGGTTTTCCGTCTTGCGAGGCATTCGTCTTGCAGGGCACCACTGTATTTATACCCCGTCCTCCCCGGCCAGAGCCGGGCTCAGGGCGGCTAACACCGGTAAAATTACAATAAAAACTTAATAGGGGAAAAAAATTAAAATACAGGTTAAAATGCAATTTAAAATGCAACCTCATTTTAAAAGTAGCCCATAGTTCAAAACCATAAGGGGAGGGAAACATAAGGGTCAGACTGAGTCCAAACCAAAGGCCAGGCGGAACAGCTCTGTCTTGCGGGCCCTGCGGAAAGATGTCAAGTCCCGCAAGGCCCTAGTCTCTTGTGACAGAGCGTTCCACCAAGCCGGGGCCAGTACTGAAAAGGCCCTGGCCCTAGTTGAGACCAATCTAACCACCTTGCGACCTGGGACCTCCAATGTGTTGTCATTTGTGGACCTTAAGGTCCTCCGCGGGGCATACCAGGAGAGGTGGTCCCATAGGTACGTGGGTCCTAGGCCTCGTCCTCAGTTTGTCTCTCCATCCTTACATCCCAAGAGCCACTCTTCCTATAAAGCTTTTGGCACAGCCCCTTAGTCTTCACTAGGGACGTCATGTTGGAGAATTCAAACAGAAATGGAAACAGGGGTGCAATCTGCCATAGCCGGCATACCCGTCCCATGTCCAGAGCAGAAATCCACCTGGCCAATACGATCAGGATTTGCTGTTGTCCCAGTTGCTTTCAGTCAGCAAACAGTCACGTTCGCCTCCCACCTGCTTTTGCAAATGAATGGGGTGGAATAACGTAACTTATCCGAATTACGCACTTTTGCCACAGCAAACAAAATGAGACAAAAAGTGTTGTTTATGGAAGAAGGCGAACCGCAGCAGAATGGAAACGGTGCTGCGTGTGACGAGTACAGGGCAGAATGAAAAATGCTCCACCTCTGCATTACAGAAACGAACCCTTGGTACGTGTAAATGAACAGGATACCTATCTTTCCCATTCACCTTTCTCTCCTTCGCTCCCCTTCCCTTTAGGCTCCCCAAAGCGGGGTCTTCAATTGTAGGCTCTCTAGGGCAGGGACCTGCCTTTTAAACAATCCTGCACCGAAACAACTTTTCTCTCAAAAGAAAAGAAGGGAATCCTCTCTCTCTCAAAAACAAAATTAGCTCATCGCTCAAAACAATGCAGGACGTGGGTGGCGCTGTGGTCTAAACCACTGAGCCTCTTGGGCTTGCCGATCAGAAGGTTGGCGGTTCGAATCCCCGTGACGGGGTGAGCTCCCGTTGCTCAGTCCCTGCTCCTGCCAACCTAGCAGTTCGAAAGCACGTCAAAAGTGCAAGTAGATAAACAGGTACCGCTCCGGCGGGAAGGTAAATGGCGTTTCTGTGCACTGCTCTGGTTTCGCCAGCAGCGGCTGTCATGCTGGCCACATGACCCAGAAGCTGTCTGCGGACAAACGCCGGGCCCCTCGGCCTGTAAATGGAGAGGAGCACCGCAACCCCAGAGTTGTTCGCGACTGGCCTTAACTGTCAGGGGTCCTTTACCTTTACCAAAATAAAGCATCATACTGTTGACTCATGTTCAGCTTGTGGTCCACCAAGACCCCTAGATCCTTTTCACATGTACTACCAGCAAGCCAGGTGTCCCCCATCTTATATTTGTGCAGCTGGTTCTTCCTGCCTAAGTGCAGAACCTGACATTTGTCCCCGTTGAAATTCATTTTGTTAGCTGGGGAAAGACTCCTGCTGCAATCCTGTAAAGCCTTGCTAGCCAGTGGAGTGTGGACCATACTTAGCTAAACGGGTCAGCATCAAGCATCTCCCCATAATCGATTTATTTTTATTTATTTCGTAACACTGATTGACTGCTTGATTGCAAAAAACAAAACAAAACAAAACCTCAAAGCAGTTTGCGAAATAAGTTAAAACAAATAAAATCACTAATAAGAAGAACCGGCAACAATACATTTAAGACTTTTGACACGTTGAAATAACAGTAAACTAAAAACAGATTAAAACTCGCAACAACTTTCTAAATTCCCCGAGAGGCTTGCGCACACAAAAATGTTTGTAGCAGCAGCCGAGAAAAGTACAGTGAAGGCGCCCACCTTGGTATCAACAGGCAGGGAGTTCCAAAGTTCTGCCACGCGAAAAAGACTTAATTCATGCAAATGCAAAATAGCACGCACCCCTCCCAGGTGTTTTGGAGTGCAAATGGCTAATGCTACTGGCAGCTGTAGTACAAAATATCTGGGTGCTGCCACGTTGAGGAAGATAGTCTGGAGAATGAGAGACCCGCAGGAGCCAATCTGAGAGGGTGGGCTAGATGGGTATTTGTTTCTCAAGCGGTCTTGCCATGCCCTCTGGGGTTCCCTTCCACATTTGGGTGCTGGGCATGCACAGAGACACCTGCATGTCGCTCAGGTCCCCTGCTGGGGGGCAGACACCACCTGCCCGCCCCCACCTGGCTGGCAAATTGTGCTGCTGCCTTCTACTTCATTGGCACTAGCTGAGAACAGCTTAGGCTCCAAGCAGCGAGTGTGGGAGTCCTTTTTCTAAATTTGTGGTTTTATAAATGATCTTTTAATTGACTCTCGCATCTTTCCCATTTTGACGTTTCTTCGTTTTGCAAAACCACAGCTGCGCGTCGCCCGTGCCAGGAAAGCAAAACAAACGGAGGGAGCCACCGCCGTTGTTTTTGCAATCTTAACGGTCCCCCAATCCAGATCGAAAGGTACAGCCACTGGGCTTAAGATATCCCCAAAGTGCGCTGGACGAGACAAATCGCAATTCACACAGGCGCTTGGAGGTTCACGCTGCACCCATTTCCACCAATTCCTCCTGAATTCAACAAAAAAAAAGTTACAGAAAAACAGAAGGACGCCTTAGGCAGAGACCAGAGATCTCTGACTGGTAGAAAAAGACGTTTCCTCGTCTTTAACTGGAGATATTTGTTGTTAATTGCATTTGCACCTCACGTTTTCCTGCCAAGGAGTTCATGGTGGCAAACATGCTTCTATCCCTACTCATTTAATCCCTACAACAGGCCTGCGAGGTAGGTTAGGCTGAGAGGCAGCGACTTCAGCATTTCAAAATTTGCCAGGCGCATTTTGCACTCGGGACGCGGGTGGCGCTGTGCGTTAAACCACAGAGCCTAGGACTTGCCAATCAGAAGGTTGGCGGTTCGAATCCCTGCGACGGGGTGAGCTCCCGTTGCTCGGTCCCTGCTCCTGCCAACCTAGCAGTTTGAAAGCATGTCAAAGTGCAAGTAGATAAATAGGTACCGCTCCAGCGGGAAGGTAAATGGCGTTTCCGTGCGCTGCTCTGGTTCGCCAGAAGCGGCTTAGTCATGCTGGCCACATGACCCGGAAGCTGTACGCCGGCTCCCTCGGCCAGTAAAGCGAGATGAGCGCCGCAACCCCCGAGTCGGTCACACTGGACCTAATGGTCAGGGGTCCCCTTTACCTTTACCTTATCGGCCACCTGTGACTAAGTGAAGATGCCCAGGTGCTAAGAATGGTGCCTGACATCTCCACCATCTGGAGGTACGTGCCCGGGCGTCTTCGAACCGTGACTGTTTTCACACACTAACAACACACCCTGTAGAATTCCACCCGTTATATTTTATCTGCACAATCAGAACGAATTCCAGGAACCCAAAACTCACATTGAAACCTACAACTTTTTGAGCAGCCCAGCCCCAAAATGGCAACAAGGCGTTCTGTTTGGGCGACTATAACCCTGGTTTAAGGAGTCATTTGGCGCTTAAGCTTATATATCTGAGTTTCTAACGAGGAGTGACCGGCTCCCAAGGTCACCCAGTGAGTTTCGTGACCAAGTGGGGATTCGAACCCTGGCCTCCCAGGACCTAGTCCGACACTCTAACCACTACCCCACACTGCCTCTCAGAGAGGGGGCGGTATTGACAAAGATTGAACATTCTGCAGGAAACTCAGGGTTCTGCCAGGAGGACAGCATAACTGAACCAGGGCCTGGGTTCAAATCCTGCCGCAGTCACAAAGCTCTATGGGTAACCTTGGGTCAGCCACTGCTTCTCATCCTTAACTACCTCACAGGATTGAATGAGGAAAGGGTGGTCCATGTCAGATAAAAAAGCAATAAAATGAATAGAAATATCCAAGCCAGGCTTCAGATCCCTCCCTAGCCTTGAGTTCTTTCGCACCCTTTGCTTCTCCTTTTTTTCCCCCTTTCCAAAATCTGCAACGCGGGAGCTAGGGATGACCTCCATCACAGGGCTGTCATGAGATCGAATCCCAGCACGGCCAAAATTACGTACATCGCCACGGTACTTTCAGCAGGCAGCCGTTAAAAAACAAACAAAACACGTCCCTTGTAACTGAAGCAGATCTCTCTGGCTCCTTCTGTCCAGTGGCCCGTCTATTCTGACTGGCAGCTGTCCATCACCAAGGAATATCTCCTGCCCCCATTTCTTGGGATGCCTCCGCCACGGATTCAGCGGGGATTTCTGCATGCAGAGAGAGCATGGATGCCGGAGAAGAGCCACCACTAAACTGGGCTTTCGGAGGTAATGCGGTGGGGATGCCAGGCAAAACGCAGCTCTTCCTTAGGCGAGGCCGGGTTTCCTCTCCGCCGGGAAGCCCCGGAATTAAAAGACAGGGAAATCCCACACCCGAATACCCTCTATGTCCTATTTCCTTGCTGTAGAAAAGGGGGAGATCTCTGCTGCGGGCTGTCTCTCCCGATGCAAAAGAAAGGGGTTCCCTTGCTCCGGCAGAGGATACCAGCTCTACAGGGTGGGGCTGAAAAGGGGGGGAGAGGAATTGGAGAGAGGGAAAGAGAATTTGCAGGGAGGAAGAGGAGGAGGAGGGGAAACCTCCACCGCAGACTCTGGAATGGGAAAGCCCCTGCGCCTCCCTTCCCTCCACCGTCGGGGGGGGGGCGAGGATGCAGCAGAGCGGGCGGGGTGGGGGAAGACTCTTGCAATGCAGACAGGCATGCATGCAAGCTAGGAAGGGACTGCAGCCCAGCCGGGCTGCTGGGAGCGCCCTCTTGAAGGAGCTTTCCAACGCAACCCTGATTTTTTTTAATGCACATATATATATATATATATATATATATATGTATAAATAAAATATATATAAATGCATATATATATATGCGCACACACACACACATACATACATATATGCATGCATTAATTTATATTTGCTCCAAGCAATTCGTGCAAGGGCTGACGGGCAGCACTCGCCACGCGACACGCCCGGCAAATCCCCGGGTCACGGAGGAGGAAGCCGGAGGGCGCGCGCCAGCCTCCTGCCCTGGCTGCTCCTTCCAAAAGGGAAGCCCCCACCCCACCCCGGAGCTGGCAACCGAATGCGTTGCAAGCGATGCAAACTCCCATTCCGGATCCCCTTCCGAGCAAAAGCCACGCATAGAGAAGGCTCCCTCGCTCTCTCTCTCTCAAATCGTATGCAAACCACCGCACATGGCTTTCATTTTAAAAGCAAAGGGCCATAGGGCGGGTGTTATTTTTTTAAAAATGTAATGTGCCCCCCCACCCCAGCGGACGGGGTGTGAGGAGAGAGACCCTCGCTCAATTGGCAAAACGGGACGCGGCCACCCCCCCCCCACTCCAAATCCAGAAGCTTTTCCTGCCTCCCTCCCAAGTCCAGCAATTTGCAGGCACGAAGCAGCTGGGGGGTCTGTGTGTGTGTTGGCTTATTTCTTTCCCTCCACCCCCCCCCCGGCTGCCCATCTCCTCCCAGTCCATTGCAACTGGATCTCTCTGCCCCCCCCCCCCCGTGGCACACTTGATGCATTTATGAAGACGGGAAGGAGAAAGAGGCTCTCTCGCTTCCCCGCGCGGCAGTTTCAGGAAAGCCGTTTTTCGTCTCTCTTTTTTTTTTGCAACGCGATGCAAAGACAGGAAGAGGACCGGGGAGGGGCGGAGGGGCTTTTCCTCTCTCTCTCTTTTGCAAGGTCTGCTCCGATCCCGCTCTTTCCCTCCCCTCCTCCAAGGAAACACCCCCCTCCTCTGCCCCCCACCCCCGGCCCGATCGCTTCCCTTTTGCACCCGCGCCGAGGACCAGGGAGAGTGGATGCTGGTCTGTCTTTCCGTAGATAAGAGAATATATATTTTTTGCAAAAAAAAAAAAAGGAGAGTGGGGGTTACTCACGTTCTGTGCATCCGAGGCCCCTGCAGCCTCCCCCCGCCGGCTGGAACACATCCGTGCCTTCCTGCCTTGCTTGCCTTCCAACCCCCCCGGGCTGCTTCTTCCTCGCCTCTTATTTTAAAGCTCCAGAATCGACACCCTTTGAGGAAAGGGAGGGGGGGAGGGAAGGAGGCTAAGAGAGAATTGGAAAGCAAGCTTTGAAGAAGAAAAAAAATACTGGCTGGCAGGGTCTCCACTGCGCACGCGTCCCCCAGCCCCAGCGATTGACTTCCTAAAGCAACTGCTGTTTTGCACTTCCTCGCGTCAAGAGCGAACCAACCAGCCCCCTTCCCGCTCCTCTCTCTCTCGCTCTCTCTCTCTCGCTCTCTCTCTCTCCACCTCCTTCTTCCCGGGACCGGGCAGTAGGGATTGCCAGCCCACCCCCAGTTCATGCACACGCATGCATGCGCACATGCACACCTTTTCCCGGGTGCATGCATGCGTTGCAAAACCCCAGCGCCTGCTGCTGCACCGTGCAAAGGAACCGCTCAAGCAGCAGGGAGAGAAAGAGGCTTGCAAATGGGAGAAAGAAAATCGAACCTGCTCGCCATCTGCATTGCATCCGCCGACGGCGCAAGTTGCAGAGCGGAGTAGTATTTTGGGGGGTGGGTGGGGGTGTTTTTAGGGGCTCCGCACGTGAGAAAGTTCAGGCTGCGCTCCGTTTTGCGCGCTTCTTCGCCGGATCGAAGGCTTCGCCTCGCGCTTTTCTTTGAACCGCTTTGATTATTGTTAGCGTTATTTTTGCTGGAGTTTAATCTGGGCTAGGATTCGGATTCAGGGCAGAGCGCAGCGGAAAGGAATGGGCAGGTGTGGAGTGCCAGGAGTGCCTCTGGGCACGTGCAAAGCGCCCTTCCTTCGCCGTTTGGATAGCTAGCGCGAAAGCGGGTGGTAGCCATCCTGACGCTCCGGGTGGGTCAGGTCCGAAGGGGGAACTCGAAGAGGTGGCTTCCCAGGCCTCTCACCTGCCGCCCAGGTGAGCGGATGCGGGAGTCACTGCGTATCTGCTACTGCTTCTTCGAGGAAATGCTGGAGAGCGCCGTTATTGCATTGATAGCTCACCCTTTCCTCCAAGGAGCAAATGTGACTTGCAGGATTTTTAACACATCGATCCCACAACAGCCCTGTGAGGTAGGCAAGGCTGAGAAACAGTGACTGGTCGAAGGGCTATTTCTGCCCCAATGAGGGGGCGGCAACATGCAAAATCATAAAATAACAGGCTACCATAACTTCTCTATTAAAAGCACACTCAAGGATTTACAGGGGTTCACATTAGCACATTTATTGTGGCTCTTTGGGCCACCACTACAATGGAAAAGCGAGGATGTGAACTGATCTCCCAGGTCCATTACAACCATAGTTCAAATCTCATTGCAGCCGCAAGCTGCTAAGGAGCCTTAAGGCAGGACACTGTTCTGCTTAGGCTCAACACAAACACACACAGCCTCAACCACTTGCAGGAAGGGGTTAATTATACTGGCCTGCCTTACGGGGCTGGTGTGTCAGGATTAAGGTGACCAGGTATGTTTCGGGCTTTGAACATTTGCAGTTGGCTATATGTGCTAAGACTTATTTATTAACCAGCTTCATTGTCAGCTGCACCAGAGGTCCGGCTCCATAGACCCTGCCATCCGGAGGTGAGGCAGTGTGGTTTAGTGGTTACATTGCCGGACTAGGACTGTAGTCCTAGAATGCACCCCCAGTTGTGACGCTCAGTGGATGACCTTTAGCCTGAGACCCATCTCTCAGGGTTATTGCGGCAATAAAAATGGAAAGGTGCGATATAAAGGTAATAAATAAAGACATTTTTTTAAAAAAATTGTGGCACCATTTCGCAAGGCCCCCTTATAGCACAGGTGATTGCTAACACACACACACACACACACACACACACCTCCCAAGGATTATAATTGCTGGTGCTCTGAATTCATAATCATTGCTTTTGTGTCATAATAATAGTAAGCGATTTCCGGTATCTGCACGTGTGCAAACGCGGTTTTTGGCACCGTTTGGCATGTCACTGCACTGCGCCAGTTTAGCACAGCGTGCGGGGGACTCGCCGAGCAAGCCGCTCAGTTTGGGGGTGGCTCGTGGGCTGGTGAAACAGTCTTCATGGGCCGCATCCTGCCTGTGGGCCCCACGTTGCCGGCCCCTGGCTTAGGACATGAAAAAAAATACATAGCTGCAACATAACAAAAGTAGTCATAAACAACGAATAACACATTTTAAAAAAATACACAGCCAATTTGAAGATTTTCCACATAAATCAAAATAGGATCTCAAATATAGGTACAAAAAAGCTGCCCGTTTCTGAGCCAACTGCAGTTTCCAAAACGTCAGCTCTTGTTAAAACAGACCTGGACTGTAACAGGGTTTGAAGACTTAAAACCGTTTACATCACTGGAGCCGCTTGCTCTAGAGAAGTCACATGATCCTGCAGTAAAAGCAGGGGTCAGCAACCTAGGGCCCTTGGGCCTAAAGCGGCCCATGGGGGTCGTTTAACCGGCCCATGGACCCCCACTGCCCACTCGGTTGGCTACCATGCGCCGCACTAAACTGGCACAGACCAGAGTGGGGACCGCCTTCCCCAGTGCTGGCCGGCTTTTCATTGGCTGCAGGAAGCTCCTGCAATCAATGGGAAGCTGCGAACGCCTCCCCCGCGCCGGAAATAGCGTTTGCACATGCATGCGTGCGCACTCAGGCCCACTGCTGCGTCTGCGGGACCGTGAACCGGCCCGAGCCACAAAACTTTGCCGACCCCTGAGTAAAAGGCCTGGAAAACGAGGGCTGCTTGCAAAAAGATTGCTAGGAACTTTAAAGCACTAGAGTTCGTTCATATGCCTGCCCTCCACTTGGGTAGCATTAGTGGGAGTTTGTTATGAATAAGAGGGGAAATTTATTCACATAATAACATTGGAAGTGTCCTTTCTGCTGGATTGGAACAAAGGCCTATCAAGTCTCACTGTGGCCAGTCAGCTTTCTCAAAGGGAATCCCACAAGCAGGTAAAGGTAAAGGGACCCCGACCATTAGGTCCAGTCACGGACGACTCTGGGGTTGCGGTGCTCATCTCGTTTTATTGGCCGAAGGAGCCGGCGTACAGCTTCCAGGTCATGTGGCCAGCATGACTAAGCCGCTTCTGGCGAACCAGAGCAGCGCATGGAAATGCCGTTTACCTTCCCCGCCGGAGCGGTACCTATTTATCTACTTGCACTTTGACGTGCTTTTGAACTGCTAGGTTGGCATGAGCAGGGACCGAGCAACGGGAGCTCACCCTGTCATGGGGATTCGAACCATCAACCTTCTGATCGGCAAGTCCTAGGCTCTGTGGTTTAACCCACAGCGCCACCCGCTTCCCATCCCACAAGCAGAATTTGAGTGCAATAGCTTTGTTCCCAAGCGACTGATATCCAGAGGAATACTACAGAGCTCTGATCCTGGAGACATCATATAGCCCATCATAACTAGTAGCCCTTGACTTTCTCCTCCATGAATTTCTTTAACGCTCCTTTCAAGTAAAAGCAGGAATCCATTGAGAGAAAAAACTGGTGTAGAAATTGCACGATCTTGGCAAATGCTTTCGTTTTCCCCAAAACCTTCCCGTTTCCTTGCCTTCGGGGTTGAAAATGTGAAAATCTCTCGCATGCTTTTTCCAGTGCCAACGTGAAAATCCAGTTTGCCCTGAAAGGAGCCCTATGCTTTTTTACTATTTTTAAAGATTTTCTTGGTTTACAAAAGTATGTGCAATGTCTCTCTCTTTTTTCTCTCCCCCAAGTAACATTTTTTACAGATGAGTTTAATTTGTTGAGATATTAGGAAGAAAAGGGGGGAAGAGGTGGAGGGGGGAAAGGTGAGTGGGGGTGGGGGTGGGGTCGAGTGGTGATGTTTCTATTTTACTTAATATATGTGGGGTTTTGTGTCAGGTTCTCTGCTATTCAGTTGTGTTCCTTTGGTCGTGAGAGAGGTTGGGGTTGGCCTAGGGTGTGGCTGTTCATTTGTGATTGGCTGTGGTGGTCTTGGTTTTCGTGTGTGAGGGGGGTGTGTGTGTGTGTTTTGGATCAGGTTAGCCATATTGATTTGTATGCTGTTGGTGGATTTTTGTCATTGTCTTGTTGGGCTGTGTATGTGATAAAGGGGAGACGGCGTCTTCTATTTGTCCCCGTGTCAGTTTCAGTTTATTGGTTAATTTTTCTAGTCAGGCTGTTTCCCATACTATTTGATACCATTGGTCCATGCTTACTCCTGACAGGTCTCTCCAGTGTCTGGTTATGGTGTGTCTGGCTCCTGAAAGTAGGTGGGTTATGAGTGCTTTGTGGTATAAATGGGCATTGTTGTCTTGGAAGATGTTTAGTAAGGTCAATTCTGGGGTGATGTCTAGTACTTGCTGAGTTATTTTACATATTTCTCATATGGCTGTTGTCCAGACTAGCTGGATTTTGGGGCACTCCCACCACATGTGGAGGTATGTGCCTGTGGAGGTGCACCCCCTCCAGCATTTTGGTGAGGTTCCTGGGCGTATTAGCGCTAGTTTTCTTGGTTTTAGGTACCACAAAGGAGCCCTATGCATCACCTGCACCTTAAATCCCGAAAGCTTGTCTCAGTAAATGAATTAAAAAAGGTATTTAAATATACCTTCTTGAAGAAACCAGAGGCCTTTCTCCTGGGCATAGTCGGCCAATCGGTGTTAAAGAAGGACAGAACTTTCTTTATGTATGCTACAACAGCAGCAAGAATACTTATTGCAAAGCATTGGAAGACACAAGACTTACTCACATGACTGGCAGAATCCGAGACCAGGGAGAAGAGTCGGTGGAAGAAGATTGGAAGAAATTTAAAGACTATTTACAGAAATATTGTAAAATTAATGAATGTTAGAATGATGTTGGATTGAAGTTAAGTGGTTTCTAGCTGTACTGGTATAAAAGAATATGGAAAAATTGGTTTTTAATACGTAAAAATCTAATGTTATAATATATCAAGAGTAAAGATCAGGATTAAAAAGGAGGGAAAGGAATTGCTGGACTAACAAAGTGAATTGGAATACAAAAGAGGGAGGTATGAGGAGGTCCGGGAAACAAGTAAACGTAAGAGAAGCGATGAAAAGATGGAATTGTTTTTAACTGTTTTTTCTTTTTTGTACTTTGTATTTTTCTTTCTTTATTGTTATTTTTCTTATTAATGTAATCTTTTTCTTCTGAAATTTTAATAAATATTATTTTTTAAAAAAAAGAAAGCTTGTCTCAGTAAACTGGGAGAAAGGATATAAAGAGGGAGCCCATCGCATCCTCACTTAGGAAGGAAACCCGCAAAATAGGGGCAACCTGTTTTGGCTCTCCCTCGT